GACATTAAATATTAATGTTGAAATACTCAATCAAATGTTGACCAATTCACAAAGTAAGACAACCAGTAGCATACCATGATCTGGTGCTACAAGCCTGCCTATGACCGGATCAGGTCGGCTTTTATATCTCAGCAAGTCTTACACTACTTTATATTGGAACATCAAATATTAATGTTGAAATATCTCAATTGAATATTGACCGATTCACAATGTAAGACAACCGGTGGGATCCCATGATCTGGTTCTACAATTCTATCTATGACCGGATTAGGTCGGCTTTTTTCTTTATCTCAGCCGGTATTACACTACCTGATATTGGAACATAAAATATTAATGTATAAATATCTCAATCAAATGTCGACCGATTTCCAATGTTAGACAACCGGTGGAATCCTATGATCCGGTGCTACAAGCCTGCCTATGACTGGATCAGGTTGGCCTTCTGTGTCTCAGCCAGTATTCTGCTACCCGGTATTGTAACACAGAATATTGAAGCGGAAATATCTCAGTCAAATGTTGACCAATTCACAATGTAAGACAACTGGTGGAATCCCATGACCCGGTGCTACAAGCCTGCATATGACCGGATCAGGTCAACTTGTTGTATCTCAGCCGATATTCCACTCCCTAATATTGGAACATCAAATATTACTGTGTAAATATCTCAATCAAAAATTGTCCGATTTACAAGGTGAGACAACCAGTGGCATCCCATGATCCGGTGCTACAGGCCTACCTATGACCAGATCAGATTGGCTTATTTTTATCTCAGCTGGTATCACACTACCTGATATTGGAACATATATTATCAATGTGTAAATATCTCGATCGAATATTGACTGATTTACAAAGTGAGACAACTGGTGGCATCCCATGATCAGGTTCTACAGGCCCACCTATGACCAGATGAAGTCGGTGTAAAGAGTAGATCTGGGCTGGGCTCTACTGAATGTGAGTCCCTAGTCCTGAGAGATGCGAGTATGCTTCGTCCCAAGAGACAACCTAAGAACTACCTTGATAATGCAAGGGAAGTCTTATACAGTTAGAGAGTAAACAAGATATTGGAAGAAAACCTCTTTAATGCTCGTCCGTAGTTCCGAGACTACTTCCAAAGTACCGAGAAACTTGTCCAATGCGACTGAAGGTCGTCCGAGGCTGCAAAAGTGTTGTCTGAAGTAGCACGATGCCTTCTGAGGCTTGCAAAGGCTGTCCGAAGGTCTATATATGTCGGTGTGTTGATGTGTCGGTATGTCAGTGCATTGAATAACAGTATAAGACTTTGCGCAACGTCCAAAGTCTGGAACAACGCTAATCTATCGGGACTCGAGAATAAACGAAGTGCAAATTTGGCAGCGGTCTAACCAGACAATCGTTCCAAATCAACAAGGATCGATTGTGCAGTTTACGATTATACCGAGGTGACTCTACTAATTACTATTCGAAGTACAGGAAGTGAAGTTTCCTATCAGTAGCCAGCGAGCAAGATTATATCCTACTTCCATGAGAGGCTGGAATCCATAGGCAAAACTAGTAGCGAGATAAGCAAGTCCGAACCTATGTAATAAGCCGCGAGGCGTGCAAGAATACAAGTATACATGTAATAAGCCGCAATGCGTGCTGCTTATACGTATTCCGAGGCTCCTGACAGGATGCCAATGGGATTGTTATCCGTGTAGCACTAAGACATAGTCAACATATAGTTAGAATAAAGGAAAATGCACCAGCAAAGTCAAAAGGACAAGGATAGGACATGGTATGGTAACTTGCGAGGTTCGGACAGGTCTCGGAACACGAGAACTGCCTGCAGAAGGTTTGGACAAGTGCGCGTGGCCTTCGGAAGGTCAAGGGAGGTTGGGGAATGGTATGAATGTAGGTGTTGGATTGCCTGGTTTCGAGCCCAGCACCGTGACCATTGTTACACCACCGTTCTGTGAGCGGGTACTGCTGCACGCTTGGCAGCGGATTCGTTACCTGGAGTGCACATCAACAAAAGACTGTGTCACTGTCCACATGCAAAGCCGAGTATATTGTGGCATCCGAGGCCGGTAAAGAAATCAAATGGTTACACACTTTGCTTCTCAAACTCAGCTTCATTCAAGCATCTGCTTCTCCTCTCATGTGCGACAACAATGGTGCAATAATCCTTACTGAAGATTCTTCATTCCATGCGCGTGTGAAGCACATCAACATGGCGCACCATTCGATTCGAGAACGAGTTGCCCTTTGCCAAATCAAACTTCACTATGTCCGCTCAAAGGACAATGTCACTGATATATTTACAAAGGCGCTTGCAAGGAAGGACTATGAGCGCCTGCACAACAACTTAGGCCTCCGGTGATTCAGTCGAGGAGGAGTGTTGATGCACGAACGTGCACGTGCGACACGATGCAGAGTATGATTGTTGGTATTCCAACATGGACGCTTATATACCTATTTCTTTGTGTTTCCCCTTTTCCCTCAGTCACTTACATGAGACTGAGGGTATGTTTAGTTACCTTCTTCACACCACCTAAACACTAACACTATGTTGATAGATTGACGTGTGTTTAGGTATATAGCAATCTCAGTCACTTACACGAGACTGAGGATTGACATGTGTTTAGTTTAACACCCTCCTCCTGCTGCACATGTACAATCACCCTTTGTTTGCGTACTGGGATAGGTTCTATGGAGTGTGCATGCATATGCACCATGCATTCATGCATAACACTTGTTGCATTGTCAAAGGATGTCTTGAGACCATGAATTTTGTCACTCATGTGGTCAAAGGCATCTGAGATGCTGTGGCACTGTGATTTCGCTGATTTCAAAGTTGAAGTACTGGTGACAGCCGTCTTGGTGGAGTTAGGAGGGTGGCCTATGACCTGCGAGTCATCATCATCGATCACAGCCCTGCATTTGTCCAGTGTCTTTGATGAACTCAGTGTGGAATATGTGGAGGTGGTGGAAGCCTCTGGAACTTGGTTATTTCCGGTAAATAACATCGGTTGGTCCGAAGGAACAAATCTGATTGGAAGGGGTGGTTCATCTGGCACCGGTGGGACATGAGGGTTGGGATGCTCAATAGCATCAAGCATTTTCTCCAATTCCTGACAGGCTCCAAGTCAGTTCAAGCATGAAGGTCACAAGAACTGGCACTCACAAATTTTTGTGCAACAGTAGTACCAGTCATGGTGGTACTGCAGCTGTGGTCTTTGGTTGGCGCTGCGGGCCAAGTGGTAGCATGGTGAGCAATATCCCCCCTTCCCTTTGATGGTAAAAGTTCCTTCAATGTATCGTAGTGCGGCCAACCCTTATTCTTGAATTGCTTTGCTTGAGGCATACTCTAGACTCAGAAATTAGTTATTGTAGTCAGTGCGATGACCATTGGCATACACTCAGATGCATCTGTGATGTTGGCCCCAAGCTCTGCACTGAACTCCAAGCTGGAATAGTTGGCCAATCTATCAACAATGTTGAAGGTTGAATGGATCTGAAGGGTCATCAGTAAGTACATGATCATCAGACATAACCATAATTGAACTTACTCAAGACCACTTGGACTGGCATGCATCAGAAGACTTTAGGGGGCCTTGTGCAGTCATTGTGGCAGCAATGGCAGCCCAAAATGTCTTGTCAAAATTGAGTCCTTCTCCACCCTTGGTGCGGTGCGTGGCGATGTACTGAATCAGCCATGATTCATTGTCTAAGGTCCAGACACATCATTCTTTGAATATCAGCCATGCTTTCTTGATCCTTCTTGCTGCATTTTTTGTAGCAGAAAGGTATGTTGTGGGGGCAGGAAGAACGAGTCCTTCGGCTGACTGGCATGATGGGATATTGATAAAGTCTGTCACATCAGTCACACTGATTCGGGATATTCAGGATGATTATCAAGCAAATTCCATCTTTGAAATTTTAGTGAAATTTTGCTGTCCAAACAGACTCTAATATTTGAGCTTGCCGGAGTTTTCTGGCACCAGAACTTTCATTTTTTGGAGATATATTAGCATAGAGTAACTCAATCCCAATTTCGATATTGTGCATTGCTTAAGAGTCAGTTGTCCCATTCTCCCAGTGGTTCTACCCCACAGACTGCCACCCCCAACTGACGCTTGGACCAGCCCAATCCTTTTAGATCACATCACTGACTTTAGAGCTAAATGAAGCAGGACATTTGAGCTTCATGTTGTTCTTGGCAGCAGTTTCATAGCATTTATAAATGTTGGCCGACCTCCTTAGCACTAGTGGCACAACCATCCTTACCTTCAGGGTTGGTCATGCTTTTCGACGCACTGGAACCAACTCTGTTGATGTCTTCCCCATCAAAGGCGCGATTGTCTTGAACAATGAGGACAGCCTCATCAGTGTTCATGTGGAAGGACTGAACGACAAAGGTGAGGATTCAATACTCTTTTCTGGCAAGGCATTTGATTCATGGTGTCATATGCTTTACAATACTTCAAGCTTCATGATTGGGGCCGAAATACCAAGGACTTTCTCCTGGTTCAAGTTGAGGGGAAACAATGCTACACATTTAAAATCAGGGATGAAGAACTTGGAGAGGTCAATCTGCTGCTTTATACCAGCCACGACGAAAGAGTGGCGCATTGCAGACTACAAGGACGGGCCACCAATGTGGTCCCTGTCACTAGCGAAGCACTTGCAAAGAAACACGACACCTCTCAGATGGGATGGTGGGCAAGATCTTTTGGGAGAGGCGAATCACACTAGCAAGCTGGAGATCTTGAAATGGGTTGAAGTGATCGCTGAGGTGCACGATACTGCAAAACCATATTCCAGAGCTGCTATGGCACCACACATTCATGAATCCCATGTCTGCCATCTGAGAAGTGCTCGGGGTTCTGGAACCCACCACCGACAGTTGTGTGCATTATGTTCTCATGTTCTGCAAACTCCACCCACTTCACAGCAAAGAGCTTTTCGACATCTGGTGTCAGTGTGTTCTGTGTATGTGTTTGATTGAATTATGTGGCTCTTCGTTGACATAGCATGCAGGTCACCTCACTCTGTGGAAAGAAGGGGTCTATCATCGAGATATCAGTGCTGGAAACTTGATGTGGTACAAGAAAAACGGCAAACTACTCGGTGTTTCAAATGACCATGATCTATCCTCATTGGCAAATGTGGTGGGTCCTCGGGGTAATGAGCGTACAGGCACCGTACCATTCATGGTGCTCGATCTTTTAACTGCAAAGGCTCAATGAGGCAATGCCAAACACTTATATTGCCACGATCTGGAGTCATTTATGTGAGTTTTTATCTGGATTTGCTTGAGTTACAAGGAGGGAGTTCTTCTATCAGCAGAACTATGCCTCCTGGACGAATGGGCGAGAGTAGATGCTGTAACATGCGGTGAAATGAAATATTTTTTCTTAGGTCATCTGCTGGACTACCCTTCACACGTGGACCCTTGTATAATGGCATTTTGTTGTGCAGTATGTCCTGGTGCTCAAGAAAGATACCAATCGTCGATCTGGTCTCTGCCTTGAGAAGATACTATTGGTACAAGGAGTAGCCGAGCAGTCTGACAATGAGGAACTAGCCTGAGAAGACATCAATGGTTTTCTACTCATCTTTCCACACACGAAGGGCTGCAACCCTTTACAGTGATTTCGGTACTCTTACTTACAGTCTTCTGCAAATCGGTACTTGTGTCTTGCAGTTTTTATGTTTATCCATTGAAATATACGACTCTGGCAGAGTGATTTTGCCACACCAACTTGTGCAGGCTGTCCTGTTCACCTTGTTGTCCAACACTGTATGCTATGGCTTCATCCACTTCCTCTGTCAACTTTGCGATGATGATACTCACATGTACCAAATGCCATGTTAATCATTTGTGCGATACACGACCAGAATATCTTGATCTGCATCCATGCATGTTGTGACCCAGCATGTCACTGACAATGACTGCACTATAGTGCAACCATTGATTGTTAGTTTGATAGCAGGAGAGGGTTACCTTGAGTGAGACACACAGGAATCTGACGACTCTGTTCAAACCCAAATATGAATGCATTTGCAAAGGTGAATAAAACAGCACTATAAGGTCTCGATTTTGTGCTGCAGGAGAAAGTTGATCAGTGGGAAATTCTGTAGGTATACTAAATTCTCAGTCTAGGGGGCGTCGAAAGCATGATAAAGTACATAAGCTATGATGTTGCGTGTCGTAGCACTGTGATTCATGAAGGAGTATGGATGGGATGACTCATCGATGGATAGATATCCTTCAGCAGATCGCTTACATCAAGCTCCCCCATGCAAAAGACAATTGCACAGCCAAGCACTGCATTCCAGAAAATGGAGCCAACTTCCCAATTGGTGTGGATCTGTAAAAAGCAGCACAAGGGAAAGGAGGTGCACGAAGATAGATGGATCCGAGCGCATGGGTGATGTGAATATCGATTACGAGGGGGGTCAGACACAGGTGGGGAGGAAGGAAGTTAAACTGAGCGTGCGCATGCCACATGCTCTCCATCCTTCATGAGTGGTGCAAAGCAGGACGATGACGACCAAAACCAATGAAAAATCTGCAGCAGTTCACTCCACACACAACGTCTGCCGCTCTGTCAGTTGAACCTTGCACTTGTGTTTGAATTGGTTGGGCTTGAGATGCTTGTGCCCCCACTGGCTGACCTGATTGCATTGAATTGTTGGCCTCATTGCCATTTGTGCGTTGCATGGCTGCAGCTGCTTCTGCATCAGTTTCAGGGACAATGCCATATCTCTGTGTTTGTGTTTTAATGGGATAAAAGGAGAGTAAAGGCAAGCCACTCACATCTTCATCTTGAGCCAAAGGTACATCAATTATGCTGCTTGACGTTTTTAGAGGACATAAGCTGAAATTCCAATGTCGGGATTTGCGAGGGGATGGTGGGAGTGTATCTCTAGGTTGGGCACTGGACCTGAGGGAACCAAACAAGTTACACCAATGAAGGAAAGATGGACTGGGAGACAGAGGTGCATGATTTGAATCATTGCCGAAGAAATCATTGCCCTGCATCCAAGTCAAATTAGCAAGAGCTGAAGAATGAGAAAATCTACTAACATATTTTGCCAAGCCTCTGGTATTGGCCTGTTGTTTGAAATGCAGAATGGACATTAAGAATCAACCAAAACATGTAAGAAAATAGAAGTTACTCACGATTGGTTGCTGCACAACTCTTGGTTGAGCTGGATGTTCCTGGTACAAAGTGAGACATAGTGTGAAAGAGCAGCAGAGATGACTTGCCTTGAGCTTTGTATTTGCACCCTTAATCGTCCAAACCGTTAAGAAGGGAAATTATGCAACAAAGCGCATACATACCATTACTTTGAGCGCCGCTTGGAGACTCCATATATAAGTCTATATAAGTGGTATCTGTTATGACTTGGATAGTATCTGTTGGTGACACTCAAACAGAGCGTGTGTCATCAACAGCCGAGGACGTCCTTGGGCTGGCCCAAGGTTAGGGGTCTTACTTGGCGAGGTTTTGGCAAGTAAGATTTGACGCCTATGTCCAAATCGGGTAGCTTATGTCAAGTGGGGCTCGACGATAAGTGTATCTGCCAAGGCTTACGACACCCGAAGGTTAATTGTAAGATCTGTGTTAATAGAAGGACAGGAGTCCGACTAATAACAGGGGCTTTGCTCAACGACGAAGTCGATGAGTAAAGATCGGGACTAGAGACTTATCCGCTGATGAGCAGATAAGAAAGTAGAATATAGACAGCTGGCTAGGCTGAAGGAATCACTCTTATTAGGAGTAGGAGGTCAAGAACCAAGTAGATTCAAGTTAAGGAACAAGATACATGGTAGCGAGTTTATATAGAGGAGAGGATGCATATTAGTGGATGATAACTCGTACTACCAGAAAGGGAGCTGGTCAAAGGGTAATACTGGAAAAGGAAGGCACATTCGAGGTGAGTCATAGGCGAACCGGAACGTGCAGATAGGAAATGAGTCAAAGATAGAAACAGGAAGTGAAATGCGCAGGGGCATGATCATGCAACTGTGCAGCTAAATATAAGCACACATGTGCGACTGTGCACCAAGTCATAGATCAAGAAAGGGAACAGGGTAAAGGGGATGCGGTGTGCATCGTATCATAGGTTACCGTCCAGACGGTAAGGGCAAAGGGGACTATCCACAGGATTAGTCAGGGGGTGGAACGGAGCATGGGTATGCTTCGTCAGAGAAAGGGTCCGGCCAGATGTACTGGCTCTACTGGAGCAACAGGTAGAGAGTGAAGGGGAATGTGAGGATAACGAGGATAACGAGAGCAAGGTCGGGGTAAGGGTGTGATGCAAGGGCGGAGACGAGGAGAATAAGAAGAAAAATAGTAGGGGCCCAAGCATCTAGATGTTCTTGTAACAGTATCACTGCCAACTCCCAAAAAGCTATTGTAGAGCCCAAAAGTGGTTAGGGTGTAGACTAGCCCTGAGATATATTTATACTATAGTTTTTGCACTACCTATTAGAAAGCTTTTGTTCAGAGCTGTGTGAGAGCTGGGAAACAGGGCTATAATAAGCATCATTGTTGCTGAAAAAAAATTATACTAATAATTTAAAACATAACTTGAAGGGTTTGAACTCGAGAGTTTATTGTCAACAAATACTTACTGCTCGAACCCACAAACCATTAGACCACAATGGCTTTAATTTCAAGGGTGTTAATTTATACATGACAGCCAGCCAGTCATCTTATCACAAAATCTGCTAAGTCTTTTCACCAATTCCTAATGAGTCTCTACCATCTATACAATTACTGTAGTGTAACATGTACTTTACACAAATCAACTGTTGTAAAATTCAAGTTCTACTATATGACGCATTTGCCTTCACTGTGCTTAGGTAAATAGAACTGAGTTTATTTTGTATAGAATACAAATGCTTAAAACTAGCAAGCCTTGAGTTGATTATAAAATTCTGGGATAGGATGTTTATGCGAGCTTTTTCATAGGTATACCATAGGTTTGATACATAGACCTATGGAAGAGCCCTGAATCAGACCGAGTATGAGCTGTAACTAATGTGTTGTCCAGGTGAGAAAAAAAACCTTTGTTAAAGATCTGATTGATGAGCTTTACAGCATAATTTATTTATTTATGTATTACATCTATATCCAAGCTCGTATCTGCCTGTTTGCCAGGTGTTACAAATAACTTTCGCACTATGTGTCTGCCACCCAAAGCGGCAGTTGGTGGTGTACTCAAACCAAATTCTGAAACTCGGCTAAAGTTTCTTGAAAGCTCGACTACTGCGTCCAAACACAGCATGACCACACACCGCAATTTAAGGTCAGTCTGGCATTGTACATCTGAGTTTAAAAAAACATGCCTGTCGTTTGTCAATGTGCTCATTGGTCTGCACGACTTCAAGCCAATGCTTGTCCCCACTTGAGGGCAATGACCTCTCATCCACCTACCTCAAATACTCAATCTATTCCAAGTGACCCTGGACCCAAGATTACAGTTCAGTAGGGGAAGGAAGATTCTCTCACTGATATCCTCGTTGATCACATCACATCTCACCCTGCTGATTGTCGGATTCTTTTCTATTCTGAAGGTAAAAAAGTAATTATAACTGACGGTGACAAGGCTTCAGGGCAAGGACAAGACCAATATCTACGCTGTTCTTGCCCAGCTCATATTTGCAGATCACCCTAAGTACAGCAGTGCATACAATCAAAATCCGAAGAAATTTGCCAACTCAGTCAGAAACCACATCGTGGGGTACATAGTATCCTATCTATACTTACATATGTGTGCTAATAAAACTCCTAAAAATCTTAGTCTCAAAAATAGGTACAAGAAACTCAAGGCTAGATTCAGTGCCACTGGCGCCAGCATACTGCCTGGCAGCATTGAACATTTGGCGGGCAAAATTGGGAACATCCAATCTGACATTATGTCCCTTCATGACTCCAAGCACCAGCACTTTCTTGCAAAGCTTGGTGCAAAGAGCGAGAATCAGCGGAATACGAAGAAATATACTTGGCTTCATGAAACGTATGATCACGAGGCATCTCAAGCCATTATCAGCCATCAACGAGAGCAGGAGAATAGGGCCGCTGAGATCCACCTTCATGAAGTCGACATTCAGGTGCATGAGGCACATTCTGCTGTTCTCAACAAGGAGGCGGAGACTTTATGCTTACGGATTCAGTATCAGCAGCTGTTGCAGGCTAGTAACAGTGGGACCTGAGTCTTTTGTTATCATCATCTCGCATCATCATTTTGTATTCTCATCTTGTGTCATTCTGTTGCTGTCCTGTTGTGATTTTATTTATGTTTCATACTTGTTTGTTGTCCAATTGATCTTACATATGTTACATACATTACAAGTGTACTACTGGTAGTACTTGGTCACTATACTTTGCTTTAAAAATTCTAAGTGTTTGAATGTCTGTCTTCGTGCCGATGTGTGCTGAGTGTGATTCCGCCTTGTTTTTGTTGGTCTTAAGCGAGTTCTATGATACTTTAGCCGGGAGTTTAATGAGTTTAAGCGAGTTTTCAAAGGTTTCAAAATTTGGTTTGAGTACTGCTATAGATTTTTGTGTCTGTTCCAGCACTGGCAATGTATTTTCCATCAGGGGAAATGGCAACAGCCAAGACTTTGTCATCATGCAAGAGTGGATCTCCGACTGCCTGATTGGTGTTGAGATCCCAGATACGAATGGAGCAGTCTCCTGATGCACTAAGAATATAGTGTTCATTGGGAGTAAGGCAGAGCGATCTGATGACCTTGGTGTGACCCCAAAAAACAACGAGTACCTGTCCATTAATTGCCTGCCATTTTCAGATGATATGATCGTTTGATGTGGAGAATATATGTGCACCATCTTTGGACCAACACAATGACGACACATATCTGTTATGTCCCTTGATCTCAATAAGCAGCTTGCCATCCTTTGACCACACCCAGATCACCTCATCCACACCGCCACTCGCAAATTTGTCACTTTGTGGAGCATATTTGATGGCTTCGACCCATGCAGTCTTTATGTATATGGGTGGAGCTATTTGTTGACCCATCAGGAAATTCTCACATTCCTTAATCTCCTTAATCAGCTTCACCTACTTATCTCAAAACTTGTTTGCTCTCTCTCACATTATTTACCTGGCATATTTCATATTTCTCTAGTGTGAAACATAATAAAACATATATATCAATATACCTCAACATTTTCTTTCTGAATATATTCAAGTTGAAATGTTGGACAAGTAGATCCACCTTTCAACAAGACACTTAAGTGTATTGAGTCTGTTTAAGGACAAATAAAGTAATGTGAGAATTTCCTGATGCCAGTACACGGGTTCCAGCATCGTATGGTCCTGTCCATAGATCCACTTGCTATCTCCAGGGCATTGCGAGACCAATCAAGGCACTTCACTAGATTATCATGCCCCTCCCATGGATGCCTGATCATGCTGGCCTCCTTTATATTCCACAACCGCAGTGAGCCATATTGATCCCACAAATGACCATTGTTTCATCTGGGGAGACTGCCATTGTGAGTATCCCTTCCCCATGATCAATATTCAAAGGTTTTCTTGCTGGCTCTCTGTCTCTTTTCCACTGACGAATCGAACCATCACCAGACAGGCTCATTATATTGCCACTGGTACCCAAGTTGGCAAGGTCCCATATGCATTTAGTGTGACCCTCGATGACGCACTCCGGCATCAAGCTTCCTGCCGGACGTTCTGGCTTGGGTTTCTTCCACGACGTAGTCCGATTCTTATGATTGACAAAGTAGGACCGACCCAGCGGTGAAATGTACCATTCGCATCTCGGATCAACGAGATCTCCAGGATGATCTATGGTCAACCGTGAGTTCGTCGTTCCTTGTCGTGATTTCATCTCTCACCTAGTCGCATTCCTGGTAAAGGTCGGTTCCAAGAGACCATAAAGAGCGTATTATCTTGATATCGTGTTTCAGCATCCGACGACGTCTTATACTGTTGCCAATTAGGAGGAAGCGCTTCATTCCCGCCTGCTTCCAATTTAGTAAGCTAGTGGGTATCACGAGGGAGCTGCTCGCCTTTCCAAAGTGCATCCTGCCGGTACTGTGCACCATATGGTGGTGGATCATTCGCACTCGTTCGATATATCGACGAGTGCAGTGGCCCTTCTCCCCGTCTCGTCGACGTGCTTGACTCGGCCTCTTCGTATGGCATGACCTTGGTCGATCAAGGATGTCGGGTTGTGCAGACGGACTGGACACTGAAATACTGCACAAAGTCAATAATTGAGGGGAAGGAGAGATACGGGGTGAAGATGAAGAGACCTGCTATTTGGGTCAGTTTTGCATGCTGTAGTTGCAGGCGCCTGTTTGACACTGCATGCCACTGGCTGTAGTGATTACTAAATGACGGGGATATAAGGCCTAGGGTCGCTTTTGTTTGCTGTGCAATATTGCTATGATCAACATCCCTGGGCGTTGATACAGCAAGCATCTGGAGTCTGGTTCTGCACCATTCTATCACGACACCACAATCCAGGCTGCACATCCCCATCACTGACCAGTATCCCATTGAACCATCGAGTTTCAGGCCGCCGAAATGAAGCCGAAGTATTTGCTGTGTAGAACCTGGAAATATGTAAGATACGTTCCACAAATCTTGGACAGAGGGGACGTCATTGCATATAACCTCAGGCCTCATGGCTCAGTGAGAATGCAATCAAAAAGCCAACAGCGATCACCCGAAGATTTTGGAAGCACTAAGATTCCTGCGTCAACAGGATATAAATCATGAGCTGTTGTAAGTCAACAATTACCAGTGGAACACAACACACACAGGACTGTATGACGCCTCGATAGACCTTCAGTATTTGAATCAACTTTTGACTTTGAACGTCGAAATTGTGGCTCCAATACCAGCAAGTCACAGCTCCCCCGCCGGAGTACGCAGCGACCCATATTGAGTTCTTGTTCTTGGTCAGTTGAACTTTCAAATTCATCGTATCTAAGAATAGCAGCAGATATGATCTCGCTGCCTTTTGTGCCTGGAATATTTCAATGTGCAACACCGCGGCCATGTTTGCAACGACTTCAGTGCTTCATCGTTACGTAAATTAAACAGGGGAGGGGAGATGAGGACCTTCCAACTTGGTGCTTCATCGAGAACCGTAGCCCGGTACTTATACGCTAGGCGCTGGGCTGGCCAGGCTACACTCTCATGTGGTACAGCGGGCGTCGGGCGGACCATCATTTCGAAGATGATTGAGATCAAAAGAAGTTGGTCGCGCTACCATTTGCCAACCTGGCTGTTTCGTGGCAGTAGGCACTGAAATCCGGGCAATCCCCCCTATGTGTATTGATAAGCTATCGTCAAAGGAAGACCATGGCATTCTTTGATCGTTACTTTTTTGGGTGTCCTGATAGGAAAATTGTTTAAAGATGTATGATTATGCGGCTCTGGTCCTCACTTAATATCAAGTCTCCCATACACAGGCCAATAAAAAGTCGTTCCTTCTGTAAATTTATCTTCCCTGTAAACGAGTTTGCATTGGCCACCGATAGCGATAACCACTCACTCATTGACTTGTGTTCTTGGATTTAAAGCGTGGTTGCGTCATTGACAAACCTGAACAAGAGTCATATCCTTGCCGTCGTCCTTCCCGACATCCACTACAACCCATAATGGATTTCAGTAAGTAATACTTTGCTCATCGAGTAGAACTGGCGACTTAACGTGTCGCCCAGAATATGCTTTATGGCTTGTTCCATCGGGACCGGAGGCTGAGGCAATACGCTATCTAATGGAATTCCGACCAAGGCCTGATAAACCAAAGATCGACAAGCCAAAGATCGACAAACCTAAAAACGACAAATCAAAAAGTACTAGAGTAAAGGACGACAAAACAGAGAAAAATAAATCAGAGGACGGAAAATCAAAGGACGGAAAATCAAAGGATGGAAAATCAAAGGACGATAAATCAAAGGACGGGAAATCAAAGGATGATAAATCAAGAGACGGAAAATCAAAGAGCGATAAGTCAAGCACTCACTCAACTTCATCTCGTTCGACGTCACCTCCTTCGACATCAACTCGCTTTACATCTTACCCGAGATACTCTTATCCGAGGTCATCTTATCCGAGGTCGTCTTACCACAGATTACCTCACCTTGGATCACCTCACTCCAGATCATACCCCCGCTTCGACCCTCATGTTACGCTCGTCACGTTCTCATGCCCTCATCGCCCTAACATATTTCAATTGGTGCCTATGGGTGCCAAAACGACTCCCGTGCATTTTGAGTCCATGGAGGTCGGAGACGACTTCCTCAGCTCATTGTCTGTCGTCGTCAAGAAGTCCAGCGAGATCATGCAGCTACGTGATCGCATTATGGACCACCTGAAGGCGAACAACATACGAGCCACATCAACCCCTTCATTCCCACACATGGCGTTGTTCTACCTAGATGAATCGTTCAAAGGAGAACGCTTGCTGCTTAGCAAACAATTGCGAGAGACAGGAAGGGTACACGAACAGACAGGCGGAGAGAAGAAATTTACGCTGAATTGTACTGTGGATGGTGCCGCGGCTGAATTTGATGCCATTGGAGGCTTTGAAGGGATGGAAATATGGCTCGTGGATTGCACTGAAGGAGTGGAAGATTGGACCGTCCTCGATAGACGGTATCTCAAGCCACGAATGCCCAAGGCCAAGGTCTACGTGAAAAGAGGCGATCCTTACTTCAATATATTTGGGAATGAGGGGCCGGATCCTTACCAGGTCAGAGAAATGGCGTCCTATATTCCGAGATGGGGCGAACCCAGACCTCATGGCATATACGGACCAATGGCACCATATTTCCCCCTGGATCCAAGGTAGCGTGCGCCTTCCTGGCTGTGATTTTCATTTGACATGATTCCGATCACAGATATTATACGAATAATTACGCACAATGGGAAGACCCAAGGATGATGCGAAGCCATATGTATCCAAGTATGGACAGGTGGGGATATAACCCCAACATGAATGCATACCGGGAACTGGATGGATACTTTTAAGAGCATCGACGGAATTTTTGTACACATCACTGGGTATGAATTACAATGCTCCTTAAATTAATGTTGTCAGCTACACTTGCATGTATACCATAGATCACATAGATGGGTATGAACTTACCGTGACGGTTTGGATATCACAGCGCGTGCCCGTACACGCCACTCCCAAGGCTTTTAAGAACGACAGGATTCATGATTCTTGCTACATTTCCTAAAAGCTGTGAGAGTGCACTTTACTCCTTCGACTATCGGATCGATCACCGTCACTGCCCTTCTCGAGTGGATCGATGCATCGATATTTGGTGTTAGGTTACAGATTGTACGTTGTTACATACGGACTGAGGTCATGGGTGCAATTTTTCGAGCATCGTGAATAAGGATATTTTGAATGAGCAGAGATCGAGGGCAGAGGAAGAAGCCTTTCAAGTTGGAGTCAACTTGCACTTGTCCGGTTGACAGCGACTAAACCGGCGTAGAGTGCCGAGCCGGCGGCTACTTACCCGGACACGCTAGTATACAGTACTGACTGAGTTATACGTGGCGAGGGCACCGTCTGCTGCAACGTGCTCAGCAAGCACCTGCTTAACTAGCATGGACGAAGCATCTGATGTTATGCCCAATGAACTGTCAATTGAGCACCGCCAACGTCACACGCGGGATCGTACGACTTCGTTGAATTCACTTTCTCACTTCAAAAGTGGACCGTCCAAGCATATACGACATAGGCCCACCTTGCGAAATCGTGGTTCCAATGCAAGCATGAAAAGCATGGGGTATATATGATCCTTACAAGTTTGAACAGTGCTCATGTCTGTTCCCTAGCTCCGAAACTGACCACTCGGAAATTATTGCCCCCATTCCTCGCCGACATCTCCTGCAAACATCGCAAAGTCTTCATTGGCTTAGGGTTGACACGTCGTCAGGAGACGAATGGCTCAACAGATGTGTCTCTCCCGCCTCTGCGTCTTCAGTCGGCTCTGTCTTCCCAAATAACAGGATGGCAAATCGACTTAGCTTCACCGCTCTTATGGAGCACGAAAGAACCGCTGTTGGCCCATCATCCACGGCTGATGCGAGAATAGTCGAGGATGATCAGGGAACTATCTGGGCCGGAAAGCGGTTTGTGAGGTGGATGCATCGAAATAATATGAAAAACTGGTTCGTTCCTTCAGCTATCGCCGCATCTACCTTGGTGAAGTGGTGCATCGGATTCGGAACATATTCTGGTGCGCACAATTACTGCGCGCATGATTTAATCTCAAGTCGCCCTATAGGTCACAATACGCCACCCCTCTTCGGCGATTATGAAGCCCAGCGACATTGGATGGAGCTTACTGTACACCTTCCCGTCAGGGAATGGTACACTTATGACCTACAGTACTGGGGTCTTGACTATCCTCCTCTGACTGCATATGTTTCATGGCTATGTGGACGAATGTAAGTTTGTCAAGTAGAATTCATTATACTAGATTTATCTATCTTGTTCCTCAGTGGGTCTTTCATAGAACCTTCGTGGTTCACCTTACAGGCATCTCGCGGCATGGAGACTGGAAGAAGCAAGCTATTCATGCGAGCTACTGTGCTCGTCCTCGATCTCCTAATTTATATTCCGGCATTGTACACCTTTGTATGCGCATGGCAAGGCGCGCGATCATCTAGGAAACGAGTACGTTCGTCAATTTATCGTCATAACAGTTCCAGATGCTCATTGTTGTATTGTCGTATCACGAGTAGCACGCTGCGCTGCTCACATTGCTGTTTCATCCAGCACTTCTATTAATCGACTTTGGTCATTTCCAGTATAATTCCGTCATGTTAGGCAAGTCACTCGTTATTGGTAGTATTCTGATTCTCACCAGCATAATCTCTCAGGTTTAACGCTACTTGCAATTAACGCCTTTGCAGCCGGGCATGATCTTCTTGGAGCTATCCTCTTCGTCCTAAGTTTAGGTTTCAAACAAATGGCACTTTACTATGCACCTGCGATTGGCTCTTACTTGATCGGAAAATGCATCTATCTAGGCTCTGTTCATGGGTAAGTCTGTCACAGCTGTAAGACTATTTTCAATACACTAAATATCACATAGCACTCGGCTGTTTCTGCGTCTAGCGCTGACGACAACATTAGCCTTCGTAATCATGTTCGCACCCTTCCTTCCACCCTTCTCTTCTCTCTCTACTATTGCTGCACCTATCACTCGCATCTTCCCGTTTGGACGCGGTCTCTTCGAAGACAAAGTTGCCAACTTTTGGTGCTTTACCAACGTGTTGGTAAAGTGGAAGCAAATATTTGCTGGTAGAGAAGGTATTCTGATCAAAGTCTCTACTGGCCTCACCGCTCTTGGGTTCTTACCTGCTGTGGCTGCGCTCATTTTTGGTGGCTACAAGACTCGGTTGCGGAAAGACGCCCCAAACCACTTAGTGAACGTGTCTCCTTCGATGGTGTCCGCAGCACCGTCATCACCGACGCCAATTTTGCCGCTATTACCCTATGCACTCCTAACTTGTTCCATGTCGTTCTTCCTTTTCTCGTTCCAGGTGCATGAGAAGACAATTCTCATTCCCCTCTTACCTCTCACACTCTTGCTGTCGGGCGCCGCACCCACTGACGATGTATTCTTGTGGGGAGCGTTAGGCAACAATGTTGGTGTCTTCAGGTAGGCGGCATGCGATTTCACATATGTTCGCGTTGCTAACGATGGTGCTGTTCACTTATAGCATGTGGCCCTTGCTCAAAAAGGATGGACTGGGACTCCAGTACCTTGCGATGCTTCTTCTCTGGAACCGGTTAATTGGGCACAATCCATTCAAACCACGCTATGGGTATTTTGTGGGACTCATATCTTCTGTACGAAGCGCTTCCTTTACACAGTTCTGTCACAGTTGATGACATCTAATCACAGGTGGTACATACAGTTATGATAATCCTCCACCTGCTCGAGCTTGTAGTGATGCCGCCTGCACGCTACCCTGACCTTTTCCCAGTTCTCAACGTCCTAATATGTACCCCAATCTTTGGACTCATCTGGCTTTGGAGCATCAAGCGTTCAGTGGAAGTGAGCTGGGCTATAAGCGGACTGCCTGGAAAATGCGAAAAGGAGGGACCTTCTTCAGCTGCGTCTGCTATCAGTACAACGCCGTCGAGCGCAGCGTTCGGGCACAGTCCATTGCGTGGAGAGACGGGGGTGCGTGCGATGAGTCTTGGATATGCAAGTGGGCACGGGCGTGGACAGGCTGATGCTAGGAGACGAGCGCTGGTGGCGAGCGCGAGTGGTGATCGGGAGCATTGAACATTGAACGTTGGGGGTTGGCTTCGTTTGTTTTGTTTTCATTTAAAGGAATATATATCATGGAGCGTATCCGCTTGCAAGAGCTGGATTTCAAGGCTAGGGGGGGATTTCTCATCCTCATGGAATCGTGCACTAGCTCAATTCAGATACTGCTCTTGATGTACATCATTCATCCAAAGTATTCGATACTTGTGCCTTTAGACTTGACGTTTTGACGTCAATTTTGTGATGTGCGTCACAGAAGTAATTCGATCACGTGCTACTTAAAATGAATGTGACAATTCGCGGTTATGACGGTGACAACGCGCTTTTCTCCCCTGACTCGAGTGCAACAGCAAAAACTACAGAACCCGTCCTCCACCGCAGCTCTATCTTCACGCAAAGGCTCGATTTTTTTTCTGAATTTCCTTCAAGCACGAAAACCTGTACTCAAAGCAGAACACTCATCAAACTTCTCGTTGTAAATGGCGAGTCTCGACAAGCTCGCAATCCGGGGCATTCGTTCCTTCGACGACAAGCAAATATCTGTCATTGAGTTTTTCTCACCAGTCACTGTCATAGTCGGACACAATGGAAGTGGAAAAACGACTGTCATTGAGTGCCTGAAGTACGCAACAACGGGGGACCAGCCCCCAAACACTCGAGGTGGCGCGTTCATTCATGACCCAAAGATGGCGAATGAGAAGGAAGTCAAAGCTCAGGTCAAGTTACGGTTTCATGCTGCAAATGGGACGCGGATGCTTGTCGTTAGGAATCTCTCAGTGACAGTCAAGAAGACTGGTTTGACTATGAAGACCCTCGAAAACATTCTTGCGCTTGCGGACAGCAATATCGAAAAGGGCGGGAAGGTGGGTCAGAGGCACTTGGATATTGGACTGGTCTGAACATCCATGTTTGTATCAGAGGGGAGCTATTTCCACGAAATGCGCTGAGATAGATGTAGAAATCCCCCATCTCCTTGGGGTATCAAAGTCTGTTCTGGAGAATGTAATTTTCTGTCATCAAGAGGACTCGTACTGGCCCCTTGCTGAGCCTTCTGCGCTCAAGAAGAAATTCGATGATATCTTCGAGGCTACGCGGTGTGTTTTTCTGTTCTTGAATGTAATGACCTTTCAGCTAATATATGAACTAGTTATAGCAAGGCGCTCGATTCTATAAAGTCGTTGCGTAAGGATCGCGTTGCAGATCTTAAAGCAGACAAAGAACGTTTAGAATCTCTTGCTAAAGAGAAATTGCATTCCGACAAGCTCCGTGGGCGTATCAGCGACCTGAACGCCACCATTACCGGGAAGCAATTGCAATACGAAGAGACTAAGAAGCAGTACGAAGAACTCGTCAAGAACAATGCCCGCTTCTACGAGTCTGCTACCCAATTTCGCCAGTTGTACGTCAAGGTTGAAAACTTGCAACAGAAGAAGGAACATTATCGACAGGAGCTTTCGGAGGCAAAAGAGACCGTGCAGGAAGTTGGAGGTAATTCTTCGTCCCTGGTTGCGCAGGGTTGCTGATACTAAGTACATATAGGCACCGACGAGGAGCTGCAAGAGCGCTTAAGCAACTTTGGCCAGAACATTGAAAAGGAGAAAATAGCTCGCAATAGACGCGAGGTAGAACGACAAGACCTTGAAGATGAACTTGCGAAAACACGAAGGTCGCATGTGGAGCTTATTAATGAGCATGGAGAACTTGCCGCAGAGGCTAAGGTATTCATTTGATTTGCTTTTGCATTGCATTTCTTAACACGATCGTTAGGCACATGACCGTCGCATATCCGAACGCGAGGAACTCATCCGTGAGATCAGCAATAAGCACAACATCAAGGGTTACAACCATACTCCTCTTGAACGCGAGAAAGTGGTTGAGTTTGTCTCCCGGCTCGGGGATCTCCAGCGTCGACAGAGGTCCGAATTTGATAAGCTGCAGGTGCACTAGCATGGCGACCTTGGCGACCTTCAGCCCACTAACACTCACGCAGACCGGAAGGAATAGCAAGAATGATGAACATAGTCGCAAGTTACGACAGCTTCATACCGAGCTGGAAAGTCTTCGGATGCAACGAGGAAATACACGCGAACAGATTGTATGTTTATGTCCTATTTGATTTTCAAATGTTGCTTTACACTCTTCCCTATCTTAGAAAGAGCGCCAAGCTGCCATTGCCAAAGCTGAATCATCCGTCGACACGATGCAGGGTCTCGCATCTGAGCTCCGCACTCTTGCTGGTGATATCGAGGAGAAGAAATTGCGTCTTGAGAAGATCAAGGCAGATATACAATCTGGAAACTTCGATGAACGCCTGAACGCGAAGGCTGCGAAGGCACGGAATATGGAAGATCAACGCGATACCCTGAACACGGAACTTCGCGGCCTGAGCCTGCAGGCAGAATCAAGGGCTCGTTTGGATCTCAAACGGGCAGAGATGCGGAGTAAGACATCGGATACCAAGAACATGTGAGTTTTTTATACAGCTTATTTTGTTCTCTGACATTTTTTTCAGCCTTGAGTTGTGCAACGTCAAATTCCGGAAGTTGATAGGCAGGGATGCAAGAGCGGAAACGATGGAGCGTGATATTGACCGCGCCTCAAGGTAACTCTGCGTTTGATTATCAGGACTAGCCTAACTATAATGATGATAGAGAGAAAGATGAGGAGCTCGCTGAGGCAGAAGCAGAGGCCGCCACCGCTAACAAAGAGCTCCAGCAAGCAGAGACAACGTTATCACACGCAAAATCCGAAATGAAGAGCAAGCGGGACGAATTGAAAAGCAAGCACTCGTTTATCAAAGGGACGTCTTGAACTAATCAAGCCATAGAACTGGAGAAGAAACTCAAGGACGAGATTGAAGGAGGGATTTCTCTCGAAACCGCCATCACGCTCGCAGAAGAGGAACTCAACCTTCGCAAGGAGTATGTGTTTCCACGGATTCTTCTCAACTAGCTGTTGATTCATACTACAGGGAATGCAAAGCGGGCGTGAGTCAAGTGTATGAGCAAATTCTGAAAGCAGGACAGGCAAAGAAGCGATGTACTGCCTGCAACCGCGATCTACACCACAATGAGATGGCCGGTTTTGAGAAATATGTATGTATCATCCGAGTTCATTTCGAGCCGTAGTTTAATAACTACGCATACAGCTCAAGGAGCAGATCAAGAACCACTCTCCCGAGGCTGTCGAGGTTCAGAAGGCCGAAGTTACGCAGTGGGAAAATGAATTGAAGCACCTCCGCGCTCTTATGCCTGTATTTACAACTAAGGAACGCATCAGGACGGTCGAGCTTCCAGCACTGGAGGGGCAAATCAAGGCTTTAGATGAAGATCTTCCATCCAATATCGAGAAGGCAGAGCAGGCAAGATACCGTTATGAATTCTTGAGACTTGAAACTTCACTTGTATACAGGCTGCTCAGGGGTTAACCGATCTCAAAAAGGACATTAGAGAGATTGCTTCCTTGAAGCAATCCGCCTCTACCGTGTCACGTAACCAGAATGAGACCGAGCGACTCAAGAGCGACATCAAAAAATTGGAAACGGAGCTTACTGCTACTGGTACCGCCAAGACTGGTGATGATGTGCAAAGGGAACTTGATGTTCTTTCTAATGAGATGTACGTTGTCTACCTTCCTTGGCGAACAATCTTCTGACCAACCTGCTCACAGCCGTTCAAATGAAAGAGAAAGGCAAACACTCATGACACAGCGTGACCATGAGAATCAATTGCTGCGGACGAATGAGAACGACCTCCATGCGATGGAGAAGAAAGAAAACACGCTTTCCAATCAGATTCGTGACAAGGATATGATGGAGGAACGTATCGTCACAATGAACAACGAAATCGCGACCTTGCGCACAAAACTCCAGGTTTGTTCTTGAGTGTTTAGGTTACTGGGAGCTGACGATTGCCTTTATGAATACAGGAATTGGACTTGAAAATTTCGGAGGCGCAAGCTCCTATCGATATGCTTGAGCAAGAACATCAAGAGGCCATGGTCGACCTTGATGCAAAGATTCGCGAGACTCAACGTTCTGTACAAGAGCTCAACACGAACGTTGACAAACTTGACAACCTCAACAAAATCGTTGAGCGGTATGTCATTGCAAGTGTGTTATAAGACTCTCCGTTGACATTTGCCAGATATATTCGTGACAAGCGGGCACATCTCCTTATTGAGTGCGCCGACAGGATAGAGCAATTCGAGCAGGACATCAAGGATCTTGTCACCAATATCGAGAACGCCCGGGATGCCATAGCTAAGATTGACCGGGAGATCAGCGAGAGCGGCAGTTTGATGGCAAATTTACACGGGAACATTCGTATCAGAAAGCTTGCCCGCGATATTGCAGCTACGCAAGCTGAAATTGACTCGTGCGATATGGAAGGAGCTGCAAAGGCGAAGCGGAACTTCGAAGACCGATACCAGGTTGAGAAACAGCGGGAAACGGAAATGCAGAGCAAGGTAAGAGCTCGATCGCTTTCGCACCTCGGTTCACATTATCTCATATTCTGCAGTATGCCCATATAGGAGGCGAAATTAGTTCCCACCAAGAGCAACTCAAGATGACAGAGAGGGATCTTCGTGACTTCAAGGATATCAATAAGCGATATACCGACCAATTGGTCAAGGTTAAGGTCTGAAACTGGTTCCAATTTATAAAATCGGTATAATTTGACGCCTGCTTAGATGTCCGACATGGCAAATAATGATCTGGAGAAATATGCTAAGGCCCTGGACAAGTAAGCAGTACATTCCCGGCCCTATGATCCTATATTTTATGTTTGTCCCAGCGCCATTATGAAATACCACGGGCTGAAGATGGAGGAAGTCAACGATACCATGCGTCATCTCTGGAATAAAACGTATCAAGGAACCGGTGTGTACCCTGGAATCGTGTCGTGGTCAACTGCTAATCGCTGTTAGATATTGATGGTATCAAAATCCGCTCCGACGTCGAGGGTGGCGCATCAAAGCGATCCTATAATTACCGAGTGAGTAATTTTTGCCACGGTAAATACAATTCAATTGTTGACGTCCTTTAAACAGGTTGTTATGACCAAAGATCAAGTCGAGATGGACATGCGTGGACGATGCTCCGCAGGTCAGAAGATGCTGGCCTCAATTATTATCCGTCTCGCTCTCTCTGATTCTTTCGGCCAAAACTGTGGCATTCTTGCACTGGATGAACCAACAAACGCTTTAGATGTAGAAAACATCGATGCACTCGCTGAGAGCCTTGTCGAGTAAGTGATCGCCGACGGCCTTTTCCACCCATAAGTGCTAACCATCTTGAAGCATCATTAACGAGAGGAAGAATCATGCTAACTTTCAGTTGATCATCATCACGCACGACGAGAATTTCCTTCGCAAGCTTGGTCAAGCTGAAGTAATGGAGTATTATTGGTGAGGTTGCATCTCTGATGTCTTCACTTTGTTCATTGATATGTGACAGGCGCGTTTCGCGAGATTCGAGACAGAAATCTGTAATTGAACGCCAAAGGTTCCGGTGAACTTGCCGATTCAACATCTTAATTGAGTTGCTCGCTACATCGTCACACCCTGTACAATACCATCATAAACTTATCCTACAGTTTGACTCTTTACAACACCACGAGGTGGTTATATATCTCGTGCAACATTCAGGCTGGTTAATCATCACTTGTGTGTCCACTGGGCTAAGCGCTTGGGTTTGGCAAGGAATGCTTGGAACCCTTCTGCATGATCCTTCATCCCGAAGGTCGCGTGGTAAAGTCTGCTTTCGAAATGTAGCCCATTTTTCAGCCCCAACTCTTCAGCTGTCAATGTTGATGTTCAATAATGCATGGTACGCTGTGAAAGGTAGTTTACTGACCTTCGTTGACCGCTTCCTTTGCCATTGCCACGATGGGTGCAGAGAAGCTCGCTATCTTACTCGCTAGATAATTGTCGTGATAGTTAAGTCATCTTTTAGGGAACTCAAAACTCTGCGTACCTGTTTTCAAAGCTACACTAAAGACCTGCTCTGCAGGGAGGACTTTAGCCACAAGCCCTGCTGCTTCGGCTTCATTTGCATTCATCGTCTCCCCCGTCAATATCATGTGCATCGCCTGAGAAAGTGAGCATCAGTGATGCTACCAGATATCTGATCTTGCGGCGATTACTTTCGATTTGCCAATAGCTCTGATTAAGCGCTGCGTCCCTCCAGCTCCTGGAATAGTTCCTAGTGCGATTTCTGGCTGCCCGAACGTTGCAGTATCTGCTGCATACAAAATGTCACACATCATCGCCAACTCACAGCCGCCTCCCAACTTGATGTTTGTCAATCGACAGAGGTAATCATTGATTGATCGACTCACTGCGATACCATTGATGACTCCGATTATTGGCTTATGGACAGCGAAAAATCCGTCATTTAGATTCTTCAGGTAGTCTTGGTTGTATGCGTCGACAAAAGATAGTTCGCTTTGTTCCTTGATATCCGCACCAGCTGCGAGACGATCAGATTGATTTAGGTGGAAAGATTTCGGAGCTGACCGCAGAACCCTTTCTCGTTTCCCGTTAGGATGATGGCGCCTATGCTAGGGTCGCTCTCGAACGACCTCAAAGCATCCAATAATTCGTTGATCAATGTTACGGAGAGTGCGTTATAAGCCCTGGGTCGATTGAGTTTGATGATCCCCACCCTTTCGGAGCGTTCAACGATTATTGTTGACTCTGACATACCGTGTCGGTTATCATCTACAGCTGTGTCTTCGACTTGAAGGGCGTAAAGAGTTATTATTGGCACGAAAATCACGCGCTCTACATACGGCCGCGGCGCCGATGGATTCTGCTCAAGTCACTCACTCTAGGCGAATGTAGTATGCACAGGGCCGTCGCAGCTAGGTACTGATGACGACACTCTGCCACCATCAATGTCAGTAAGATGGGGCGTTCAAGTTGCAGATGTGGATTTCAGCTATCCACTTACAAGTGGTTGCAACAAGGTTGCAACCACTGGCGCGTATGTGAAATGCTACTCAAGAAATATTCCATATTCTCCGGTACCCTCACGGTCATATCAGCTCTGGCCAGGACGCGATCGAGATGTAGACCAATCATCCTGCGGGAATTAGTCACGAGTAACATTTGGAGAAAAACAATAGCGCTGTTAACGTTATTGTCAATGTAATTAACTCGATGGCAATGATCCGGATGTTCGGAATATACCATCTAAGTTCGGACCTGACTTATAGTACTATAACCACGTGCGGACAAGTCCTTCAGAGGTTGAGCAAGCAAATTTCACCAGTCCGACTACGGCCACTCATCAAAACGTACGTTAGGAGCTGTCGACATATAACCTTGATTCCCGACATAAGTGAGTATAAAATCTTATATCAGAAAAGTAAAAAAAAAAAGATTCCCTCAACTTCGCTGCTACGATTCCTCTCCTCAATCGTGTCACTGCCTTCTTCCGTATTCTTCCCAGCATATCCGGCGAGTGTGAGCATTCCGTGACTCTCAGTATGCTGCGACTCGTCCAAATTTTGTAATCTGTGGTCAGCTCATTGTCTTCTGCAGAGATTGTGACTGGGTGCCAAGAGTGCCAGTCGATGGTACGATTGTTTTCCATAACGCCTCTGCGATATTTCTGGAACGCATCAGTTTCATTGTCGCAAAGTGACTGTTACACCACAGTTATTGTCTTGTGATAGTTGGTCCTGATGCCTTCGTCACTGGACGAGCTTCCTGCCTGTATTCGTCTGGAGACACACGCTACCGCTCGCGACAAAGCAGTTGCCGCAAGCGATATCAGCCCCGGTTCAGTTGTTCTGGAAGTGCCATCCATGGTGGTTCTGTTGCTCTCGTCGAGCAAAGGTCGCCGATGTGATTTTTGTCTCTGTTCAAGTGCATCTGAAATCAGGTTGGCCAAGTGTACTGGCTGTGCTTCATACTGGTATTGCGGATCACAGTGTGCGTACCCTCTCTCGATGATGTGTGACAACAACCTTGAAAATATTTCCTAGGTCAAACGTTGCACTGGGGCTCGCACAAAAAGTTTTGCAAGAGACTTGCTTCCTTCATGGCTTCAGTCGAGTTTCAATGCCTGGAAGCGCACGAGCAGCTAGATGCTTTGCTTCACACCCATCTCGTGGCGGAAATTTCGTCTAATGCGCCTTCCGATGTAAGAGCAAAGCAGCTATCCACTTTCATGTCTCTGCTGCCTGGACCGCCGCATGACTCCCCCCCGATTGCTTGCCCCATGTCTGTGGGCGTTGATGTACATCAAAGCCTTGAAGTCCTGTTTATCCGATCGCAGAACAATAATTTCGCAATTCACAGCCATCTCGATACTATCGCTCATGGCATATTCCCTCTTGCGAGTCGCCTTTTCAACCATTCGTGTCTTCCAAATGCTGCTGCAAGATATGTAATCCGCCAAGGTCAGTCAGTGCGGATGGAAATCGTGGCTTTGCGAGAGATCAAGGCCACCGAGGAGGTACTTCGTTCACTTATGTCAGATAGTCATCATAGAGTTGAACTGTTCTCGTCTTGCAGATCTGCATTCCTTATGTGGACCCTGCTCTGATAGAATCTCGTCAGCAGATCTTCGAGCTCACGTACGGCTTCTCCTGTACCTGTCCATCATGCAATTTTATCAGCACGCTTGGCTCCATTCCTCCGTTGCCCGGCTCGGAGGCTGCCCTTGCAAAATTGGACAATGCCCTACAAACATTTTGTTTTCCTTCTCCAGATATTGATGATCACACGCTGCTTGTGGGCTGTAGTCTTCCGGATCTTCCAGAAAATCTCCACCGTGTGCTTCGCGAATCTTACCTATCGCGACTCACAGATGCCTTCAGCAAATCTTCTCACGAGGGTTCTTATCATGTCGCTCTTAATGTTGGGCTGACCGTACTTGCCGTATATATTTTAATATACCCAGAAAACTATCCGCAGATTGGTAGGGAATTCTGCATCGTGAAAACTATTATCTCCACTGACGCTGTCAACAGGTATGCATCTCCTAGAGATGGCAAAGACAGCATGGAACGCTGTGATCGCAACTGAATACGACAGTACACACAAAGCTCTTGCGAAGACATCTTTGCTTAAGCGGGCCCGAGTATACCGCAATCTTGCCAACAACATATTGGAGGTATTCGGTCCAGAAGGTGATCCAGCAGGTCCTCTAGAAGAGCTTGCGGTTTTGAAAAAGCTACTTCATGAAGAACTGTAAGTCGTTGTCGTGTCAGTTTTTGGAAATTCTCTGATGGTCAAATTTCAGGTTAAAATCACCGCAGGACGATGATCAGTGATCCACCCGAGGTGTTTGCAATTATGATCAGCCAACCGTGACAACATACAGCTGGATAGCCTGTCTCATTTGATCAACACCTTGTCGCAGAACTTCATATCGTCTGAGAGTATTCAAGTTGCGTGCGCTGGTTACAGTGCTATCAAAAGAATTGCAGCAAGGATAACATGGGGAATTTCAACATTTTGCCTCTTCAATCAAAAGCAGATCTAGACCTGGCTAGAGCTTTCCAGAGCACTCTAGAATACCTTTCGAATGTAATTTCACTAGCGGAAAAAGGTGGTATAATGTCAGTTTCCCCGCTGTGTAAGCGCAGCCAAAAAAAATGAGTGCAATTAGTAGGACAAATAAGCTCAAGATTGAGGAACATGGCGCAACTTGAGAGGCTCCAAATTATTGATGGAGGAAGTACTTCGAGTCGTTGCCAAGAGGGTGTGAACCACTTGGCGCTCTCACACACGCATACAAACTTAATCAATAAATGTTACGCGCTCCTGAAGGGTCGGCCGCATACATAATAGTCGATAAGCAACACTAGTTTGAACTTTTGAATTGTCTGCCTGAATCCGGATTGAAAGCAAAATCACTGCATAAGTCCGGTAGAGTCCGGAGCCTGTCACAAGACTAAGAGTATTAGTCACCCATGTAATGATTGTATGTGCTAGGAAGTTGGAACTGTCATTGTAAGTAACTGCTCCTACTAGTACCGTTCAGTGCTACACTTCCTAACTCTGAACCAGAAACTGCCGATTTCAACCTGATGAATCAGGTCGGTCCTTTCCGACTTGTATTCTGGAAAGACGTAATACCTAAGGCAGCCTAGGCCGAATACAGCCAAGGCATCCTACTTCGCTTACGGGATCATACAAGCCATCAAGGAAAACTTCTGGACTTTCCAAAAATGAGTTCGAGCGTTGGAAGGGCGGTGGCTGAAGTGGGGGGATTTCTCCGACGCTCTTCCCAGTAAATCCCATCAAACACGCTGTGGATCGAATCATAGTGCATCATCTAATACATCGTACAGGCCTTTAATGGGAGGCACAAGTCCCATAGGTCGATCCCGTAGTGATGCTGTCCATCTGCACACTGGCACTGGCGGGGTCATTCCTTTGCAGAACGTGACGATCCTTTTTCTTGCTCTCATATTTTCCTTGCTCTTTATTCTCGCTTTGTCGTGTTCGTTCCTCGGTGCCGATGAGGAAGATGAACCTCTTTTCAAAAGCATGTTGAACGACATCGCAGCGAATGATCCAGGTGTAGGTGTTTCATATGTCTTTGATGCTTTTTGTTGAACTCGCATGCAGGTCGTCCTATTGGGTGAAAATGTCGACGTCGACGTTGGCGAGCCTTCCATAACTATCTCATGGTCCCTCGTTGCATGTGGAGCCAGTTTTGAACTCGACTCGAGCTCTGGTGTTCACCAGAGTCAATGTGGGCTGCCTTCGATGGCCCTATGGGTTTACGCCGATAAGTAGGTGACCTTACTGAACTTTATGATTTTGCGACCGATGATGTGCACCCATAGCTCTCCTGAACCTATGGCTATATATGATCCTTCCGCAATCCCATTCGCTCGTAAAACGGGTCAGCGGCGCAGGCAAGTCTAGGGGATGCACTGGGATCGACTGATGCTCATGATTATATGCTAGAATTGAGAACCTCGTTCGATTTGACAGCGATCATACGCTGGATGTCCACAAGGCTCACTTGTACCCATTTGATACGTATCTTCTGGCCAGCACTTTGCGGGCCGTCGATGCTTCAAACACGACAGTTCCCATTCGGAAACTCTCCACGATCGAACAAGTAACCAGTTTTATTGTCGCAACTGACGACGTCGAAAGCTACGAGATAATCAATGGGACTCAAGCTCCCACTCGCGACTTTGATTTATATGTGACGAGGCCTGGACAATTACGGTTCTATGCCTTGGCACTCTTTGGTGTCAACTGGATGCTGTCTCATGTCACCATTGCACATGTTCTACTGGCACGCAGACTCGCAGATATCAGGTCCATGACAAAGCATCTGGTTTCTGCCTTTGCTATCCTTCTTGTCATCCCGCAGCTGAGGAAATCGATGCCAGATTCTCCGGCTCTTGATGACGGTGAGTTTATTTTACTGAGTTGGGTCGAATAATTGCTTATCAATGCACGCAGGTGCTCTCATTGGTATGATTTCTTCGACTTTTCGGCTGCTGAAAAAAGAGATTGACACTTTTTACAGACTACATTGGTCTCATACCGCAGATGATTATTTCTGCCTCATGTGTCCTTACCATATTGCTCCTCATAATGCTGCGTGAGTACGACGAAATGGAGGGCAGACAGACTCCCCGCCAAATTACGATGCGGCCAGTGCCGGTCCCGCCTCCACGGCCGCCCCCGCCGCGCACTGCCAAAGTGCCTTCCAAACCCCCTGCACCTCCTGTTCCACCACGGAAATCACCACTTAAACCCTTTCTCCTCGGAACCAAAGTGCACACCAGATCGACCGCTATGGAACGTGGGGAGGCGTCCTGCTTGAAGGACGAGCTCAACACAGGATTCATTTTCCCTCCAATACCACATGCAAATGGTATCATTCATCACCGCTCTCGTTCTTCGCGGTCCCGATTAGGCACCATAGGTCTAGGAGGACCGTCCGGAAGTGCTTCGTCGTCCAGGTCAGCTACGCTCAAGTCCGTTAAGGAGTGATGGCCAGAACCTATCCTTGTGAGTGGTGACTTATTCCTTGTTGTGCCCTATTCCTGTTTTCTGAATTATCCTGTATAGTGCTTTTGATTGGACATCCTGGCGGTGTACTTGAGGCAACTGTGATATGTAACCATATGTAGTACAACTGTAGGAAGTAAGGATGTTGCACACTATGACAGTTGTAACCTTCTACTCAGCCCATCCCCGCTGCTTCGTTTGCGTTAAATCGTATTCTGAGTGATACTTCGGCGTTCTGTGTTACGTTCTTTACGTGCTTTGTGGAGCCCCGATGCTGTGAGACATGAAATCGAATGTATTTGCAAGTTGAATTGGAAGGCAGAGGAAATGACGATTTCATAAGGATTAAATGATAATTCTACTACGTATCGTATACGAGACGTGGACGCACCTTGGCTATATGTACGTAGGCCTGATCAGAAAATCTGACAAGAATCGAGCCAGAGCCGCAGAATACATGATGGTTTGATCATGAACTAGAGTACTAGCCTACTAGTGCAAGCTTGAAGTACTCGTGGTAATTGCAAATTTGAAATGTAAGTGGACCACGTGGATCATCGGTTCCTCTTCTCACTCTCTCTTTACCATACAAAACCTTGGTTTCGCAGGTTTCGACCATTTCCTGGGGGTCTATTTGGCAACTTGAGGAATGCCTGTCGGAATTGAAGCTTGGCTGACCCAGATTCCACCAATAACGCGTGCTTGGCTAGCGCTATCTGTCGCCACGAGTTTAGCAGTGGTATGAAGCCGAATGTTCAATTCAATGTGACGAAACTGACGTGTTCCTAAGCAATGCCAACTTGTGACACCTCTCCAATTGTATTTTAGTTTTAAATCCGCTTTTACAAATGCACAAGTGAGTTGTACTTTGATCTGGGGTAGTGTTTTTTTGTGCATGCTGATGAGAGCGTATAGCCATGGCGCATGGCCACGACATTCTTTTACTTCGGTTCGATATCCCTCGACTTCGTATTCCATCTTTTCTTTTTGTGAGTCCGGCCGTTGATCTCCATCACTTAAAGTTTTGACTTGCATGGATTCTAGTATGCGATATAGTCGGATGTTAGAAGAATCCTCATTTGCAAATAGAAAAGCTGATTACTTTTGGCTGCTTCTGCTGTCATCCGTAATGCTCTTGGTAAGTCGTATCAACTTCTCGTTATGCGTATCTTGACCTTTCGTGGTACAGGCCATGTCGCCCTTGTTCAATCTTCCATTTCTCTCCTCCTCACTCGCCTTCGTGCCGATATATATGTGGTCCCGTCGGCATCCATCCACACCGATATCGCTCTTTGGGTTGTTTACAATCTCAGCGCCGTACTTGCCATTAGCCCTCGTAATTTTCTCTTGGGTAATAAGTGGAACATGGAAGGCGGCGGCAGGAGATCTAATCGGGTGCGCGGTCGGTCACATTGGATGGTTCCTGCGGGATGTCTGGCCAAGAGAAATGGTCGGAGGGTACTCGCTACTGACTGAGGCGCCTGACGGGCTGTAAGTGTCTCTCGATAGACGAAATGAGTCATGCTTATATTGTCACAGGAAGAGATTATTCGGAGACCTCTGAGTCGATGTTGAATCAGGTTACTTGGCATCTTTTATTCCTTCCTGGGAAGGAAAGAGCGGCATTGTTACTGAGAAATCAATATGATATCGTCACTTCTATGTTTGATGAAGGAACATTCTTACGTGCTGCAGTCGGGACCGTTACAATGGTAGCGCCTTCCGTCATCTACATAAATTCATGTCATACGTGTTATTATCCATTATTAACCCTGACTCTTTCAACACGCTTTTCGTTGCTGTCCACGAACCTGTATTGAGGCTCCATGAAAGTCATGAGTGTCCGAGGTCCGCACGGGAGTAGTACGACCACAAGTGTCGTCTTTGGGAAAAGGGCCTGTCACGGTCATTCCAGAATTTCTGTCATTATACACGGTGAGCTCAAGGCTGCCCTTGCTTTTCTTTCCGGCCCGTTGCTTTTCTACTGTTCTCGTCACTATTTCTTGTGGTTATCTCAAGTTGAATCTAGTCTGTCCAAGTTGCTGTAATAAGGGAATAAGTATACTCACACTGGCATGTCCAAGTCTGTACTATCCTCACTATCCCCATCCCCATCCTCACCCCCTGCAAATCCAACCGAGTTCTACGACTCTCCTCACGAACGCCATGAACTTCTTCATTCCTCGAACGGGACGTATTCAGTTGCATCGCCCTCAGCCAGGTTGACGCGAACTGTTGCAATAATCAAGACACACGCATTGGAGCAGCGTCTAGACATCGAACACCGTCTTCTGGAGGCAAATTTCGAGGTATGTGCACCGCTTTCACGTTTTGCCCTTGTATCCCATATTTGTCTCTGTCTTTCCAATATGACACGTAAAATAAATACGTCCAGAGTCGCGCTCAAGAATTTCTAGACTTCTCGATTTGAGATGCAACAATTGATTCACCATGCCTTATAGATAATCAAAGAACGCCAAATGGAGTTTGATACGGAGACGGATCCCGACACATTTTTCGAGCTTTTCGGCGATGATGCTCGGTTCCTTGACGAGTGAGTATCTTGATATGACTATTTAGTAACAGTATGATTCATCCCCACACCCTTTTTGATCGTATCTCCCATCGCTGATGCCTATTTAGCGGTCCAGTCTGGGTCTACATTCTTGAGCGCAGACGCGCCGTCCAAGTTCTTCTCACATTAATGCCTTCACTTAATGATGCAATAATAGGCGCAAAGCACGAAGAGCAAGCAGAAATCCAAATCGCATCTCTATTTGCCTCCAGCCCTCCCTTTCCCACCAGCGATCTCCCTGCAGCAGATGAAGAGCTGGGTTCAAATGACGAATTCGACCCCGGTTCTGTGCGCTCGATCGACTCTGCGATACTGGAAGCTCTCAAGCTAGGTTTGAGCGCCCCTCCAGGCGTGCTCACACCATCCTGTGGGTCTTCAGACGCGCGTGCACCGCAATTTTCAGCACGCCCAAGCCTCAGTTCCAATGGATCACCCAATGGAAAACAACCATTTCGTGCACGGCCGCTTCCAAAGACACATCTTACTCCTGATATATCTCCACGCACAACAAAAGCCGCCCTTCTTCGCCAAGGGCTGACTCCAGACGGCTCCAAAGCGTCTCCACTCAAATCACGAATGTCCACGGCTAGCACTGGCCGCATCCCACTTCTTCGTACGGAGAAAGAGAATAAAGTGGAGAAAGAGATGGAGAAAGAGAGGATTAAGAGGACGTTTGCGGGCGTTCCAGGTCACAAGCGCTCTGAGACGGTCACTGTTGCGTCTACTGCGCCACCCACCATTACCCCGAGGTTGACCAAGGCAGCCGCCCTTCGGTTGGGTCTTGCCCAGCCCGTCTTACCTCCCGGGCGGAGGCGTCCATCGACAGCTGGTTCTGTCGCAGATGGAAAAGCAGCAGTCAGCGCTAATGGGCCTATTGTCTCTTCGCATAAATCTTGTGATGCTGAGGGAGAAGGTGAAGATACGGAGACTGAGCGAGGACGCGAACGCAAAAATATTTTTGATGGTGTTCCTGGGCACAAGCGTCGCCAATCGATACCTGTCGCGAGCACAACTGCAGCTCCGTCTATAGTTCCCAGAACCAATAAGACTGCAGCTCTTAGAAAGCAGGGCGGACCTCCTCCGAGCAGTTTCATGTGTAAGTCCTTGGCGACAGCTGTTTTCCCTTCAATTCTCTTTTTACGTTTGTTAAAAAAAAGTTTGTCACTGACGCAACATTTTTAGTTCGTACTCCGTCTTCTCCCAAGGTGCCTGGCGGTGCTGGCACTCAGTCAAGAAGCAGCTCTTCTCTCAGCGCTTATCCTGACAATACTGGACCGGACTCTGCTACTCGGACCCGTGCAAGTTCCACGCTGCCGTCTCGGGCATCCTCTCGTGTCTCCCATGTCGCCCCGAGGGCAAGTCTAAACAACACCAATAACTATTCCTCTCGGGCTTCTGAGAGTTCTGCGGTGAGCACGACGAGCACTGCCAGCATGGACGAACTCGACAAAGCTGCATCATCGCAACGATCGGTGCGCCGACTGAGCAGCCTTCAAGCTCCCTCTATCGTTCCCCGCGTCAACAAAAGTGCCGTGCTCAGGGCTCAAAAGCTGGCGGAAGAAGCGGCTAAACCAAAAAGCCCTTGGGCCAATGCATCTAAGCGGTAGGGGGTCAATGACAGTCAAGGCATTGAACAGCCGGGTGGGACTGGCATATGAGTGGTGTGTGATTCTTATTTTATGCTTCATTTACGTGAAGGTATCTTGCCTTCTGGTCTTGATATATGTCCGATGTGTACTATATTTCTCGTTTGGTACGATTGCAATCACGGAAGATATATCAATTATCCCCCTTTGTACATGCGCCTATCTACGTTCTCTTCAGTTGCGTCTTTCACAGGTCTATACTTGCCCCTCTTTGATCTTTTCCTTTGTTTTTATAGTTTCTGCAACGATTACATGCTAGTCATGTGGGCCCATGTGTCAATATATATAACGACAGTGTTTTGATGCGATCAATCTCCAGAACTTCTTGGCAGGTGGGCTGGGCTTGCAAGCAGGCATGTTATCTCGCTCGAGTTCAACTCAAACTTTACTTTTGTCAGATGCCAATCAGGCTTGGAGGGCGGCTGCAGCCGCCGTTGCATAGTTCTGGTATGACGTTCTCCTTATCCGACTTGACTCTGACGTTCAAACGTTCAACTATGTTCTAATTTGAAATGTCAAGTCCAGCGGGAGATGAGCTTCTTGTGAGTTATATGGTCCGTGCGTACTTCAGAAGTCTACTCACGCCGTGGGTCGCCTTGCTATCCTTGTCATATTTCTTATTTCCTTTGTTGCCGTCGCTACCCTCATTGATAAGGAACAGACCAAACCTGCCCTTCGTCCTGGCCCAATGGCAATCCCATTGAGTATCTATCGACATCAAAGAACCTTAATTGACTTGCGCCCAATGGTACGCTGTTTATGTTGATGGTATATGGAAAGACTGCTATTACATTTTGTAGTGCAAATAATTTTATCCAGTACATTTTAGGCACGTTCATGCATCCTTCGAGCGCTACACTCAGTTATACATGGCCATGGATGCTTCTCTGGCAAATGCGAGACGGTCTATTTGCCCATTCGCTGATTCCATATCTCAACCCCTCGCATGCAGAATTAACTTTCATTGCGGCTGGCACGCCAATTGGTCATCCTAAGGCACACAGGTGAATCATGTGGTTAATCCTGGTAGCTGCCCAAACTCACCACATCAATGTAACAAGTATAACCTGGACAGCATTCTTTATCGTTCGAGCAGAGATTTTCCCATTGGTTACATGCACTGACAGACATAAACGCTGTCAAAGTGACAATGACGACAAGGAAGGGGAGACGCATTTTCTGTGCGAGATGATATGGAATATTTTTGGGATCTCGAATGATATCACTGAGAATGGGGGAGATGACCAGCTTCTATATCCTGCGTACACTTATACTGACGATGCTGATTTATTTGGCAGAATTGTTACTACTGTTAGATAGAAGAAATTCCGGCAGAACCTGCAGGAGCGTGTATTCAGAACGCTTCACAGGAGTCCCGCCATCGCCGCGTTTATCATTTAAGCCGAATGTAACGCAAACACATCTACCGTGTAGTCCTTCAATTAAGACGTTCAAGTAGGTACTAGCTAGAAGTCAACCACTTATTCTGGTGATTGGCAGAATTCTGTAGACAGATTGTCAAAAGGCAATCACAGCGACAGGCCAAATTTCCAACAAGAACCTTCGTCCGACCTTAAGCTTATGCCCGATTGATCGTTTGATGAGTGCTGTCGTCGTTGGTGTCTCTCGTCGTGCAGTATGTTGTCCACTACTCGTTCATCGGCTCTTCGGGCATCAAATCATCGTCTACAATATCTTACTCACTGACCACCGACACCACTAGTACTTCTCACACTGTCCTCACTTCACCTCTCAAAGCCAGAGACAAGCAAGCCTCGTCAGTCGCAATTATATCCGCGCCCGGCCATTCCCCATCAACGACAAGCACCTGCAACTCTTCCTCCAAGCTTCGGGCAGAACCAAGTCCTACCGGTACGAGACTCCACTCGCGCCCTTCTAGAAGATATCGTGAGAGACTCTGAAGCACCCATTCGATATGCGTATGGATCTGGCATTTCTGAGCAAGCTGGGTATGAGAAGCAGAAGGACAAGGAAGATAGGCCGACGCTGGACTTCATATTCGCGGTCACACATCCAGATTATTGGCGCTCAATCAACATGAAACAGCATCCCGGTCATTATCCCCTGCATGCACGCGTGCTAGGCTTGTCGTTTGTCTCCAAAACGCAAGGGCTCAGCCCTGGACTTTGGTTCAATACTTTTGTGCTGATGAAGGGGGTCGTGCGTCACTTTTGTTCATACCATTCTACTATTCGCTTACTTTTACTGACATAGAATATCAAGTATGGAGTAACAACCGTCGACATGCTATGTGCTGACCTACTTAACTAGCGCACACTTTATCTCGCGGGGAGAATGCACAAGCCTCTACGGATCATCAAAGATGATGCACGCGTACGACTAACCCAGCAAGATAACCTGACCTTGTGGTGCATACCAAATCAATGAACATCGAACTGCATCAAAATTAGAACCGGACCGAGGTACAAGGCGGGCACTTGATTCGATTGGTAACACAGCCAGTGACATGCAGTGTCAAACAGGCGCCTGCAACCACAGCATGCAAACTGACCCAAATAATAGGTCTCTTGATCTTCACCCCGTATCTCTCCTTCCCCTCGATTATCAACTCTGTGCAGTATTTCACTGTCCAGTCAGCCTGTACAACCCGACATCTTTTATTGATCAAGGTCATGCCACACGAAGAGGCCGAGTCAAGCACGTCGATGAGACGGGGAGAAGCGCTACTTCACTCGCCGATATATCAAAGGAGCGCGAAGGATCCACCACCATATGGTGCACAGCACCGGCAGGATGCACTTTGGAAAGGTGAGCAGGTCCCTCGTGATACCCACTAGCTTAATTAGAAGCAGGTGGGAATGAAGCGCTTCCTCCTAATTGGCAACAGTATAAGACGTCGTCGGATGCTAAAACACAATATCAAGATGATACGCTCGTTATGTCCTCGTGGAACCGACCTTTACCAGGAGTGCGACTGGGTGAGGGATGAAACCACAACAAGGAATGACGAACTCACGGTTGACCATAGATCTTCCTGGACATCTCGTTGATCCGGGATGCGAATGGTACATTTCGCCGCTGGGTCGGTCCTACTTCGTCAACCACAATAATCGGACTACGTCGTGGAAGAAACCCAAGCCAGAACGTCCAGCGGGAAGCTTGATGCCTGAGTGCGTCATTGAATGTCAGACTAAATGCATATGGGACCTTGCCTACTTGGGTACCAGTAGCAATATAATGAGCGCGTCTGATGATGGTTCTATTCGTCAGTGGAAAAGAGACGGAGAGCCAGTAGGAAAACCTTTGAATAGTGATGGGGGAATGATAGGCACAATGGCGGTCTCACCGGATGAAACAATGGTCGTTTGTGGGAGTGCAGACGGCTTACTGCGGTTGTGGAATATAAAGGAGGGCAGCATGATCGGAGATCCGTGGGAGGGGCATGATGCTCAAGTGAGGTGCCTTGATTGGTCTCGCAATGCCCTGGAGATAGCCAGTGGATCTGAGGACGGGACCATACGACGCTGGAACCCGGATACTGGTCGACAAACAGCACCACCCATAAAGACTGGATGGGTCGAAGCCGTCAAATATGCTCCACAAGGCGACAAATTCGCGAGTGGCGGGCTGTATATGGTGATCCACGTGTGGTCAAAGGACGGCAAGCTGCTTATCGAGATCAAGGGACATGAAGACTGGGTGTCGTCATTGTGTTGGTCCAAGGACGGCGCACATATATTCTCCGGGTCATTGGATCGTGCCATCCGAAAATGGCGGACGATTGATGGATAGAAACTCGTTGTTTTTTGGGGTCACACTCATACTGTCACATCGCTTTGTCTTACTCCCGATGAAAGCTATATTGTTAGCGCATCATCTGACCACTCCATTCGCATCTGGGATCTCAAGACTAATCAGCCAGTCGGAGGTCCACTCTTGCATGACGATCAAGTCTGGACTGTTGCCGTGTCCCCCGATGGGAAATACATTGCCAGTGCCGGAATAGACCAAAAAATCTATGTATGGAGTCTGGATGCGGCACTCAAAGTTGTAGTACGTATGTGTTTTGTTGCTTGACTTCCCTGCCTAACGGTTTTGGCGATTTAGGGTGCGGAAACAAAGCTCAAGGCAAGTCATCTCTACTGCTCTTTCACACTACGTCTCACTTTGTACCAGGGACATTCAGCTCAACCGAGAGTTGTGCGGCTACCAATCGTGAGTAACTTCTATTTTCTCATATGTTTCGCTCGATTCTCAACGTCCATTCTGCATTTCACATCACAGGCCAATCCCAGAGGCTCGGCAAAATATGTTAGTAGATTTTATTTTCTCGTTCTTCAGCTCTTTCTAATTTGACTTGGATAACAGGGCAATGATTTCTTCGGCAATGAATCAAATTGTGCAGCTCCATCTTCAAATCCTTCTTTCCTTCATTGGCGCAGTTTGTTTGGTTCCCTCCGGTTCAGTGCCCAACCCAGAGATACGCTCCTACCATCCCCTCGCAAATCCCGACATTGGAATTTCAGTATACGTCCTCTAAAAAAGTCAAGCAGCATCGTCAATGTACCTCTAGCTCAAGATGAAGATGTGAGTGGCTTGTCTTTGCTCTCCTTGTATCCCATTAAAACACAACGCAGAGATATGCCATTGTCCCTGAAACCGATGCGGAAGCGGCCGCAGCCATGCAACGCACGAATGGCAACGAGGCCGACAATTCAATGCAATCAGGTCAGCCAGCAGGGACACAAGCGTCTCAAGCAAAACCAATCCAAACACAAGCAACTGATGGAGCGGCGGACGTTGTGTGTGGAGTGAACTGCTGCGGATTTTTCTTTGGTTTTGGACGTCGTCGTCCTGCTTCGCACCACTCATAAAGGATGGAGGAAGTGTGGCACGCGCACGCTCAATTTAACTTCCTTCCTCCTCACCTGTGTCGGACATCCCTCGTAATCGATATTTGCGTCACCCATGCGCTCGGATCCATCTCTCTTCGTGCACCTCCTTTCCATTGCGCTACTTTTTACGGATGCACACCACTTGAGAAGTTGGCTCCGTTTTCTGGAATGCAGCGTTTGGTTGTGCAATGGTCTTGCAGGGGAGCTTGATGTAAGCGATCCGCTGAAGGATATCCATCGATGAGTCATCCTATCCATACTCCTCCATGAATCACAGTGCTACGACAAGTAACATCGTAGCTTATGCACTTTATCATGCTTTCGACGCCCCCTAGACTGAGAGTTTGGTATACCTACAGAATTTCCCACCGATCAACTTTCTCCCGCAGCACAAAATCGAGACCTTATAGCGCTGTTTTATTCACATTCGAGAGTCGTCAGATTCCTGCGTGTCTCGCTCAAGGTAACCTCCGCTCCCGCTATCAAGCTAACAATTAATGGTTGCATCATGCAACGGGTCGCACTATAGTGTGGTCATTGTCAGTGACACACTCAGTTATAACACACGTGCGGATGCGGATCGGTCGGTATCGCGCAATTGATTAAAGTGACATTGGTACATGTGAGTATCGTCATCGCGAAGTTGACAGAGGAAGTGGATGGAGCCATAGCATACACCGTTAGACGACGAGGTGAACAGGACAGCCTGCGCAAGTTGGCGTGGCAAAATCACTCTGCAGACTCGTATATTTCAACAGATGAGCATAAAAAGACTGCAAGATAGAAGTACCGATGTGCAGAAGACTGTAAGTAAGGGTACAGAAATCACTGAAGGGTTGCTGAGCTCAGATAACTCAACCCAGCCCTTCGTGTTTGTATACACGAGTAGAAAACCATCAATATCTTCTAGTTCCTCGTCGTCGGACTGCTCGGCTACTCCTGGTACCAATAGTAGCTTCTCGAGGCGGAGACCAGATCGACGGTCGTGACTCTGATTCACTAACTACTAGCCTTATTTTTCGGAGGTCGTTGACTGCAACAGCTCCCCGTGATCCGTTGGTTAATCAGTCTACTGCCAATGACACGGCCTCGCTCGCTGAGTCTATCCTATAGACTATCACATTTAGAAACCATCGTCCCTGCAGTCCATTGGCATATCTAGTAGATGATCTTGAGGACTATTTGCGGCAACCTGTGGAGAATATCAAAGTCACACTGCAATGGTAGGTCCATAATCAAAAGACGTCTCCAAATTTGCACCGGATGGCACTTGTATTCCTAGTAGGTCATGCACCATTGCTCTCGCTAGCATCACAACTTATGTGTTACACACCATAGCTACCTCGTCGAACATTTCACAAGGCTGGCACCTTCTATGCGGAGCGGCTTTACTCGAAACCGCTTGTCTCCATCATCAACCCGTGCATTCCTCTGTCTTGGCTCATGGCTCCATTGTGGTCTGGTAGCACCCGAAGACCTTACTAAGGTCTGAGGAAGAGAAACCGAGCGTTGGGTGAGGTTATCCTACATAGTGTTACAATTTCTTGTTTGTGTACCCGCGGGTAAATGCAACACCGCGGGTTAGCACGGGTAATACCGTACCCGTACCCGTACGGGTACGGTGTTGACGGGTACGGGTGCGGTGTTGATCTTTCGACCCGCGGGTATACCCGTGCTATACCCTATTCCCAACGGGCAGAACTGAAGTTGAACATCTTGTGACTTTTCAAGCTGATGTCCTGGCTCTTGCACAAGTCGTTATTAGGTATACGTTATCTTTTTCTGTGACGAGGACCGTCTATCCAGTACATTCCATACACGTTCATCCATTCTTCGAGCGCTAGATTCAGTCATACATGGATGCTTCTCTGGCAAATGTGAGACGGTCTACTATTTGCACATTCGCTAAATCCATATCCAAACACCTCACAAGGCACTTGCATGCAGATTTATGTCGGCTGGCACGTCTTTTGGTTAAACTAAAGCACACAGGTGATTCATGTGGTTAATTCAGGTAGCTGCCCAAACTCATTTCATTCTTGTAACAACTATAGAACTGACAGCATTCTTTATCGTGCACGCAGAGATTTCCCCATATGGTACATGCACTGACAGACATGGACGCTGTCAAAGTGACAATAACGACAAGGAAGGAGAGACACATTTTCTGTGCGAGATGATATGCAATATTTTTGGGAAGATATCTTTGAAATGGGGGAACACTGGGACGATGACCAGCTTTTATATCCTGTTACACTTATGGTGACGATCCTGACGGCCTGAACCATTTGGCAGAGTTGTTACTGTTGGATAGCGGAGGCAGGACTCCGCATGTATTCAGAACGCTTCACTGGTCTGCGTGCAAAGACATCTGTCGTGTAGTCCCAATTAAGACGTCCGGCACTGGCAGTGGTACTACTAGTTACTAGCTTAGAGCTAAAAGTAGGCAGTCTGTCTCAAAAACTTAATTAAGGGAATCACAGCAAAAGGCCAAACTTCCAATAACCTTCGTCCGTTGACGAGTGTCGCCATCGTTGGTGTCATCTACCTTTGTCGTCATGCAGTATGTTATGCACCAGCTCATCGGGTCGTCGGGCATCAAATCATCATTTACAATAAGTATCTCAGTACTCACTCCCAGTGAAAATCGACAAGAATGAGGTAGTCGAACACCACCCAAATAGTGGTATCGAGATGAAAGTCCACCCATTCGATAGTTTTCATCGTCGTCCGGCAGCCTCTTCAGTTCATACCCCTCCTGATACCAGCCTTGGTGTCCATTCCAATCCCGGCTTGAATTCAACATTGCTGAGCTCACTCTCGAGGCTAGATTGAACAATGAACAAACAGACCGCCTCATAAGAATTTGCCTTCACAGTTCTGTTGGCAAGGATAAATTCACATTTAGGAACCATAAAGATATTCATAGCAAGTGGGAAGCGGCATCTCATTGGATCACCAAGGTGGTGTCATTTACCACTGTGAAATCAGAATCTGACCTTGTTCAAAGTGCAGTTCATGAAAGAAGTGATCTCAGTGCCTCATGACGGCAAGATGTGGGACTTTGATGTATACTACAGGGATCTCTGGGAGCTACTGACCTGCTTCAGGACCCCCGCCTGTTCCCACACTTCACATTTGATGCACAGCGCTTATCAAAGTTTGATGGGCAAAATTTTGTCCACTTTGTAGATGAACCTTTCACTGCACAAGACTTTTGGGATGTGCAAGTATGTGTTGATTCAAATATTTAATCCTTTTTATATATGAAACATTGTGCATTTGTAGTCGCAACTACCACCAGATGCAAAGCCACTAGCTTTCATTTTGTATGCAGATAAAACAAGGCTATCGTCATTTGGCACTGTCAAAGGTTACCCAGTTGTTGTGTGCTTAGCAAATCTACCTACGGACATTTGGAACGGATGAGGCATAGGTAGTGGCTACATTGTAGGATGGCTACCAATAGTATGTCAATGATCCGATGTTTGTCTCTCATCATCTGTGCTGATGGTATGTTGTCAGGTGGCAGAAGATAAAGAGCATGCTGGAAAGACAAGCTAGGTCAACTTCAAAAACTCAGTCTGGCACGAGTCATTCGCAAGAATCACATCTTCGCTGGTGTCAAAATCAAAGACTGGACAATGGTATTCCTGTCTGGACAGCATCAACAGGTGGTTCTTCCTTTGCGTGTTGATTTTGTCGGCTGATTATGAAGAACAGTAAGTACTAATGTTTTGCTACACATCTTTGCTAATGATAATTTACAGGTGCATCATGTCACTTACTCGAGGAATCATGAGCCTTTGGCCATGTCCCATCTGTCTTGTTTCTCGAGATGAGCTTTGGGATACCTCAAAATGATATCCCCACTGAACTGCAAACACATCACGCAATATTGTAATGGCTGCGCAGGAAAAAGACAGCTATGAGGAACAGGAGGAGGTTCTCAAACAATATGGACTTCGTGACATTATTGTGAGTTTCATGTCTGCTTGCGAAGCTCTTAAACTTACAAAACACTTAAAATTACTTTCAGAATTCATTATGGGCTATCAGGTACTCAGATGTCCATCGAGCATTGTCGCATGACTGATGCCACTATCATCATGGTGGCCTTTGGTCCCGTCATTACTGGGTTGAGCTGCAAAAGTAGCCCAAGTTGATAAAATGTGCATCTATTTTTGTGCTATCTAACACATTACCCTCTTCTAATGTGTCTATAGCTTTGCGGCATTTCTGTGCTAGTGAAATTTGGAGCACCCGAACCAGGTAATGAATGTTGCATTTGTGGACAGCTCTGTCCATGAACATATCTCAAAGGTTCGTGGTTTTAATGATATTTTACACAATTGTCTCAAACATGTTATGCTCCATTGATTCACAGATGATCATTTATGCTACACACAACATCCTGACAGAGGAAGACTCTCCGCTTGGGCACCTTTTACTTCACTGTGTGCGCCTTTACCTCGAGGTCAACATGTACGCTGCCTTCGAGGTCCACACGACTGATGCAATCAGCGAAGGCAGAGGCGCCGTCCAAGCTCTAACAGCATTCATGAAGGTACGTCTAATGATACACTACTTTAGCAAATAAATAGTAGATTGATACTTTAGTAGCAATATATCACAGCAACCGACCAGGAGGATGGCAAGAATTGGAGTTTTCCTAAACTCTACATGACTACACATCTATTTGATGATATCAAGGCCAAGGGAGCCACAAGGAACTATAATACGAAGCCAAATGAACAAATGCATGGGCCATTGAAGGACTTGTACCAGGATCTGTCCACCCATATGGTGCTCCCTCAGGTCTACGACTTTGAAAAGACAAGCATCTCAACCTTTTTAGGGTTTGAGCAAAACAACGGGCACAGGCAGAATTTTTCTTGGTCACGTCAATCATTCGCGGGGCACTTCTAGTGCATGACGAAACCCTCGACTACTTTGTCATTGACACAGTTGATACCGACATGTTTCTTCATTTGAAGGAAATGCATCTGCAGGCAGGGCATGTGGTGCATATTTGATTGGTGAGTGTGGTGTCTCTTCGACGAGTCTGATTTGTACTAATATACTAATATTATTAATTAGCTAGCAGGCCAAGCCATTACATCACACTTAGAGATGAGTTGATAGCAGGCCGAGCCATTATATCACACTCAGAGACAAGGGGGTAGCAGGATAAGGAATTTGAACACCAATCTACCTAGTTGCACTTGTCTGTTCGCTTTTGGGGTCTCAGATTTGACTTTTTGTCTATCTTTTTGTTCTTCGTATGTTTGAACATGATGTATTAAGAGGATATCTTTCTATAGTATAAATAAACATATTTTGATGAGCATGAGGAATACTTGCCTGTGAAGAAGTGGCTGCAGGAAGTGATGCAATTTTTACACCAAAGATCTAGGGGGAGAATTACTGCATTTGGTCACCCGCAGTCTGGCAAACAATGTGTCTGTCAAGTCTGTCTGACATGTCATCCCGGACCTATGTCTGACGCTGCATGGCCCTCCAGTCCCTCTTTTCACTACAATACATTGCATAATAAGGTGTTACACAGCACCTGCCAGTGGCCACTGGATGGCTTCTCTGACTCTGACTTTGAGCTTAGCTCTGATTCTGAGCCTACCTTCGAGGATGGAATCTTGCATATTACAATCCAGAGCCTGCACCTGCCGAAATTCTTGATGTCCTGGATTATGACTCAGAGGTGGATATGACAATAGAGGATGACTGCCAATTTTAATCAGTGTTTGAGTTGGAAGGATGATTGACCCATGTGGATTTTGCAGACAGTCAGGCCATCCAGTGAAACTTGTCAAGCAAAAAAGAACATTTCAGCCGCAATCCTCGTGTCCCCAGGCAATATTGTTCAGTCTCGGGGCAGCCACAAACAGCTCAAAGGCATCCCCATCCACAAATGCACCAATTCGGTGTCAACTATGCCCAGTGTCATCAGGTGATCATGCTGTCTTCTGGAAATACAATGTTCACTAACACGTCACCAGTTCTCATGACACTTCATACAAATCCCTTCCGGCTGGCTTCATGAAGGAAATTGAAATCTCGCAGCTTGAAAAGGAACACCTTGGGATACCACTGGATTTGATTGACAACAGTGTTCAGGATGACTTGAATACAACTGCTGTGGATAGTACTAGTCAAAACTCCTTAATGAAGTGCAGGCATCAAACACTTCAAGGCAACACTGGTTCCAAGCGCTCAAAGAAGGTTTAAATTTTAAATTTGATTCACGCACATACAGTACATCGAAGCTACTCCTACTATTACCTTAGTACTAGACCTATCATAATAGTCATATGTAACTGCGCAATGCACAATTTAATGTCACAAGCTGCTTTACCATCAAGCTGTGTTCTGAAGCTATTACTTACTTACAATTCAATATGTAATGTGTGGACTTAGCGAAATTTTTGCTGGTCAAGTATGGTACAGTATGGTATAGTATTCGACTCATTTTCGGGGTCCTGGTCACTCAACTTTTGCGAGTCCGTGTTCAAAACTTTATGTTTGCTACCCCCTTGCTCAGAGATGACAAATATAAGTTGATAGCAGGCCAAGCCATTATATCATGCTCAGAGATGACAAATACAAGTTAATAGCAGGCTGAGCCATTATATCATGCTCAGAGACAACATATATGAGTTAATAGCAGGCCGAGCCATTATATCATGCTTAGAGACGATTCAGACATAGCCAGGGTATGTTTGTTTGTCATTTTCACAGATGGTTACTGACATTCCTACTTTAATTTGGTGGTCCACAGCCACACTGCCCTCCGGAAAGACACAAGAAGTGTGAGGCCTCACTGCAGCCATTATGTTCCAGTGACACCGACATTCTCATTGCCACGTCGAATCTTGCTGGACACAGTATTTATATGTGGGATATTAGTCTTGTCGTCGACTACCAGACGGCAGGCACCATTGAGGCATATTACATGCATTAATGTATTGGTATGTCAGCAGTGTTTGATTTGTGCATGTTCTATTACTTGTGGTATGCATTTAAATGCTTACAAAGTTATAATTGATGGAGCACTAACCAATATGTCTTGATTAGCAGGTCATTAGAACATTTCAAGGTTTCTATTATGACTATTGATGTGTACAGCTGCTGTGGGTGATATTACATCGAGCATGCACAAGGTAAGCGTAGTATTATTTAAAGTGTTATATTAGTTGACTAATTTTGTGTTGCTTCCCCATCCAACAATATCCTTGTCCAAAGTGATTCGGAACACACATGTCGCACATTACACAGTCACACACAGACTCAGACAGTGACTTCGATGATCAGGGGGGTGATCCTAGTCACATCTCTATTCCAGGCCCTAGCGCTTCTAAAGGGGAGCTACTAGAGGTAAGACATGATTCGCTTGTCAAAAATTTTACTGACTTGATTCATTTCAGACACTTAGAGTGCTGCAGGTTCAAATGCAGTGGCTTCAGGAAGAGAATAGGTCTATCAAAGAAGAAAACAAGACTTTACATGTGAGAAGCCCAAATGAAAACGGCGTGCGGACACTCAGCATTGTTACGACTTGGATAGTATCTGTTGGCGATGCTCAAACAGAGTGTGTGTCGTCAAGGATGTCCTTGGGCTAGCCCAAGGTTAGGGGTCTTACTTGGCAAGGCTTCGGCAAGTAAGATTTAACGCCTATGTCCAAATTGGGTAGCTTATGTCAAGCGGGGGCTTGACGATAAGTGTATCTGTCAAGGCCTACAACACCCGAAGGTTAATCACAAGATCTGCGTTAATTAGAAGGACAGAAGTCCGACTAGTTAACAGGGCTTTGCTCGTCGACAAAGTTGATGAGTAAAGATTGAGACTAGAGACTTATCCGCGATGAGCAGATAAGAAAGTAGAATATAGACTGCTGGCTAGGCAGAAAGGATCACTCTTGTTAGGAGTAGGAGGTCAAGAACCAAGTAGATTCAAGTTAAGGAGTAAGATACATGGTAGCGAGTTTATATAGAGGAAGGGATGCGTATTAGTGGGTGATAACTTGTACTACCAGAAAGGGAACTGGTCAAAGGGTGATACTGGAAAAGGAAGGCGCATTCGAGGTGAGTCATAGGCAGACCGGAATGTGCAGATAAGAAGTGAGTCAAACAACAGAATAAGAAGTGGAACGCACAGGGGCACAACCGTGCAACTGCAGAGCTAAGTATAAGTACACATGTGTGACTGCGCACTGAGTCATAGATCAAGAAAGGGGACAGGGTAAAGGGGATGCAGTATGCATCATATCATAGGTTACCGTCCGGACGGTAAGGGCAAAGGGACTGTCCACAGGATCAGTCAGGGGTTGGAACGGAGAAGGGGTATGCTTCATCAGAGAAAGGGTCTGGCCAGATGTACTGGCTCTGCTGGAGCGACAGGTAGAGAGTGAACGGGAATGCGAGGATGACGAGGATAACAAGAGCAAGGTCGGGGTAAGGGTGTGACGCAAGGGCAGATATGAGGAGAATAAGGAGAAAAATAGTAGGTGCCCAAGCGTCTAGATGTTCTTGTAACAAGCATGAACTTAGCACGCATGAAGATATCATCACCATCTATGCCCGTAAGTATGGCATGATGGTCGAGATGTTTCCTAGTGGCGATCTTCTCAACTCAAAGCTTCCAGAATCTCCGACTCCATTCAATAGTCCTGACCAATATACGACTGCAGCAATGCAGGACTCTGCCTTCTTAGACGAGCTTTACCGACACTTCCCTGAATCATTGCACAAGATGATGGAAAGTTCTTATTTCAGTGATCTGGTATGTAGCTTGTTATTCCTGGACTTGTCATGTCACTGACACTACAATGTTCTTGACTTAGGTACTGAAAAGTATTCCCGATGCCTGTGCAAACAAAATCAAGAAACTTCGCGGTGTTGCTGGTGATATCTTTGACCTTCCGTCAAAGTATTTCACCAATCCCAGCTTCGAGAGAGCCGCTATCCCCAAAATACAACAGCTCCTTGGGGTGACATCTGCTACAAACCAGACATACAAGCCTTTTCCGCCAGTGTTGTTTCCAAGATTGAAGGAAGACAAATTGTTGAAGATGGTGTTCGGAAACTGGGAGCTATTAGCGCGAGTAAGTCTTACTATTGTATCAATGATCTATCTTACTGAGTGTGACTTTATTACCCAGATTCTCAAAGCTTCGTTGCGTGGTGTTTCCTCGCTCCACCAAGGCTCAAGCGGTGGTGGTGCACATACCAACTCTCTTAAGTGGAGTGTCCGCCAAATCACACCAGGATCGATTGCATGGGCAGCAGTTATTGTAAGTCATATTACCATCATTGATGACTCGAGCCTCAGTCTTTGTGTGTTGTTGCAGGCCATATTTTTATTTTCGCCGGACACCGAGTTCTTGAGCTCTGGCCTTGGTAAGAAGTCGAATATCAATTATAAGAATCTGTTCTACAACTACAAGAAGATTCTCATTGTGAAATGGTCAACGAGGCACATCCTATCCATTGTTGCTAATATCAATTGCTATGTCTTCAAGGCCGTGAAAGGACCCGCCATCAATTCGGCTGAATAAGAGGATCATACAGATGCCATTGATTGTGTGCTAGCAGCACTGGACATGTCTGATAGCGATTCAGATGATCAATCCAACCTTTCGGCTCTGACATCTGCAATGCTTCCAGTTGCTGATCCAGCTGCTGCCACCCTAAGCACCACTGTGAGGAATTCCCAACCTGAAGCACTACCAGATGTTACGACTTGGATGGTATCTGTTGGCGACGCTCAAACAGAGCTTGTGTCGTCAACGGTCTGTGGACGTCCTTGGGCTAGCCCAAGGTTAGGGGTCGTACTTGGCGTGTCTTCGGCAAGTACGATTTGACGCCTATGTCCAAATCGGGTAGCTTATGTCACGCGGGTGCGAGACGATAAGCTATATCGGCCTAGGCTTACGACACCCGAAGGTTAATCGTAAGGATCGTCGTTAATTAGAAGGACAGAAGTCCGACTAGTTAACAGGGGCTTTGCTCGTCGACGAAGTCGATGAGTAAAGGTCGAGACTATAGGCTTATCCGCGAAGAGCAGATAAGAAGATAGAATATAGACTGCTGGCGAGGCAGAAGGATCACTCTGGTGAGAGTAGGAGGTCAAGAACCAAGTAGATTCAAGTTAGGGAATATGGTACATGGTAGCGAGTTTATATAGAGGACAGGGACATATTAGTGGATGATAACTCGTACTACCGGGAGAGGCAATCGGTAAAGGGTAAGACCATAATAGGAAGGCACGTTCGATCTAGGTAGAACGTGCTGGATAAGAAAGTGAGTCAAAGATCAGAATGAGAAGTGAAACACGCAGGGGCACGATCGTGCAACTGCGGATCTAAGTATAAGTCGCATGTGCGACTGCGCACCGAGTCAGAGATCAAGAAAGGAAAATAGGGCAAAGGGGATGCGTCATGCATCGTGTCATAGGTTACCGTCCAGACGGTAGGGGACTATCCGCAGGATCAGTCAGGTGGTGAAACGGAGCATGGGTATGCTTCGTCAGCGAACGGATCCGGCCAAATGTACTGGCTTTGCTGAAGTGACAGGTAGAGGGCGAAAGGGAATGCGAGGATGACGAGGATGACAAGGGTAAGGTCGGGGTAAGGGTATGATGCGAGGGCTGATACGAGGAGGATCAGGAGAAAAATAGTAGGGGCCCAAGCATCTAGATGTTCTTGTAACATTACCCCGGTTTCTAGGACTGAAATCAACGAGTTCAGTTATCCATGTTGTCATACCAGGAGGGGTCGCAGTCGAGGTCACGGAGTATGTCCATGGCTTCTAAAGCATTCTCTTCTCTATCTTGTTCGAGTCGTGCAGCATCATGATCATATGCTGCTTCTAACTGACGCATGTCAGTGTAGAACGTTTCTGAGGATATTCCTCGACGAAGGATCTTCTTGCCGTGAAGGCGAGGGCAGAAGGGAGTGAGATGTCCGGGGGCGAACAGTCCACAAATGCGGCAGAAGTATCGCTCGCATTGTTTCTGTTTGTGGCCGTACTGGTGGCAGACCCTGCACTTAAAGTTACACTGGTAGGGTTGTGGGGTCGTCCTAGTGTGCGTGTCGTTAAGTATCTGTTGCCTAGGTGGGATCTTGGCCCGGTACATGTCGAGTGGTGGGTAATCCGAGTGCAAGGATGCGCTCAGTATTCAATCGGCGACTTCGTCGAGGTCTTCGTGTGGGTGGAGGGACAGGGACAGGGGTATCGTCCCTGATGATAGGTGACCCGATAGATAATATCGGTATGTCATCGGTAGAGGTGAACCCTGGAGGGGGAGTGGTAAGACGAGCTTCCAAGCTCGGTTTGTCTTCTTCGTTCGTCTTTCTCCAAGGTGGTGTGCGAGTTTCCTTACTCGACTTTTCTTCTTCGTGCTTCTTCTTCCCTTTATAGGGAGCAGGTAACGGGTCGTTGGCTACGACCTCGTCATTGATGATGGCGGCTCGGAGTTCCTCGAGCTCGTCGCTAGTCATCATCCTGTACTGCTCTTCTTCGTGTTCTGCGAACAGTCTGTCGATTTCTTCGGATGTGAGGTTGGTGGGGATAAGGTTGGATCGTTCAGGAGGGAGGAGTTGGAGCACTGCGCTCGGCAGTACGCTCGACAACGGTTGCCTGTACAGGCGGTTGGTTGTATGCGATTTCTTCTTCTATTTTGACGACTACGTCGCCGAAATTCCTGGATGCGAGAAGGTTCAAGAGGGCCCTCTTGGCCTTCGTGACGGAGTATCGAGTGATCGGACTATGGGGAAGGATGCCATATGGTCCGGTTGTGAAAGCGACAGTGTCAACTGCCCGAAACGCAGTTGACAAGCTCCAAGAGAACCGTGTCTTTGGTACGGTCAATATAGCTGTCGAGTCTAAGCGCGTACTGCGCGTCGAGAATAATGGCCTCCCAGAATGCCTTCTGAGAGTCCGGGGTCTGCGTGAAAGGAACGGTGAACTCGTGGATGAGTTCGACGATGGAGGGTGTGGAACCGAGAGAGATGGAGGAGGCATTGGACGAAGTGGTAGACATGGAGATGATGGTAGCTGGTTAACAACTGAGGAGCTTTGTTGTCAGCTTGAGTCTCTTCTTATAGTCCTTGAGCATCTCCGCTGCGGACTTCAAGTCCTTCTCTGGGATCCACGTTCGTTCGGAGGGTGGATAGCCAACCCAGGAGACCAGGTATCGGCGTTTCGTTCCGGTACCCCTGTGTTGGAGGATCGCTTCTATTTCGTAATGTTCTTCCCCGTCGATCAGGTCCGGTGGCGGTTCAGTATAGTTTGGGCCATGCACGTCCGTTTCTTGATAGGAGGATAATTCTGATGCATGGAACGTGGGATGAACACGCCAGGTGGCAGGGAGTTCGAGGGTGAACGTGATAGGGGATAGGACCTGTTTAACGGTAAAGGGTCCGTATCGTTTCGGTGCGAGTTTCTTTGAAGGGAAGTGGGTGATCAAATGCGCAGCAGACAGCCACACCTTGTCCCCAACCTTCCATGGTTGGTATTTCGCCCGAACGTGCGTTCTGCCATGCGTTGCTGCGCAAGGCTGTGGCATGCGAAGGGCTTCTTCACGGATCTTCGCGAGTCTCTTGACTCGATCTTCTGCTGCTGGCAGAGCTGAGTCGGGGAAGGCGTAAGGTATGCCTTTGGGTTCATAACCCATCATGAGGTAGAACGGGGATGCGTTCCGAGCGGAGTGTCGTCTGGAATTGTGGACGAATTCGGCCATGGGAAGGTGTTTGGCCCAATCGTTAGGAGTTGTCCTACAATAGATCCGAAGGTATGTCTCCAGCTCCTGGTTCATTCGTTCTGTCTGCCCATCCGTCTGAGGGTGATAGGCAGTGGAGAGGGCTACCTGGTAGTCCAGGAGCCGTCCGAGTTCTTTTGCTAGCTTCGAGGCGAATTGTGGGCCTCGATCGGAGATGATCTTGTCGTATAGTCCGAATCGCATAAACACCTTTTTGTAAAATAATTCAGCAACACCTTCTGCAGTGATGGTTTTCTTGCAAGGCGAGAAAATTACCCCCTTCGTAAGCCCATGGTCGACCACGACCATAATGGAATCATAGCCGGCGCTCTCCGGAAGATCAGTGATAAGATCGACTGAAACTTGGGAGAACGGTCGAGTACAGGTGGAGGGAATGGGCATCAGGGGAGGTGTGGTGGGATGAGTGTCGGATTTCATCTGCTGGCACATAGTGCAGCCATCAACGTATTGTCGGATGAAAGGTGCCCATGCCGGGCCACCAATAGCTTTTCTTGACGTTCCATTCGGTATTGGAACGTCCGGGGTGCCCGGCAGTCGGGTGATCGTGGTGGAGCTCCAGAATACGCTTCCGGAGGTCAGGGGGAACGTAGGCTCGGTCCTTGAAATAAAGGATGCCTTCGTCCATGCGCCAGTCTGACAAGGCAGACTTCATAGGGGGGGCGCAGAGGCCGTTCAGGGCGTCAGCTGCTGTCTTTATAGTGAGATCAGCAGGGTTATCATTCGCTGCTTTGAACTTTGACGCTAGAGCAGTGTCAATAAGTTTAACAAAGAGCGAATCTGGGAGGAGGACAACGTCCTCGTTATCTCGATCCGAATTGTCATGATCCGGTCGTCGGGAGAGAGCATCGGGTGCAGCAAGCTTGCTGCCCGGGACATGGTGGAATTGAAGATCGTACTCGCAGAGAGTGAGCTGCCAGCGGGCTTGCCGGCGTGTCAGCGTCTGCGAGGATCGGAAATACAGGAGGTTCTTGTGGTCAGTGAAGACGATCACCGGATGGGGATTGCCTTCAAGGAAGTGTCTCCATGCCTTCAGGGCACGGATAACCGCAAGAAGCTCTCGGTCGTAGATCTGATAATTCCGTTCCGCAGCGTTAAGGGACTGCGAAAGATATCCACATGGGTGGTAGGACCCATTGTCAGTCGGTTTGCAGGAGGACTGCTCCTGTCGCAAATAGCGATGCGTCTGTGGCCAGTGCAAACTGGCGAGAGGGGTCGGGGTTCCGGAGTACAGGTTCGGTGGTAAAACATTGCTTTAGCTTCAGGAATGAAGCTTCGCAATCTGTGGACCAAGAAAACACGGTGTCTTTCTTTGTGAGGTCGAGGAGGGGGCGAGCGAGGTCGGAATAATGGGAGATGAAAGTGACGGTAGAAATTGCAGAATCCTAGGAAGGATCTGACTTCTTTTACCGTCGATGGAGTCTGCCATTCGCTGATCCCCTTGAGTTTTGCCGGGTCCATGGCAACCTGTCCGGGTCGGATGATCATCCCAAGGTACTCTACCTCTTGGGAGTCGAAAGTGCACTTTTCGGGTTTGAGGAAGAGTTGCTCCTGACGGAGCTTCTCTAAAACCCTACGGGTGCGTATCTGGTGTTCTGCAAGGTCAGAGGAGAATATTAGGATGTCGTCCATATAGACGATGAGCCATCCTTCATCTATCTCCTTGCTGAACGTCTGGTTCATGTAGGCCTGGAACGTCGCTGGTGAGTTACAGAGCCCAAAATTTGTCGAGAAGGCTGCCTTCCATCTGTCATCGGGGTGGATCAAAATATTGTTGTATCCTGAACGGACATCCACTTTGGTGAAGTATTTCGCGTCTTTGAGCTTGGCGATGAGAGGCGGAATGAGCGGAAGTGGATATGCGTTCTTGATAGTCCATTCGTTGATGTATCGGTAGTCTGACAGGGGCGAAGGGAGCCGTCCTTCTTTCCTACAAAGAAGAAGCCAGAGGCTTGAGGCGACTTCGATGGTTGGATAAAATCTTTCTGGATATGCTCATCCAGAAACGCTTTAACCGCTTCAGTCTCTTTTGGAGAGAGAGGGTAAGCTCGGGAAGATTTTGGAATAAAACCTTCCTTTGTCTCGATCCGGTGGTCTACACCTGGTCTCGATGGGGGGAGCTTGTTAAGCCCATCCTTCGCGAATATATCTGCGAAGTCGTGAAGGTATTCGGGGACAAGCTCTTCGAATGGTTTCTTCTTCGTTTCTTGAGCTTTGTCCTTGGCGAATTCCTGCGCCTTGTTACTGGTTTTCGTGTACTCCTCCTTCGCCGTAGCAAGGATCCAAATGTTGCGAAGGGGAGTCTTCTTCGTTTTCGTGGTCTCCGTCTTGGAGGTTCCATCCCTAGTTAGGGGAGTATCGAAGGTGAGGTTCTCGATCAGTCTGACCGAAGAACCATCGGTCGAGTATTCTATAAGAATCTCGTCATCAGTCAAGGGGTAAGTCGCGACTTCCTTGACTTCGGGTAGGGGTTCGATCTTCCCTACCCAGACGTCTTCCATGACGTCAGTTTCTTGAGGCATCTCGAAATGCTTTTCTTCGGCGGGTACCTCCTTGGCAGGTTTTGCCTTCTTCGTCTTCTTTTTCTTCTTCTTGCAGTCGAATTTCTTCGAGTACGTGTTCCGTACCCAGGGGGAGTGACTTGAGAGGTTTGAAAGGTGCCTCTTCCTCGTCCTCGATCATTGGTCGGAGACCTTCGAATCGGTAGGGGGTTACCCCGTTCCTTCTTCGAATCTTGTTGAGTAGATTCTCAACATATCTGGATCTGGTTGTGGGGAGCATTGTGATTTCGTTGCGTCCCCAATCGATATCCGGTTTCATGGCGGATAGCCAGGGTTTCCCTAGCAAGATATCGTCTCGTTCGGAAAGTCTAGTGACGTTAAACTTTCCCCACATAGTTCGTCCGTCGAGTCGGACGAAGAGTATGCAGTATCGGGTGACCTTCCCAGCAGTGGATTGGCTTCCATCTACTGTAGTGATGCGGAAGGGTTTCTTCAGGAGGTGGGTTCTAATATTGTGCTTCTTTACGAAGGTGTCACAAATAAATGTTCCCCCAGCCCCTGAGTCGATGATGGCTGTTGTTGCAACGGTTTTCGTACTCGTGGAAGAGAAAAGTGTCACCGGGACACGGAATTCATTTTCTTTTCCTACAGTATGAGTACACAGGATATCTAAGGAGGGGACGCACGTTGCTTTTGCGGTCCTCCGCTCTAAAAATCCTCTTCTCCTTGGAGCCTGTTGGTCTCCATGTCGTCTTCGGAGGTTTCGTCATCACGCTGGTCTCTACCAGTCGTTACCGGAGTCTTTCCTTTGGTATCTTTCTTCTCTCCACGTCGTATCTTCGGGTGGAATCTGGGATCGTTGGCTCTGTGGCCATGCTCTTTGCATGAGAAGCAAAGGCCCTTCTTGTAGCATTCGTCTTTCTCTGCCTGAGAGAGGGTGCGGTCTACGTCCATAGCGTTAGGGTCTCTGGACGATGAGACATTAGGCTTGGGGTAGTACTTGGAACCGCGAGGGGCGTATCGGGTGTGTTGGTTGCGGGAGTTGGCAGAGACGGCCTTGCTCCTGCGGTAGTTAGCAGTCGAGCTGTACCGCAGAAGTGTACCACTTTTCGATAGTGTCAGGAAGTGTCTCCTTCCTGTAGATTGCTTCGCGAAGGCTTGGGTTCAGGCCTTTCTCAAAGAAGTGTGAGAGTGTCACGCCTTCCTTGATATTGGCGATGGTAGCCAACGTTTTGAACTTCGAGATGTAGTCCGTAACGTTGTTTCCCATTCTGAGTTCGGCGATTTCGGTAAGGGCATTCACCTGCTTATCAACGGGTTGAAATGCAAGGTTGAATCCTTTCTCGAATTCTGCGAACGTTCCGAATTTCGGAGGGTTGGTGCTGAAAGCTTCGCGATAGAAGTTATCAGCCCATGCTTTAGCGCTGTTCTTTGTCATTAATGACAGGGCGACGGACACCATGATCTGCTCGCTGCAATAGACGGTGGGGTTGATGAGGAAGTACGTCTTTAAGCTGTAGAGCCATCGTTGTGCGTCGTCGGTGTTCCCATCGTAGTCTGTTGGTGACCCTGCTTTGAGTTCAGGGGCACGAACTACGACGGCGGTGGAGGAGGATGGGTTAGACATTCTTGTCTTCGGATTGGCGCTTGTGTTTCGGGGAGGTACTTCGTCTGGAAAGTCCTCTTCAGAAGTCGGAGTGTTTCCTAGATCTTCTTCGTCGTTCAGTCCCTCGTCTGAGTGGTACTGCTCTGTCGGTGAGGTGGGAGAGCTAAACTGTCCGTCTACCTCTTCTTCGTCAGGATCTTCCTGATTCGGGTCGCGCTCCCAAGAGAACTTGCGTGTCCAGGGAGTGGTCGTCTTGTATCTGTTTCTGTCCTCGATAGGTGTCGAGGGCTAGAAGGAAACTTGAATCTTTTGTTACGACTTGGATGGTATCTGTTGGCGACGCTCAAACAGAGCTTGTGTCGTCAACGGTCTGTGGACGTCCTTGGGCTAGCCCAAGGTTAGGGGTCGTACTTGGCGGGTCTTCGGCAAGTACGATTTAACGCCTATGTCCAAATCGGGTAGCTTATGTCACGCGGATGCGAGACGATAAGCTATATCGGCCTAGGCTTACGACACCCGAAGGTTAATCGTAAGGATCGTCGTTAATTAGAAGGACAGAAGTCCGACTAGTTAACAGGGGCTTTGTTCGTCGATGAAGTCGATGAGCAAAGGTCGAGACTATAGGCTTATCCGCGAAGAGCAGATAAGAAGATAGAATATAGACTGCTGGCGAGGCAGAAGGATCACTCTGGTGAGAGTAGGAGGTCAAGAACCAAGTAGATTCAAGTTAAGGAATATGGTACATGGTAGCGAGTTTATATAGAGGACAGGAGACGTATTAGTGGGTGATAACTCGTACTACCGGGAGAGGCAATCGGTAAAGGGTATGACTATAACAGGAAGGCACGTTCGGTCGAGGTAGAACGTGCTAGATAAGAAAGTGAGTCAAGGATCGGAATAAGAAGTGAAACGCGCAGAGGCACAATCGTGCAACTGCGGATCTAAGTATAAGTCGCATGTGCAACTGCGCACCGAGTCAGAGATCAAGAAAGGAAACAGGGCAAAGGGGATGCGTCGTGCATCGTGTCATAGGTTACCGTCCAGACGGTAAGGGTAAGGGGACTGTCCGCAGGATCAGTCATGTGGTGAAACGGAGCATGGGTATGCTTCGTCAGCGAAAGGATCCGGCCAGATGTACTGGCTTTGCTGAAGCGACAGGTAGAGGGCGAACGGGAATGCGAGGATGACAAGGATGACAAGGGTAATGTCGGGGTAAGGGTATGATGCGAGGGCTGATACGAGGAGGATTAGGAGAAAAAATAGTAGGGGCCCAAGCGTCTAGATGTTCTTGTAACAAAAATGGTCTTGCAGACCAGGGGTAATGATAGTGTGTGGCATGTGGTTGCGCAGAAACAACTTAAGGGCTGGGAGGAACATGGACGCACCATGTGCAGTGACGAGGTGCTGAACCAAACACTGAGGGTATGCAGGCGTCTTAGCGAGAAAGTAGACTGTTCGTTGCTCAGGGAGGATGGGAAGTGTATTGACAGGGACAGTGTCTGGCCCTTCCATCTCTGAGTCCGAGTCCGAGTCATATCCACGGTCACGAGTGAAATTGGTTGGTGCCGACTGAGACTGTTCCAACAGCCAGTTGAGGTAGAAACCACGCAGGAAGACTGCCTCCTGGCGCTGGAGCCATAAGGCCATTTGTTCTTCATAGTCACGCTTGTTACTGGCGTGATACACTTCTTTGGCAAAGTTGATGTGCAATCGTTCAGGAAGTTCGCTGTTAAAGCTGTCTGTAGCGCCAAACAATAGGATAGACTGAACATAGTGAGAGAGCTGATATAATTTGGGAATATTAAAATGCTCACGAATATCGAGTTGCTGCAGGACGTCCTTGTTGGCGTGAAATATCGCCAGAGCGCTTTCCAGGCCATTGAGGGATTCAGTTGAGTGAACTCGAAGCTGAGCATAGTACGAAAAATCTAGAATTGCTCGCGCAACTACTAACACTTGGCTGGTAAGCAAACCAAAACAATCACATCAGCACCAACCTCGTGCTTAGCAACAATTGAAGCTTACCTAGGGACAGCGCCAGCAAGTAGCCCAACAAATACACACTGCATCTCTTTGTGTTCTGTCCCCGTCCACTGCTTTACCGTAGATACTTCCTTCTTGAAATGCCGAAGACTGGGATAATCAGGCATCACTTTGAACCGTGCGTCCATTTCTTCTTCGCCGACAATATCAAGGCACCACTTAACTAAATGGTCCTTAAAGATGCCTTTGTGGAGTTGGTGTAGGAGGTCGGGTGTAAAGGCCAGGAAGATGTTAGAGTGGGGGAGATTAGCCCAAAACGAAGCATAGGCGGTGCGTAGTCCAAATTCCTCAAATTCAGCAGGATGGTGACCAGTCTTTCGCTTCTCTAATATCCCCTTTATCACTGCAGGATCCTGCATTGGCGAATCCAGTGGATCGCCTCTTTCATCCGCCGCAATTACACATTTCGGACAGCGGTTTTCCTTGCAACATGCAACCAGACACTGCTCTGGAAAGTCCACTACATACGCGGCAAGGATTGGATACACTCGATGGATCAACGAATCAGCGCACACCATTTCAACGCCATCTTCACCTGCAGCAACAAGGGGTTGAAGGAGGAGGGACATGCAATGATGGAATAGTTGGTAGTTGGCGAGGGAGCGTTCATCAGGTGTAAAGCAGTCAAGCTTTCCTGAAGGTAGGTAACCAATCAGGACTGTTGCTCATGCTGACGTTTGCCGCCATTTTTCTTTAGCAATGTTTCCAATAGAGAGGTACACAGGATATGCCGTTTTGTCACCTCGGAATTGCGACAGACCTGTTTTGTCTGTTGCAAGAATAATTGGTGCGATGGTTGCTCCTTCCGGCACCTTTTTCTGGACAACACAGGTCAGTGCTTGTCATTTTCGATGTTTTTTTGGTATGGTGCTTACTTGCATGTTACACCACCAATCTGCAGTCCACATATTGTCTATCACTTGGTGGAGTCCTGCAGAGTCTGTGTATGCGCAAGCAGGTGTGTACACCATTTGATCCTTGAACAAAGGATTTCTGATCAAGTCTTTGATGCACTCTATGGGATTGCGCATCCACAGTTCAACATCTTCGTGCAACGGTTCACCTTTTTCGTCCGTTCTATTTCCCTGAACACTAATCTTCTTACAGCTCCAGGTGGCTCCATGTGGGAGTTCATCAACCTTCTTGAGGAATGATTGGTTGTTGTGGAATGAAGGTTGCATTCAGTTTCGTGTCTATCATGCTGGTCAGTACAATTTTTTTGGTGCTTGATGCCAAACTTACAATCGGTAACTTTAGAAATTCATTGGTTCGAGTCTGTCCAAGGCTTTTTACAAGCCACTTGGCGAGACCCCTACTCTTCCCTGGCAGCTAAAGTCAGGCAGAGGCTATAAACACAATAGGGTACATACTTGTCACAAAATGGAGCCCACTCGTCCTCACCCATGCCTTCCTTGTACTTCCGGTACCTTTCAAATTCAGTTTCCCCTTCCCGCAGTGCCCATCCACCACCGGAACATTGCTTGAAATAGCACCCACCACCTTCCACTACCTCACCTTCATCAGCAACATCCTCGACCATCACACGCTGACTTTTTGGCGCCAGTGGATTATGTTCATCAGCCTTGAAAGAGTCGAAAGAGTTGGACCGTGAGCAGCGAAGTGGGGAAAATGAGTGGCCAGCATTGTGGTTCTTCATAGAAGGTGCATTGTCTTTCAAGTCTTTTTCTTCAATCATTAACTCCCATGCCCTTCTGCATTTAGGCCGGTTAGCTATGTGTCTCTTGATGCCCCCCCTCATAGGGAACTCCTTGCCACAAAATGCACAGCAGTGTGACATAGTAGGTGAGTATAAGTTTGCACTGGTCTTGTGTGACTTGTCTCATTGTATGCCCATTTTTTTTCAATGGCCTGGTCTAGACTTAAACTGGGCGCAGTTACCGAGCGCCGCGCCACCACTTGATCTGAGCACCACACCACACAACCCTGATTTTGGAAAGTACGGCAAGTCTTGGCTAGTTTTGTTGCTTGGGAGGATGATCCATGAGGTGCGCAGCTTGTTTTGTTGATTGGGAGGGGTGTGCTTACCCTGATCTTGCAACCAGATGTGCCCTCACAAAGTGCAAGTCCCAGTCTTGCCACCAGACACACCCTCACAAACCTATGGATTACAGCCTCGTTTAGACTTGATCTGTATGCCAAAGTTATGGCCTCGTTTAGACTCAATCCATGCGCCAAGTCGCAATCAGGTACAGTTTTTTTCGAGGATGATCCATGAGGTGTGCTTACCCTGGCTACTTACCTGCCTGGTTCCCAACACAGTGTGTCCGAGAGAACAAGATCGAGAGAGCCAATGACCTCGTGAGTCATGGCGCATTGTTTGCAACCTCCATTACAATCTTCCTTGTCTAGCACCTGCCTGGTTTCCAACACAGTGTGTCCGAGAGAACAAGATCGAGAGAGCCAATGACCTCGTGAGTCATGGTGCGTTGTTTGCAACCTCCATTATAATCTTCCTCATCTAGCACCTGCCTGGTTCCCAACACAGTGTATCTTCCTCGTCTAGCAAGAGAACAAGATCGAGAGAGCAAATGACCAATTCTAGTATGTTAAATTCTTGTCTCTGATACTAGCTAATTTGATGTGCTACGTTAGTTTGGAAATACCATGGGCGGCCAGAAGTACCTCTAAAAGCTGCGCCCATTTGGCTTCCTCGCACTGTTTCACCTCTGCATCCCAGCGCTCAACGACGAGCCTTTGTATGCTCGCTTATAAGATACTAATAGCTGGGCCTGGTGCTACTTCTAACAGTTGCAGTTTTTTTGCTTGCTCGCAGGCCTTCACTTCTGCCTCCCAATGCTCCAGAATTAGGTTTTGTATGTAATTCTGGGAAGCTGTGATAGGGCTGGGTGTTTGACGAAACGGAGGGCACAGGAACATGGGCTCTGCATCAGGCCTTTCGAGCTTGGGTCTGCAAGCCAGTGAGTATTTGAGTGTAACATGGAATGGCAACTAACCTTTTGACGTCAATTTTCGTGTCTTCACAGCCAGCCTCTTTGCGACCAGCGATTTGTGACATCGGGCTGCAAGATTCGTCAGAGCACAGTGAGTTTTGAAGCAAGCTCCATACTGTTTTTTTGACAAGTCGGGGGTATTCATAACAGTGAAAATAAATTGTGACGGTATGATCATACCTTTTTATTGTCCCTCTCATTTGACACAGCTTTCAGCCCTTCATTCTACAAATCAACAATCAACGAACTATTAAGGTTCAATTGTGAGTTATTTGTATGTTTCGCAGTGGTATAAATTGTGCTGACCTGCTGTGTACTTTGACAAGACAACCATGGCACCTCGTAAGCCTACCTCCAAGCCAAAGTGCACCCCCTCACCACCTGCCGCGAAACAGCAGGTGTGCACTGCAAGTGGTCAAGAGCGGTGACTAACTGAAAAAGAGAATTACTGTTGTAAGTACCAGCATATTATGTTCTGACTCACCATCTCGTTCTACAGTCAGCGAATCCCAACATGTTGTCCATCACCAAGAAATCAAGGAGACCCAGACAGCAAAACAGAAGAAGAAAACCTTAAAGGCTGCCTACCAAGGGCATCCTGACGTCTTCAAGAAAGAGCCGTCAGAGCTCCTTAGCGACATGGACAGGCAAGAAGACACAATGGTACGAGCTTTTTTTTTCTTTCCTAATCTTAAATCAGCCACTGACAATTTTTTTTTCAGTTCTCTGATCACAGTGTCAATACAAGGTTGTCCAACACTAATAGCCTGACATTCAGTACAGGGAAAATCCCTCCAAGGTTGTGCAACCCATCCATACATAAAACTAAAGGACCAAAAGGTATGTTTCTACTTTATATAATTACACTACTAACCCTCCATCAAACAGCACTGCATAATGTTGACGAGTCAACAGACGACGGCGACGACGCTGCTGACAATGACGACAACGATCAGTTGCCTGCAGCTTGAGGGACCAAGCGATCATTTGATGACATGTCATATGAAGATACCATGGTGCCGAAGGTCAAGAACAACACTGACAGTTTGCGTCGACGCATGAAAGCCAGCAACTTTGACAAAATCTCAAAAGAGATTCTCATAACTGCTTGCTCCATTTATCGGTGTCTCATCGTCACACAGGCACCTTTTCCGGATTCCATTGCAGCTGAGACAAAACTGGCGAAAGAGGCCTGGCGCGAGGCATGTCAACTCAAAGGTGTTGACGTCAAACTGACCCCTTCGGCAGTGAATATGGTGAGCACAGTATTTTTAGTGCATTCCTGGTCTTATTCATTCAAAGCTATTAAAACGCACTTCACAAGTGCAAGGCGAACTCAAGATGAAGATGCGTCCACCCATGGCTTCATTTCACGGCTTCCGCTCAAGTAATTCTATGGAGGTGATAAGGTCAAACCGAGATCTTGCGGAGAGATTGAAAATTGGCTCGATCTTTGTTTTCAAGGTGAGTATTTGACGGTCTACATAACTTAGTGCTGACATTGAGCAATAGGACCCATCATCGAAGTCAGGCATCTACAAGACTGAGTTGCTTCAACAGGGTATCAACGGCATGTGGTTCTTGAACTGAAGTGATGAGGGTGTCATCTACCACAAATACTTCAACCTCATCCCTATCAAAACTATTGCGCTCGTGCTTACAGCTGTGAGCCGTTTTTCAAATTCTTACTTTCAACTTGATGACGCTGACAATAGTATCTTATAGATAGAATGTTGTGTCGATGAGTGGTCGCAAGGCATCAAAGAGGACATCAAGTTCACATCTGCTAGTTATGGGGCCGTCTACAACCATCATTTCAGCTCACTGCAACGCTTTGATGAGCGCACGGTGGCTTACACACTCCTCTCAAAAATTTATATCAATCTGCATGATACAGCACGGTATGTTGGACTCTTATCTCACTGACTTTTCTAATGCTCACGCTTCTCAGCTTCCATGCAGGTGTCGCATTACTCATTCCATTGTCAGCTACATCCCAGGCCCACATCGACAATGCGGCATTTGAAGACGCTATTCGAGAGTACCAGCGTGAGGGGAAGGATGTGGCAGTCGAGGATAGTGATGTTCTGGCCCGGCTTAGGCTCGGCTTCAAAGGGCTTAGGCTCACAAAAATTCAGAGCCTAGGCCGTGAGCCCAAGCCAGCCCAAAGCCGGGGCTTAAGCCCAACCAGGCCGCGGCTTTTCGCAGCCAACAGACAGCTCAAGACCACTGTGGCATTAGGCAGCATAATTACAATATATCTAGTAAATGGCAGTGCTGCCTTCTCCGCATGTTGAAGAAGGGCCGCCGTAGGTTTGGTTTTGCGTACAGGACGCGCAACATGGTGCTCGGTTTCTGTGCTCATCATAGGTAGGTAGCAGGTAGTTGGGACATTAGAGGGACACGTACCAACATAAATCAATTGAAAGATATTGGGTGGACAATCACACTTGCGAAGGTGAAGCACATAAGGCTTCAAAATTACCAAAAATATTGGCTTGTGCAGTTGAGATCTAGTTTGCCGACAGCGGAGTGAGTTATGTCGAGCTCACAAAGCACAAGACATAGCGCTGGCAGCTCACCGTGGCTTTTGCATAGCAACACACAAGAGAAAAGGCATCAAAGGAGGGTAAATTGCTGGATATGTTGGACAGAGTAGGCTTTTCGACTGCAATGTGAGTAACGTCGACCAACCGAAGCACAAATAAGACATGGCAACTCACTGCGACATATGGACCGTCGAAGCTGATAAGAGTGATGGAAGTCAGAAGGTCGAAAAGACAAAAATAGAGTCGGAAAATGTACCTCCGGTGAGGCTTCTATGGCAGTGCCACTGAACATGCCTAAGCCACGGCTTAGGCCGCCGGCTCAGGCTTTTCGAAATTCAAGCCCAGGCCCAAGCCTTTCTCAGGCCGTGACTTAGGCCTAGGGCCTCAAGCCGAGCCGTGCACATCACTAGTCGAGGATGAGGTCGAGGAGTATGAGTATCCTAGTAGCGAGGGTGGGGATGATGAATAGGGACGCAGTGAGTAAGACATTCGTATTATGCTAGTTTGTGTTTCAGGTGCTTGAATTTAATTGTTACTACGAGGTTCTTTGGTGTGCTATATAGCTGCTGGTAGTAATTTATAGCTGCGTTTAGTAGCACTCCGACAAACTACAGTAGTACCTCGTAGCTACTAGTAGTTACTACGGGACCCTATGGTGACTACATAGAGGGCACTTGACAACGGGGCTACTTGTGCTACCCTGACTATATAGTGCTATGTAGTCACTTTGTTTTTTCCTGATGTTGTGTTGCATCTAGCTTGACTATCAGCTTTTGCTCTACATTTCCTTCACGTTGGAGTTTGAGTGACGTGTGGGTGTTTTCCCGACTATATACTAGTGTATAAAATTTAGACAATGTTCTTTCCTCTACAAGGTCAGATATCACAATGTATTGATCAATGACAGAATTACGCCGATGTTGGTGATTATGTACTATATATTACTATATATTTTCTTCTCATCTCTCTGCCAGTTCACTGATGGTAATGCAGCTGCTTTCTATCGTCTTCGCGGACCTTACCAAGCACCCCCGGGCCTTGAGATTAATCAATTAGCTATTCGCTTTGCAATTCCTGAATATTTTGCACGCGAACATTCGGCTCAAGATGCATACGAACGCATCCGCAGATCTGCAGGACATTGTTTCGCTGGAGATGCGAACGAGATACCCAGTTACTGCCAAACAGAACGCCTCATTGCTCAATTTACTGGAGTCGAGTCCATCGAACACGACTGTGTCCAGAGTCGTTGTAGCTTTCACAGGGCCATTCTCTCACCTTGAACATCGCCCCATCTGAAGTCATGACCTTTGTGACGCTATCAAACTGCTAAGTAGCGGGGTCGGACCAAATTTTTCACAATCCCACTGGATGCCCAGCCCCAAGCACTATGGCGCAATCTCGGTCATGCTGAAAAATGTTTCATCTTCAGAACGAAACAGAACGTATCTTGATCTTCTTGATGGATGATGGATGATGCTCAATGTATTGTCGAACTCAACGTAGTAAATTTTCGCTCAAACGTTCTCAACAATAATGGATAACTTGAAGGTCTCTCTAACTTGTACTAGTATTGCATCGCTAAGTCTCCAAGGCAGATTTACTGTTCACTGCATTGGTATCGTTGACAACTACATGAATACGTGCCAGAAAATTCCTGATGCTCGTAGCGCTACTTGTCCTTGTCGTCGTAGGAAATTGTGAATTAGACCCCAGAAGCCTCTTCTTCAGACAAATAGGTATGTCAGCATCTAGTGTCAACTGACGGTTGATGATACTTGCCGCGCTTCTTCTCGTAGTCCAGCGGGACGTAGTCGGGGAAGTAGTCGTCTTTAGACAAATAGGTATGTCAGCATCTAGTGTCAACTGACAGTTGATGATACTTGCCGCGCTTCTTCTCGTAGTCCGACGAGACGTAGTCGGGGAAGTAGTCGTCTTTAGACAAATAGGTATGTCAGCATCTAGTGTCAACTGACAGTTGATGATACTTGCCGCGCTTCTTCTCGTAGTCCGACGAGACGTAGTCAGGGAAGTAGTCGTCTTTGAACAAATAGGTATGTCAGCATCTAGTGTCAACTGACGGTTGATGATACTTGCCACGGGCCACATCCTCGCGCTTGGCTACAGCTGCATGTTATGTTAATAACTATCATGCTACTGACATCATGAATACTCGCAGAGTTCAATAGTCCCTCCTGACATGGGGTATGCGACTGCAAGAGCCACCATAGAGGTGAGTGCATTAAGCAAGAAGAAACGCTGCATGTTTGAAACAAAGTTTAGAGCTTTGTCAGTGCATACCTCGCTCGAAAATCAGGGGCCCTTCTTATACCCTGTCACGGTCGTAGGTTCGCTCAACCAGCCAGGCCTTGCTGGAATACGACGTGGCACTATATGATGATGCGATGATGACTGTGCATCGTATTCAAAGCTTGAAAATGGGTTTTTGTCGTGAACTACCTGGATTTCAATTAATGAAACGTGCGCCACCTCGTGGTTTGCCAACTTGTGACTTGTCAGTGCACCAAAGCAGGCTGCAGCACTGAGGGAAAAAAGGGGGGTTGGACTAGCAATGGAAATGACACACGAACCTCATATTCTAGTTAGATTATCGCTGTGTAACCGCGAAATGACAATGTTGTATCCTCATGCCATTTGCACCATATTCTCATATGCAGCTGGACTTGAATAGTGACCATGGAGTATGATCAAAGTCGGAGGATATCGACCAGCTTCGAGTGGATGTAGGAGTGTCCGGGCCATGGAGGGAAAACGGGCTGAAAACGGTCGGTCTTGTGGTAGCAGTGCTGCATGACACTAGTGTCAATATTAATGTGATTTTAAATAGAGTTATTCATACTGAGAGAATTTCGAATTGTTGGTAAACGTTTGAACTATGATGAAGAGTTGGTGACGATGCCAGCCTGAGGGAGGTTTACCGCAAGTGTCAGACACGTTCGACCAACACAAGAAACGACGGATCAAGCCCAGTGAAAACCCACTATGGCGTGGCACGATGGGATCTGATTATTTTCTGATTGTAACATCGTTGATAGGGTAGATTATGAAAAGCAAATTGTAGCCACATTGTTTAGCGTCGTTCCTTGCGTCACTTTGCATCGTCCTTACATTACAGTTTGTCGTTTTGCATCGTATCGCGCGCACATTGCATTGTATTTGCAGGACTCTCACACAATGTGTGATGGTGTGAACGAAAAACTTATGTCGTCGGAGGAGATCGTGCCCCATCATGCAATATATGTGATTCCTACCGACGTCATATGTCTGTCTCTGATTTTTTGCGTAGGTGAGAAAAAAAAAACATATCACGCCCGTTCTCATCGTGCCACACCATAGTGGGTTTTCACTGGGGACCGCAGTGTTTGTTCGTGTGTTGGGCTATGAAGAGACTTCATTCATTGAGCAAGCCATAGTACTGAATCAGAAGTTCAAAGGACACTCAAGGAAAGACATTGTTTAAAAGATCGCTTTCCCCCTCATACTATACGCTCCCGGTGCTACATAAAAATATCATTAACGCCGGCATTGTTTAATAGTTATTCAAGAATAGACGTGCAGATGGCCTGGTCAACATTGAGAGTCCCGACTTCCGACGGATGAATGTAATCTTCAAAATGGTACATAAACAAACTAAACTAACTGCCGTGATCTTTAGCATCCCCAGATCCCTGGTTAAAGATCAAACTTGATACGAAGGTAAAGCTCAGAAGCCTTCCTCATCTCTTCCACCGTCGAAGGAGGTGCAGGTTTCCCATCCAAGTCGTACACCTGCTCCGGATAGTACTCGAATGCGGCAGGGGGCTGCGGGACGCAGTGGGCTGGACGAACATTGTAATCATTATAAGAAAACGGGTCTCCTGGCTTCGTGGGAGGCTGAAGCAGTATGGCATTGGCAGACTCGATCGACACATCGTAGTCGAAATAATTGAAAGGTGTCAGGAAGAAACTATATAATGCAGTGAGTCAGCACGTCGTATCGATGCAAAGCCAGGATTTAACCTCGAAGCGGCTGTATTAGTCCTTGTATTCGGAACATCCTCTGATGCAGGCTGTTACCGAGCAGTTTAGTTCTGCATCAAAATACTAGAAGGCAAACTCACTAGGTGGTGCATCCCGACGTTAATCCAGGTCACCAGATCCTGTTGAGTAATATTTTCACCGTCGAAAAAGTTGTGGAAGTCAACAGGGGGAGCCCCTGGAAGGTTAAAATTCCACATGCTGCTGGAAGAGGGCTCTGTATCCTTGCGACGAGACACCGCCAAGTTATAACGCGCCCAGTTGGCGTTCTTGAGCAGACGCTTAGATCCTACGACAGTCTTGGAAGAGCACTTGTCAAGACAATAGAGGCACATTCAATGTAATGTATTGCGCACATTATAAACGGGAGAGTATCCCGGATGGATTGCGTATCCTCTAGGAATTCCCCATTTATTGGTTTCGTCAGTGTTCACAATAGTATAACCTCCCTGGAAATTGGTGGGGAATCTCAGCAGGGCTTCATCTTCGTTATCGATATATTCACGGATGATCTTTTGTTGGATCACTTCTTCCCCCCAGTCGTCGTCGAACCACGGTTGGGTGATAACTTCCTGGTTAAGACTTGTTTTCAGCAGCGAATTTTGTGTTCCTCCTACATCAAGGTCGACCTGCAAAATGAGCTTAGACCATGAAGTATGTCACATGGATTCTAAAAACCTTGAAGTTGATGACATGATCGTGGAGGCTTCCAACTGGTTATTTACATCAGCAATATATATCTACGTCGAAAGTGCTGGGAGACGGCATACGAGTGGTGTTCCAGATTTTGTTCCCGTAAGCTCTTTGCTCGTCATCCCAGAATCCTGATAAAAGGTATCCGGATGCTGATACACGAACCTCGATGGTTCCATCGACGTGAAAAATATATTCAAACTTAAGAGAGGGTCTCGCATGTAAGTATACGATCACTAACCGAGCGACAAGCACTTACCACTAAAAAAAGTTTAGACAATGGCCGAATCTTGGAAGACGGAAGCTGATCACGTTACTCACAGTAATCATAGCTAAATGCAATATGATGAGTGCATACATTCCAGAGAAGCTTTATCATAATACAACTTACTTTCCAACGGTGGCAATACTCCTCATGACCAGCTGGTAACCTTTGACCGCACCAAATTCATTTCGCTCAAAGCCAAGATGTCTTGATATAGGACGTCCACTATCCTGCTCAAAGATACATATCGCCCGCTGCCTGGTCATCATCCCTGTCGCAGAGAAAGTTGTAGCTGGGAGGTAGATCGCCTCATCCGGGCAATCGTATCCTGGAAGCAGGTCGCGAACCGATTGCCCCATGCCAAAGTACGAATCTAGAAGTGCAGTGCTCGACTTATAGGGATCGTTTCCGGCTGTGTTACAAAGGTCACTTGTATTCTCTTCGACTCCGATTCGAACACTTACTGTATTGCGCCAACGCCTCTTGAGGCTTGAGCTAGTTTTAAATATTAGTCAGATAGCTAAGGTGCAGTAGACAATGAACAATTACCTCATAGATGATCCGCTCGTCTCGGAAGCGTATATCCCACAAGTTTAGTCCCATGTCGCGATCGAAACCCAGGTAAAGTCCCCACCCCATCCAACTGACGTATTGCAGGTCATAATCAATCCTGAATCGCAGCCCTGCAAAAGATACGGAACGAGGCCCTGGAAGGTTGTCGAGGTCGCGTAAGGCACCAATACGTTCTCGTGTACTCCAAGAGAGGTCTTGCTCTGTTACTGGAGGCACGCGCTTGAGCGTACCGTTACGAAATGCATCCATGAATGATTCTGCTGTGTCAAATACTTGATGATTGTACACAATCTAATGGATATGGGTTTAGCACGAGAACGTTCACTAAAACCGGAAGAGGGCTTACCTTCAGCTGATCCCACTTCGAAGAATCAGTACCACTGACGTCGACATATTGCCAAAGATTCAATGGATGCAACCAAAATCCAGGCGTGTCTCTTTGCCAGTTTAACCAGAAGCGCCTAAACGATCCGTCGAAACCGAACGGCCCAGCGCCTCCAGCAACAATAGTCTCATTGGGCAAACCACCTAGAAGTTCCTGAGAAAGTATAAGGAAGACTACGTAAGCTAGATAATCAAAACGACTCACCTTGTACGCATCCATCAATGGAGCTGCTATCTTGGTGTGAATTTCTGGCAAATTCCAATCAAGGGCATCATATCCCCGTGCATTATAGGGAAGAGTTTCGGTATGATAAATCTTTGTCAAATGCGTCATCTTCGTAGCCGGCGTGACCGGGAGCGGCCCGACGAGGTAATCTTTAATCACAGGTTCCACCGCCCCGCCATGGTGAATGGTAACCCGAGCGAATCTTGCGGGTGCGTCACGTGGATCCAAAGACGAGAAGTACTTGAGGACACTAGCCTTGGGAGGATAGTACGTCTGTATCATATAGACGGAGTTATCGGATGGCCGAGCTGTATCTCCTCGCGTGAGGTTTAGGTTCATTTGGGCACTCAAAAGCCAATTCTGAATTTGCACCGTTTCGTCGATGGTAAGAGAAGCCCATGGGTTGATTGGAGCTGGCGGGCGAGCAGGAGGTGGGACATTAGATGCACAGATCTTAATATCTTCATCATAGCCAGCGAGTGTCTTGGTACCCTCACAAACAATTTTGGAGCCAGAGGTAGAGGGTCTGACCTGGATGACGGTCAGCGAGGCCAGCACAAAGATAAGGATGAATGAAAGGCTAAGACGAAGGGAGGTGATCCTGTTCGGCGCTCGCGTTAACTCATGCTTGGGTTCATTCAAGGATACAGCTTTCAACTGCTCGTATCCGTATCTTCTGGCCATGATGGCGAACAGGTGAAGAGATACACTTGACTCAACAGGACGCTAAAACATAAATACTCAAGTCTCATGTGCCCTATCACGCGCCTACTGCTAAACGCGGAGTTAGTTTAAGATGCAAGACGGATCAGGAACTGAACCTCCTTTTGTTCAAGACTCATGGATACATTGATAAGCATGTTGCAAAGAAGTCACATTGTAAACCACCTGATCACGACACCACCCTCCCATCTCTGATAAGGATCTACAGCTCAAGTTTGATGCGATGATATAACTCTGAGGCCTTACGCATGTCCTCAATCGAGGAAGCGGGCGCAGGCCTCCCATCCAGATCGAGTATCTTCGGCGGGCGGTACTCGAAGGGTGATGGGTGTTCCGGCAGGCAGTGGGCGGGCCGAACCCCATAGTCGTCATATGTGAAGGGGTCGCCAGGCTTTTCTGGGTTCTTCAGAAGGACAGCGTTGGTGGACTCGATAGATACATCGTGATCGAAGTAGTTGAGAGGCGTCAAGAAGAAACTAATGGACTATTGATCAGTTCTTATTCCATATGGCAGAAATCAGCGAAGCCAACCTTGACGTCGCCGTGTTTGTTCGTGTGTTGGGTGCGTCTTCTGATTGGGGCTATGAAATGAAGATAATGAGACTTCATGATTAGTAGCTCATTGAGCAAGCTACTAACAAGATGATGCATGCCAAGGTTCACCCAGGCGACTAGATCTTCTTGTGTGATATTCTCTCCATCAAAGAACTTGTGGAAGTCGACAGGAGGGCCACCGGGCAAATTGAAGTTCCACATACTGCTCGAGGACGGTTCCGTCTCCTTACGACAGGAGACGGCCAGATTGTAGCGTGCCCAGTTCGCGTTCTTCAAGAGCCGCTTAGAACCAACGACCGTCTGCAATCCAGAATTCAGACTTTTTTATGATATCCTCGATAGTATGCGTACGTTGTGAATCGGAGAATAGCCTGGATGGATGGCGTACCCTCTCGGTGTTCCCCACTTGTTGGTCTCCTCTTGATTTACGATTGCATAGCCGCCCTGGAAATTTGTTGGGAATTTTAACAAGGCATCGTTCTCGTCATCAATATACTCTCGTGTGACTACTTGCTGGATGACTTCATTCCCCCAGTCATCCTCGAACCAAGGCTGGGTGATTGCTTCTTGACCCAAAGTAGTCTTTAATAACGAGTTTGCTGTACCCGCTACGTCAAGGTCAACCTGTAATGGATCATCAACGTGATAAATTTATCGTAGGAGAGGCTGTTGACCTTGTAGTTGATGACGTGGTCATGCAGACTACCCACTAATACCGTGTTAGGTCAATTTAAGGGACGAGTGGAAATACAAACTGCTGGTTTCCCAGATTCGATTGCCATATTGCCCTTGTGTTTTATCGTAGAAACCAGCTTGCAGATAGCCGGAGGCGGAGACGCGAACTTCGATAGTTCCGTCAAGATGGAAGATATAGTCAAACTACGCACAAATGATGAAGTCAGTGGTGCAAACAACACTTGGTTTATTACTCACCACTACAAGAAACAATATAGAATCCAGTCAACATCACGAAGATGACGAAACTCTGCACGCACGGTAATCATAACTAGGGTTCAAGTTTCAACATGAATCCACAGACAGAAAAAATCACACACTTTCCGACCGTAGCAATACTTCTGATCACGAGCTCATAGCCTTTGACTGCCCCGAACTCATTTTCTTCGTAACCAAGATGTCTCGTAAGAGGTCGTCCGCTATCATGCTCGAAGATGCAGATTGCGCGTTGTTGTGTGGTTAATCCATTCACTGAGTACGTGGTCGCTGGCAGATACACGGCCTCATGTGGACAATCATAGCCTGGCAACATGTCACGGACGGACTGCCCCATGCCGAAGTAGCGATCGAGCCAAGCAGTCGTTGCCTGGAATGGATCGTTGCCCGCTAGAGAACATTATCAGACGGACTGAAGTACGGAAACCAGCGTTAGATCACCCACCATACTGTGCAAGAGCTTCCTGGGGCTTGAGCTGTGCAGGCATCAGGAAATTGCATAAATGGATGGTTGCGTGGAATACATCCTACCTCATAAACAATCCGCTCACCACGGAACCTGATGTCCCATAAGCTCAAGCCCATGTCTCTGTCGAAACCAAGGTATAAGCCCCAGCCCATCCAGCTAACATACTGGAGATCGCGATCCACTCTGAACCTCAGACCTGCAAACGACACCGAACGAGGTCCAGGAAGATGGTCGAGATCACGTTGAGCCCCGACACGCTTACGAGTACTGTACGACAAATCGGTGTCAGGGTCAATAACAGGGACGCGTGTAAGACTGCCATTGCGGAATGCTTCCATGAAAGATTCTGGAGAGTTGAAGACTTGGTGGTTGTACACGATCTAAGACAAATGTGAATACATGAAATTTCGGTCAGGTTATATTTGAAACTGTACCTTTAACTGATACCATTGTGAGGAATCAGTACCGCTGATATCAACGTACTGATATAAGTTGAGCGGGTGTAAGAAGAAGCCGGGCGTGTTGCGCCGCCAGCTAAGCCACAGACGTCTAAATGAACCATCAAAGCTGAACGGCCCGCTGCCGGCCGTAGTCAGAGTGTCCTGGGGCGTTCCGCCCAGAAGTTCCTGAAATCAACCTCCTTGTAAGTAGCATGTACAAAAACAAGATGGCACAAATGACCTCGTATGCTTCCATTAAGGGGGAAGCCATCTTCTCAAAAATTTCTGGGGAAGTCCAGTCACGGGTATCAAAGCCACGTGCATTGTGCGGAATAGCGTCAAGATGATATATCTCCGTCAGATGCTCCATGCGAGTGGATGACCCAATAGGGAGTGGTCCAACAAGGTAGTCCTTTACGACAGGCTCCGGTGCAGAACCGTGGTGAATTGTGACCCGCGCGTACTTTTCCGGAATGTCCGATGAGGACAGCGATGCGAAGTAGCTCAGGACGCTGGCTTTAGGCGGGTAGTACGCTTCTATCATGAATATGTGATTGTCTGAAATCTTTGCTATAGCCCCGCGTGTCAGGTTAAGGGCCTGGGCGGGCTCCTCCAGCCACTTCTGGATCTGAACGGTCTGCTCGATGGTGAGAGAAGCCCATGGATTGATTGGGGCTGGGGGACGGGCAGCACGTGGTGCAGGAGAAACACAGGTCTCCACGGAACTCCCGTCATAATTATCTTGTGCTTCCAGATCTGCTGATAAGGGAGAATGGATATGCAAAAACGAAAGCGTTACCAACGCCAAACATGCGACGAGACCGATTGCAACACCACGTATGGTGCGATACGGCTTGGGTGATTGGAGTTCGTTGTCATCTCTGCTCTTCAGGAGTTCATAACCACCGGCCATGGTGGTAGTTGAAAGGTGTGAAAGACGAATGTGCTCCGTCGCGCTCTTTAAATGATGCACGTCAGTGTGATCACATGAACTTCCGAGTCAGTAGACGACTTTCTGGGCATCTCTTTGCATAAACTGATTAGTACAATGCATGTGGCACGAGTCATGAATAGATCCGGAATGCAGGATACAATGTGATAAAACTTCAATTCGTTATCTCGGCAATAGAGATTACACCCTGCTATACATATCTCCCTCTCATGTGACGTGGCTTGAGCATTCAGAACAAGTGAGGTGTTATGTATAGCCATGATTGACCTTGCACTGACCTGCAACTTGAAAGATGTGGTAGATGAATCTTCCGGTTCGTGACTAGCACATCATCGCAGAAATTGACACAATTCGCAAGTGCCAAATCTATGGTTCGGTAAAAGGTGCAAAATTTTCATGGTGTAGCTCAAGTGTAATTTGAAACTTTGAACTTTAGCGGCGTGGTTTGGCTAAGTTTGGCCTTTGGCTGTTATGTAAGCAAGCAGCATAATTCAAACACTGTCCCGTCAAGACTCGTAGCAGGTCGTATCTGCAACGTCTTCAATAAAATGACCGATATGGAGACTACTACCCCAGCGGGACAGCCTATCGTCTCAAGGGAGAAGGTGATTTTAATAATTTTGTAGCTTATCAGTTAATCCTTAGTTGTTTTTTTCTACTAGACGGCCCCATTTCTTATTCGAACTTTTATAAAGGTTGGATCATTCCACAGACTGTCCTTGTTCGAGGAGAATACTCTACCAACCACGGATGAACAACAAATTTACACCTGGTGAGCATGCAGGTGTATCTGTACTCACTCTCTTTTGACCTGATGAATAGGAAAGATGCCACCTTACGTGAAGTACTGACGACTCTCCGAAACGCTGCACCTCAAATACCAGAGTTTCGCCACCCTCTGGCTCGTTATTCTTTCCGCGCGATATATGCAGACGCAGCAAACAGAGGACGCTTTGCACAGAAAGAACTTGGTATGGTCTATTCTCGCGATATTTTGGGCGAGCCGGGTACCGTTGACAGCCCTGCGGCACGCCTACTTAGCGACACGGATGGAGAATCGAATGAGCAGACGGAGCGGGAGAAAGAGGAGAGGACGCTCGATGAACTTCGATTCGTGCCAGGAGATTATCTTTGCGTCTCTATTATCCTTCCAAAAGCCGCCGCGGCTGCTGTAGCCGCAGCTACCCAGGCAGAGAGCACTGTCAAAGTTCCTGTTCAAAACGGCTGGAGATCTGCACCGGCAGCACGGCAGAGTGATGCAGGTTGGGGAGCAACAGCCCCCACTGGCCGAGGTGGGGGTCATTGGCGAGGGGACTCCAATCCTGCTCCCCCCAGTGGTCCACGAGGAAGAGGTGGTGGTGGAAGGGGTGGAGACTTTGCTGGAAGAGATCGCGACTTTGACCGCAACAGAGATTCGGAGAGACGTCCCCCGCCAAGGCGTGGTTCACCACCTCACCGAGGAGGTGGCTGGGGTGGGAGGGGTGGCAAACGGTCACCATCGAATTCGCGATCCAGGAGCCCACCGCGACGCAGAGGATCTCGTTACGACTGATATTGTTACTTGTACATTCATTGTAGCTCTAGCTACCGTTGCAAAATCACTTCAGTTCCCACCAGTGACCAAATCCATTGCGCAGGATGTCCAAATTTTGACAAAGACTCGATTAACTTTTCAACCGTTTGTACGTACATACTCATACTATATCACGACGGTTCAACCGTGTGTTGTCTCGAGCAGGTCTCACACCAGTGATATCTCAACCTCGTATCTTCTTCATGCCCACAATCCAACCCTGACTTATCTGCCTTGCGTGGGTGCTTCTGGTTTGCTTCTGGTGTTCCTTCGAACTCGTGTTCATACATAATCACATATATCAGCGACATCGCCACCAACATGGGCGCTGGACCCTCAAAGCATAGACCCTATCCATTTCCAGTTCCAGTCGTTAGCCCAAACGGAATGCAAACAAGCTGGTCCTCAGGCAGGTCGAAGAAGGGCAAGGAAAAGGCACACCCAGAATCGTATCAGCAATATCCCAATGGATTTCCAACTGCATCCTATGGGCTCCAGTATTGTGCGTGACAGTCTCGGGAGAGTAGCGTTTTCCTAACAGTGGCGGATGAAAAGACCCACAGGCACAATCTGTGTATCCACAAATTAGTGGGTATTACCCAGTAGCCATGGTTCCTATTCAGCAGCCTCTGGTTATGCCGCAATCTTATGTTCCAGTCGCTCCTTTTCAAAGTGCATTCGGTCAACCACCTGCACCAGTTATTCCCTCTGCAGAGCAAGTACGCATGCCAGAGCCATCTATTGCTACAAACAATCAAGGTCCTGTGATACCCGACGTGACTGGTCGACAAGATCCTGTTGTTCCTCCACCACCTGTTATAACTAATGTGCAGCCCCAGAGAGACACAGCTTTCCCTCCTCCTCCTATCATAAATGACATGTATCACTCATCTCACCCACAACCCACTGCACGCATGCCCGAGCCACATGTGGACAACCGGGCGACTCCAGGTCCCGTCATTCCCGATATGACTGGTCGACGAGGAGATCCGGTTGTTCCACCTCCCCCCGTCATAACTGACGCACAGCGGACGGCTAACTCGTCATCTCGTCCACGATTCACCGACTTCTACCAACCAGCTGATCATCCTATTTCCATGCCCGAGCCTTATTTGAGTGATGTACCATTTCGGCCACCAACTGTCCCTCCCATACGAATGGCAACGCGGCAAAATCCCCTTCCCTCTCCTCCTAAAGACATATGGAACACAACCCCGTATCGTCAAGTTTTACAGGAACTCCCAAAGGACATAACCCTATCCTTCAATGTCGAACACATAACAGAAATGGAAGACATGCTGGCTCAACCAGCAGGTCCAATCTCGCGTCTAGGAAAGCTATTTGGCTCTAGTAGTAAGCGTAAGGGTAAATCACGAAAGGGACTTTTTCGCACTTTTAGCACATCGGGGAGCGATAGCGAATCTGGCGCTCATCATCAACATCAACATCAACATCATCACCATCATCGTTCCAATACCGTGACATCATTCGTTATACCACCAACTGCAGCTGTGCCCCATGGATACGCTGGAAGTGGAGCTCCACCGCAAGCTATGCCGGTTCCCGATCGCGGACCTCCTATCAGATTTGACCATACTGGTGAACTATCTGGCTTTGTAAATCACTCGCCACATCGAGTGTTGTACAAAAACAAAATGTACCCAACTGCGATGCACCTCCTCGAGGCGATGAAGTTTACAGAACACCCTACTCTTCAGGAGCGTATACGGAAGTGCACCGATGTTGGTGATATGTACCCGTTGTCGGCTGGTTTCCAGGACCACGTGCGACCAGACTGGGGTCAGGTATTCTTGAGGATTGTGAGGCTGTTTTCATTGGCATTTTGATCGGATCAATTTTCTCTGACCATCTTTTGTATTTTCAGTTGGAAGATGTGCTGTATATAAAATTCAAGCAACATCCTAGCCTTCGGACCTTGCTTTTGCGCACGGGCCTTGCTGATCTTGTATATGCCGATCCCAATGATGCATATTGGGGTGATGGCCCTTCAAGTGACGGTGCTAACGAACTTGGAAAGGCCCTGCTGCGCGTACGAGATAGACTTCGTGCGGAAGGGGAAAGATAGTAACCCCCCCCCCTTCTGAACTGACTTGTAAGAATTCGAAGCAACAAAGTACATAGTTCCTTCAAGTTGCACAATACTTTACCGATCACCATATCATGACGTAATGTTACCACGCTTGCTGTTTTGTTGAGATCTCAACCTGTGCATAACTTCAAGACTTATATCTTGGCTACTTGTCAGGTCTCGCGGTATACATATCGATGTGACTCAGAGCTAGTCCTACCAACGCTTCAGCTTCAAGTTCAACACGATAAGTGACACGTTCCTGGCCTCCCTTCAGACGCAATGCAAGGGGTTGAATGTCTCTTCCTTCTACAACAGACAAGTTCTATAGATATCTTCTTCTGGAACAACTAATCAACAGTGCCCCGAGCCAGATGCTAGGCAGGCTGTGGAGTCATTGGCCCGTGGTTCAAGAAGTCCCGGTAAAATCTATATAGAAGTTCTCGTGTGACTCATGGTGCAGCATGCAAAGTACCCAGCCTCCAACGCGCTCTCAGGCGCAGCTTATATATGACCGACCTTCAAGCGTTTTATTGACCAAGAATCATGCCCACTTTCGCTTCCTCCTTTCACATCAATCCCGCTTCAGCGCTGTCTCAGGCAACGCAGTCCACTCCAGCTCCATGGCTGGGTCCAGCATTTGGTGTTCTAGTCACCCTCATCAACCTGCTGGCTAAAGCAGAGTCTAACAAGTATATGCCCTTTCGTTGCACTGTTCTTTCCACTGACCGCGATGGCTGTTATGACAGGAATGGCATGCGACAACTCGAGGAACGCGGCCTCAGTTTGCTGGCTATCATCAAGAACGAAGGCGAAACCATGGCGCCGGATGACCAAAATAGGCTTTGCTCAGGCGCAAAAAGGTTGGTAGCGCGCAGATATCATTGCCTGAAAGGCAGCTGATAACCTAGCAAGCACCATCCAAAGCATCCTTGACAGAATGACTCCATGGTGCTTGATGTCTCGAATCAAGCTATTCCTCAAACAGGATGAACTCGCCGGAGTCATCCAACAATGTCATCTCGAGATATCTGATTGCTTAAACAAGTTACAGGTATGTCGATTGCTTGTTCTTCAGCCATTATTCATAAGTTTATTCGACCAGATAACCTCGCACCTCGAGATCCACAAATGGCAGTCTGCCTTCGAAGACAACCAAAGGATCGACAACGAATATATGATCCAATATCTCGGGGACCTCAAAAACAAGCAAGAGATTCTCGTGAATGTCCAACTGCAGCAAACCGCCGCGGTAAACCAGATCTTGACAATGATGCAAGAGGTTGGTTCCACATTCCCTAGTCTCTTAAACCCTTCATCTGATCACCATTGTCAGAATCTTGGCTACGTCTCGGCAACAGCTGAACACGGTCTGGAAAGTAACTTGTACAACCTTCTCCAGCGTTCTAGAAGTTTACTTCCAAACATGAACCTGAAACGCGGGGAAGTGAGGCGTACCAGTAATTATGCTGTGAATGGGACGAGTCGGACCGATGTCTGGGAAGGAAGCTACCTTAACGAGGAGAAGGTTGCCATCAGAGTCCTGCGCGCAGTCTATGCTACACCCAAGACGCTCAAGGTACGTTATCTTAATATTGTCGTTGTCGTTGTCATGAGCGCTCAATCAATTGATTTGCAGAGGTTCAAGGCCGAAGCGGAGATTTGGAGAAGAGTATTCGAAGTGGACCAAGGACAACATATCCTCACGATATACGGTTTTTGTCAGAGTGACGGGGAATTTCCGTAGGTCCTTCCTTCCTCAGGACCCCGCGTTCATTCCTGACAATAGAGCAGTTACACCGTAAGCCCCTGGATGTCGAATGGGACCTTGAAAGATTACGTCAATGAATACCCCGAAGTTGACCACCGATATATCGTACGTACCTTACCTCTCATGGAGGAAAACAATGTTTTGACCTGATTTCATAGTTGAAAGGCATCGTCGAAGGCATCACGTTGTTGCACAGCATGTCTGTTGTTCATGGCGACATCAAAGGGGTGAGTCATGACGGCGATTACCAATTACTAGGATCTTTACTTCATCTTAGATCAACATCGCCATCAGCCCAGATGGCAGGCCACTGCTTTCCAACTTCGGTTTCACAAGGGTGACGTATTTTCTCATGTCGATCACTGCGCTCTGACTCATCGGAACAATATAGCTTGAGGAGGACATTATGAGCAACTTTGACATCAGCAATGGCAGCACTCTTAACCAGGAGTCTCTGAGATGGTGTCCTGCTGAGCTGTGCAGGAGCGGAGGCAAACGAACAATGGCGTCCGACGTCTATGCTTTCAGTATGACCGTGCTCGAGGTACTTCCATTATGTTTAGTTGATCAGCCAGATTTTTGAACCATCTTCGCAGCTTATGACCCACGAAGAACCTTGGGTGTCAGTTCGCATGGCAACTCAAGTCATCCTCAAGGTCTGTCAGGGCGAAACACCACCTCGACCCACGGATCCAGTCGTTGCAGAACGAGGTTTGGATCATGCGCTTTGGGCCGTGTTGGAGAAGTGTTGGTGCATGAACATGCATGATAGACTCACTATGGAAGAGATCGCGAGTTACCTGTAATCTCAGGTTCGCAGTGTTTGTTGCATATAGTAGCCTGTAGGCGTACAACTGTTTTAATACTGAAATTTTGTACTTCACGTTGCACTGGGGGCGCAATGCGCTTTTCATTACTAGGCCATTGGAGATATTGCAGCCCAGGCTGGAGATCTCGAAGCGTCACAAAATCTGTCATTAGCCACGATTTCTCTTTCTCCGCGGCCTGCTTTCCTCGGAGTGCCCGTGAGCAGTGTGTGCGGGAGCCGATGACTGTTTGCCATTGGGAGCCTTTATTGCTTTCTCCACAGCCTGCCGTCTGACTTTCTCTGGAACTTTTTCCCAATAAACTTCTTCTTTTTTGCCTTCGATGATCTCCGTCGCGATGGCCTTCTGGGATGTTCCAGGAGTTTTGCCTATATCATCAAGGCCGTGGGACTGCACGACGGGCTGACTAGAGAAGCGGTCAACCAAAACACGTCCATGCTCAGGCGAAGCAAGCCGAAGATAGCACTGACGATGCTGTGAGGGGTGAATAACTCATAATAGATCCAAGACTTACGGAGTCCATTCCTTTGTTGAAATCGACGTAGTCGATCCCGGCGGGATCTACAGTGGACGACTCGAACGCACTAGCGAATAGTTTTCGAAGAGTGGTCTTATTTGTCTCGATATGAAGATTTCGGGCAAAGACGAGACAGCCGAAGGGGTGCGGTGAGTACATAGTTGTCACGTTCCGAGGTGGGGCAGGGGTGTCTTCCAAAACGTCATCATCAACGACGTCTCGTACATCGGAGTTGGGTGAGATATCTGGAGGTTCGTTGGCATCCGCTAGCTCGTGAATCAATTTCTGGCGGTAAGCGAGATACTCCTCGTTCAACTTATCCCAGGAAGCTTTCGGTAGAGTGCGAAATCCGAACTTTAAAGCTTCTTTTGTCTCCAAGTTGCTCTCAGCGAGACCAGAGTCGTCTGATTCGGGCTGTAATGGCCGCGTCCAAGGCCATGATTCAAGAAAAATCTGACACAACTCTGCATTACTGAACGTAACGAGCGCGAAGCCTTTACATTTTGGACGGTCCTCAGCTTTATCCAAATGATGCGGAGGAAGTGTAACATTTTGGATTGGTATCAAGGTCAATGATCCCGGACAATGAGACAGTAGGCCTTGCGCAAATCGGATGATACCAGGTATTGTGTGATATTGTGCGGGGATGTTTTCCTACGATCGTCAGATCATGGTCCTCTGTCGAAGAAATGTACTACCTACCATGTAAATAGTACGGTCGTCCCACTGATTCCGAGTGAATTCACGAGTGGCGTTTTCCGACAATGTTCTCCAATCCTTCCTCCGTACTTCATAACCACCAACCGAGCTCCTCTCCGGCTTCCAGGAAGGGTACCATGCAGACGCAGATGGAGCGGACACGAGCATTCTAACCTCTAGCACGTCGCTAGCGTAGGCCCGAATTGCCTTTACCGCGTTTGCTTCAGTTAGCATATAGTCTTGGCCCAAGTTCTCCCTACCAAAAGCGCGACGTATCAGGTAGCTGAGAGGCAAAACTGCGTGGATATATAAACCCTGCGTGATACGCGTACGAAAAAAAAGGAAAACATACATCCAGCATCATGCTCCTCGTTCCGAAGAGACTCTTCGGTTTTCCTCCTCAGATCTGAGTCAAGCCAAAGAGCATAGTCCGAAAAGGCGAGAACCACGAGAATAGATATGTCCTTGTCGTCGTAGACTGGTTTTGTAGACGGTTCAGACGCCTTCTGTTTTCCTTTGTCGCTCGCAGGCGGTCCAGGGTATGCCGATTCTGAATCTCTTCTTTCGATGGCAGGTGTCGGTTTCAAACTACGGGACGAGGGTACATGAGGGGAAGTGCCTTGCTGTTTCCCACCCTTTGAAATATTTCGGGGGATGAATGCAAAACTCATCTGGTTCGTTAAGCGATCGATGAAGCGGTTTGGCACAATTGGCTCTCGAGGCGGTAGCAAATTAGACTTTTGCTAGGCAGGGCCTAGCCGGTTTACGACTCCTCAATATGTGCCTGAGTGATGCCACAACTCCCGTGAATACTGCAGCTGAGCACGAAGTTGTGTGAAGTGTGCAACTCGTACTAGTACTGGTACCACATATTAGAATCGGCACCTAGCTAGTGCAAAGCATATACAGGGTTCATACTAATATGCCGGGAAATCTACTTCACACCGGATCATGATAACTTTGTCAGTCAGCGGATACTTGCACAGGTTCGTGACATAGTATAGCGGACCCGTGATATAATGTGCTCCTGATATAGTATTATTGATATGTTTAAGCCTTCGGTCTGCTGTTGTCTTTAGACAATGTTGCCCGAATCACAGCATCCTGATTGACACCTGAGTGTAAACAGCAGTCTAGGCCCTGACACAGCGCCCACTTGCACTGGCCATTACGAGTTTCCAAGAGGGTCAAGCTGACAACAAAGTACTTTGTTTTGCAAATTCAACTCGAATGAACAGCAGTGTCGCCACTTTACTTCATTTACTGGTCCTTTTTCATTCCATTCCATTCCGCAATATCTAGTGGTAGGCGGACCGATAGAAGGAAGCCAGTCGTTTATTTTGTAAAGGAGGCAAGCGTAACTGGGTACAAGAGAAGCCGAGGAACAGAATGCAGAGCTTTCTCTTGGATCTATCATCTTCACTGAATGGGCGGCAATCATTGACAGAGAGATCAAACTTACATCACAGACTTCCAATTAGGTTCGTTTTGCTATTCCTGACATATAGGCCCGTAGGACTCGGAGCCGCAGTCAATCACAAGAGCTGTGCGATGCCTTGAGGTGTGGTACATATAAATTCGAAGTGTAGTGCAGCCAAACACCACCCAAGCATTCCAGAATGTCCATCGATTTGCCACTCAAAGGCTCCTTCACCCTTGATACCTCTGGTGTCATGGGGTTCTTCGGCGGGGAAGAAGCGCTCTCCGCGATGGCCACCGTCCATCTCTACCGCGGCAGACATTGGCTTGGGTGGTACAACTCCCCCGGAAGCTATACTGTTGCCAAGAAATTCGGCCAATTAGCGAAATCTCGAATATGGGATGGCATCTTTCCAGGATCGAGTGTCACGCCTGAAGAAATGTTTGGGCTAGATGGGAAGGAGGGACCTCGCTTTATCGGGGTGTTCTCCGGCACAGATATGACGGTTACAGGACACCTCGCATACCTTACGGCCCAAAAGGCAAAGGAGACCGAATACCAGAACGTTCTCAGGGGAAGAATAACTACACCAGGGTCGGTGAGCATCATAGATGTCGACAACGTGGAATTAAAGCAGGGGGACAACGTACCGACGGTGAAAGTTTTTCATGCCCTGTATGCTGCTATACCCATCACCAGCAGTCTGGCAGCGTGCCTCACTTGTGCATTTATTCGCGATTGGTTCGCATTTGGGATGATCCTCCTGGGCATGGTCTCGAGTGGCCTGTCTTGCTATGTCATCGGTTCAGGGAAGCTGCATTTCAAGCTTGTCAAACCTTCGTCGTATGCACCGCGGGGAGATGGATTTCTTTTGACGCACAGCGACATTGTCATCTTGAAAGGCGCAGAGAAAGAGGTGACGTCGATAACCAAGGGCCAACTCGCGTTGGACATGGGTAACAATCATGATGAAGAGTTCAACGCCATCGGAATCTGCTCCCTCTTACTCCTGTCGCAGTTTCTTACTCAACTTCTCCTCGTTCCTCAAGCAACACTATTTGGCCAGATCATGTTCCTGTCGTCGCTTGCGGTATCTTGGGCATACAATTCGTTTCTGTCGTCACTGGAGAATGAGAAGATTCAGACAGATATACTGTGGAACTCACTCAACAGTCCGCTAATAACAAAATCTGTGCTCCCAAACAGAACGTCGCAAGCGGCGTATGCATGTTTCGTCTTGCATGCAGGTGTCGATACGTCAAAGAAATCGTCTGCAGATTTCAAGCCGACGAAGATCTTGGAGTACATGATCCCAAATGATACGAGAGTATGGGAAGTATGGAGGGCACATGTGGCGAAGCAGGTGTTGAGTAAAGGGAGAATAAGAGATTTTGGGCTATGCCAAGAACTCATAACGGACTTGGAAGACGAGGAACAGCAGCTCCTGACGCAACTACTAGCAGACGCCGAGTACGGTTATGGATGTTACCAGAATATTAGTAACCCATAGCTCGAGCCTTAATACCCTGGTTAACAATGTAAATTGTCAGTAACTTGATTAAAGTACATATAGGGATGACAAAAAGTATAATACTAAATGATATTGAGCGCTCCGATTGCAAATTACAACCGTCATTCAGCCTTTATGAGGGTCAACTGCTGGCGGTTACTACTGCTAAAGCAGAAACACAGCACAACTAGTGACCTCAGGCTGTTGGGAGTGCTTGGTTCGTCTTTGCGCAGAGACTAAGGAGTGCGAGGATCAGCACGCACCTTCATGATTTAGCTTGCATCGACCGCGGGAACAAGGTACGTTGCCCAACCGATGCAGATGGAACGAGGTGGATGTTTTCAGTACTTTAGACCTCAACGCTGTACTGAAGGGAACCCAAACACCTTCAACAGCGTTCGTGGTGGTGCAGAAATTGGTCTGTGTATGCACAGCCACCTGCAAACCACGAGCCTGAGTCTTATTAATAATTCCGTACGGCATACTTCAATTTGGATGTTCTCTAGTATCTTCTACCAGACTAATTGAAGGAAGATAGACATTCTCCATGATATCTTTTTCTACGAAGATAGGATCCAACTTGGCTCTTTTCAGGGAACAAAACTTGATTCAGAAGGCGGCGCAGTGCTGGGATGTCCTCGTGACCATCCCATATAAGGTACGCCCATAGTCAATCCATGCGACGTGGAGAACGCATTTGACCTCAATCACGTCCTAATTAGAGCTTTGATAGGCCTCCTCGGGCCTCAGCGGTGCCAATATTAGGTATCTCGTTGGCTTAAGCATGGATCCGAAAAGGCAGTAATAGTTGGATATGGCCTGGCTTTCCGAGAAGCTAAACATTCCTCAAACGTCAGACCCCCGGACGTGATACTAATCTCCCTCTACTCGCAGTTTCACAGCGCTTGTTCTCTACTTGACCTGATATATCGGGTCTGGCTATGTCCACGTCACCTCCATTCCTGGTGCCCAGCGCCCTCCACACTGAAGTGATACAGGCTGAGGACATCAAGTCAGGCGATTCATCTGACCAGGACGCGAACCAGATTGCTATTTTATCCATCAGCAAGGATGAAGATGAACCACTCGTGACCAGAAGGGAGTTGTGGAGCTATTATCGTGAGTTTTGGTACAAATGTATCGTCCCTTCAACCTTGTCATTATCTGACAAAGCTTAACTCCAGTGTACTGTAATGGTAACAATGTGAGTCGGCCAAATATTATTGGGTTCGTCTGACTGGCCCGCTTATCTATGTTTCTCACAATCAGGGTGTCGGTCCTCTGGGCTATACACAAACTCTATTCCAGGGGCTTGCCACAGCAGCGGGATATGATCCTGTCGCAGGCCCCGGATCGTCATGCCTTGCAACAACCGCTTCTGGCCAATGCGTAGTTCCCTGGGGTAGCGGTACAAAGTCAGTTTCTAGTGTGGTGCTGATCGCGAATGGTATCAGTTTCGCCATAATGACAGCCATGTTCACTACCATCAGCTCTGCTGCTGACTACGGCACGTTCGGACGGTGGTTGCTGTTCGCTGTCACAGTGGTATGTTGGGCTGCACAGTATGCCTGTATGGCGCTTACCAGTGCGTTTCTGGGCGTCTCACGTTTCCCATGACGTCTCATCATTTTGTGCAGCACCGGACCGATGGGTCCTTGCAATGGTTCTTTACATTGTCGGTTTCGTATCATACGGCGCGACTCTTGTTTTCTTTTCCGCTCTATTCCCTTGCCTCGCGCGTAATACCCCACATGCACGTCAGTTGAAAGAGAAGTATGAAAACGGCGATATTTCTCCCGAAGTTTACGAGCAAGAGGAATCTCTGGAAAAGAATAGGATCAGTAATATATCTACCGTGCGTTGCAGGGGCTGTGTCTTTTGTCGTTGGAAGCTAATGATCTTTCGGTACAGTTTCATAGTAATGTCGGGTATATCAACACCTTAGTGCTGAACTTAACGCTTTTGCTGCCGATGGCGGACAATCCCAAGGTGGACAATTATGTCCTCGTGCTGTAAGCTTCTTGTCGATTAAGTATTTGAGATGTTGTATTGATTGATGTACAGTGTCAACACGTACTGGGTGGTACTTGGTATCTGGTGGTGTGAGTATATCGTAGCTCATCTCTATCAGCATTCCTGCTGAGAACCCTCAAGTTATTCTCCAGGAGCACAGGCCAGGCCCTAGTTTGCCTGAAGGCGAACACTATATGACAATTGGATGGAAACAGGTGAGTATTTGCAAGACATTCCTGAGGAATCGACTCACGCGAACATCAGATCTGGGCTGCGCTGAAGACATACAAGCATCTTCCCTACACCTTTGTGTATCTGTTCTCCTTCTTCCTTCTCGCAGATGTACTGTTTGGTTGTCTGTCTCTTGAGCCATGCCTGACATCTTCTTGTACAGGGGCTGAATACCACCGGAACTCTCGTTACCATTTGCCAGAACAACAAGTTCAATTTCTCATTCCTGCAAAATACCTACTTGGGCCTGTCACAGGCGATTACCTCGACTATCAGTACTCTCTCCTTCTGGTACATCCAGAGATATTGGAAGATTAGCACAAAGAAGATGGTGTGTAGCACTAGTAGTTCACACTCGTTTGTCTGACTGTCAGCGGTACAGTTTGTGGTGACCAATGTCGTCACTATTTTGATTCCGCTGTGGGGTATGATTGGAATATGGACAGAAAAACTTGGGTCGGTGTCATTCAACTTGTTCTTTCCACTCATCGTCCCTCTAACATGTACGTTAGGTTTCATAATGTCTGGGAGTTCTGGTTCGTCAAGAAAACATTTTTTCTACTTTGTTTTATATTCTTCTCAGGGCATACAACATCGTGTTCGGCATTTTCCAGGCGCCTTACTACGCGTTCTCCCAGACGATGATGGCCGAGCTTAGTCCCCCCGGTTTTGATAACATGGTGTGCATTTTGGCTTTGCCGTAACTTCCCATTGCGTTCGGCTTACATCGACCAGTTCTTTGGTCTCTTCGGTCTGTCCAACCGCGCTTCTTCTATGGTAGGACCCAATGTCATACAGGCCATCATCGACAAGACGGGGAACAACTGGCAGGGGTTCCCGTTCCTCTTTGTGTTGTGTACGGCTGCTGCGATGGTGATCTGGTTTGGGGTTGATGTTACGAAGGGGCGTAGGGATGCTGTGAGGTGGGCTTCTGAGCAGCGCAGGCAGATTCACTAGAACGGACGTTGCGTATATGCTCTTTGGGGTGACTTCAGGCATTTCTAACATATCTAACTTATATAAATAAGCACGAGATACCGTCGGCTCGGCACACGAACCCGAGCTAAGTTTTTGGCGACTAGCTGAGGTCTTTGGAAGTATACAATGAAGAACAGAAATGAAGCTGCATGTCGCGCTGAAAGCGAAAACATGTATGATCAGCTCAATGCTGATCAACGGCGCGTTTTCGACTAGATTTATCACGCAATTCTCGATCACGAGAGCACACTCTTCTTTTTCGAAGGTCATCTAGGACGAGGCAAAACCTTCTTAGTCAAAGCATTGTCCTCTGCATTACGAGCACAAGAAAATATCGTGTTAATTGTGGGCAGCAGTGCCCTGTGCGCAACTGCTTACGACCGTGGACGGACACAGTCATATTTGAACTAGCATTTCTTCATCGCGCTTCGTATATATATATAGTAGATTTGATACGGTACCATAGAATGTTCATAAGTCATAGTGTAGAGTTCGTAATAGTAAAATATGAACAACACAGCAATATGGGTGCGAGCAGCGATACAGTGGTAAAGATTTAGTGTACAATGACATTTTCGAGGGCCCTGAAATTAATGGACCCAGAGGATGCGTGAGCAATGACGCGGGTGGTAGTTCCAACCCTCCGCCAAGGCTGCTTGTCACCAGGCGAACAAAGAAGTTGAGCAACAAACGGCTCTTGCAGCTTCCGAATCAATGCAACAGCAGTGTTCTGAGTGACCATGTCGGCAATGTCGGTAACGAACTCCATGGATCTGCCAACCCAACTTTCCGTTTCTTTTTCCTTGTCCTTGTCCTTTCGCTTTTCCTTGTCCTTTCGCTTATCTTTTGCCTTGTCCTCGTCCTTACCCTTTTCCTCGTCCTTTTCCTCGTCCCCGTCCTTTTTCTTGTCCTCATTCTGTTTCGGGGAGCCCTCTGTTGTCGGTGGCTCCGGAGAATCATGTTTATCGACAGTCAGTGCATCAGGGGCCTCGGCGTCTGTAGACGGACGTTGAACAAGCCTCGCGTCCCACATTCGCACGATGCGATACCTGACGCCCAGCTTCTTTCCATATAAAGAAACTAGCTGCTGTGTGACGATGACCTCGAGCTCCGCGAGGCCTTCAGCTTTGACGAGATAGCTTAAAATTCCGGGTTTGTTTTGGTTTGGAATAAGGGTGACCACTTCGTGAACAAAAAAGGGCATACACATTCTCCCATTTGCAATGAAACGTCCGTGAGGCGGGCTGCTCAAAACGTCCTTGACAAGCTTGCGAGCTGAAGAAGACAAGCCGCTGGTGATACATTTCGAAGTTTTGAGCAACCTGAATTCGAATTTCGATGAAGTGGAGTCCTGTCGAGCGTCATAAGATGGGGTCATGAAGCACCTCGGATGCGCAGCAAAGTAACTGTGAAGGGTCGACGACTCTCCCAACCAGTCGAAGAGTGAGAGGTCATCAGTAAGCGCCATGATCTCCTTCTGAAGCCGCACAAAGGCATTATGTTTCTCCCCGTACATTACAGGCATGTGGATGCCGAAAATACCTAGCAATGGCGTTAGAACGATTCATCAGTTATGGCGATACTTACCCATGAGACAATAGGCAATGTCTTCGATCTTCTTGGTTGTCCTATTGCCCACCCAACTCAACCGCTTCTTGACGTTATCGACGCCGGGTTGAAATACCTTCAAAACATCGATATCGATGTGAGTGATGTCGTGGAGAATGGACAGAAGTTCGACTTTGTGATTCTGATCAGAATCGATTAGTGGCTGCCAATCCTGCTTGTAGAATCGAATGAATTGGGGTGCGAGGAGCTCCTGCAACGTCCAGCCTCTCTTGAACCACTGACTATCCTTCAACTGCGAAATATCGGAAACGTCTGCAAGGTAGACGATAGTGATTGCCGAATCCTTGTACCAAGAAAACATAGAGATGACGGATTCCTGAAGCTCAGCGTTGTTCGTTTTATCGATACAACACGTATCGCTCCATGCCCATCGGTAGCCTTCTTTCTTCGAGGTGGTACAGAACTGTTGCAGCTTGGAGATTTCCCGTGGGGAATCCATCTCATATAAACTTCCCTTGATCTGCCAATACTGAGGTTCGTCCGCCGCACTTGCCCACTTGTGGGAGAGCATTGCATATCGAAAGAACTTGTCAACTTTGCGCTGAAGCTTAGACACGGAAGTTGATAGAAGGTTTCCGTAGAGTCGCCGGTACTCCTCTGACTCTTTGAAAATCCCCTCCAGGTCATTGCTGGTGTATAGGATGCCGCTGTGGGTATCTATCAAGCGAAGAGGTATGTTCGCTATTTTATCGTCGATTATGTTCTGAAAAGTCTCCTGTAGGTTCTTGAGGATAACCTTAGGGTCTTCAACAGGGCTGTCGGCTCTGTCAATATCCGCTATCGCCGTACAGGTAAACTCTTGAACAGGTGTGTCAGAAGATGGGGCCATGGATTGCATCTTTACCTCCTCTTGAGGGGTTTCTGTCTCTACGGGCAAGGAATCTTGGAGAGGCGATTCGTCTTGTAGGTTTGTTCCGTCTTGCGCGCTTGTCCCGTCTTGCATGTTAGTTTCATCTTGTGTTCTTGGTTCGTCCTGCAAGTCTCCTGCCTCTTCTCCTTCCGGAGAGGGTGTCGAGTCATCCTCGATGCCATCTACGGGGGCTTCGAGTTCCTACATCCGAACATTAGTAAGGATGCGTACAAGCAGCAGGGAGAGCACCTGGGTAGTGCTGTCATCAGTGGTTCGCAATGATGTCGTCCAGCGACTGAAATTGAAACGACTGGGGGATAACTCAGACTTGCAGTCTCTATAGGGCGTGAAACAGACCTCGATTTTTTGCCACTAGAAGTTACCGTCAGTTAAAATGGGCTTGTATTATAGAACCCATGACACTCACGCTTTGTCGACGCTCATAGCGGATAGCACGAAACAAATTTGTCAGAGAGGTGCGCCTGTCTAGTAACAGGGCGTGATGAGATGTATTTATGCATCGTCTAGCCTAACGGCATCACGCCCAATCAGCGCACGCACGTCAAGGAACAAAGTCTTTAGACGGGAGTAATTGCTATAGAATCGTGATTTGTGACTGAAACCTATCTGATATCGACGTGGAAGTGATATTCCTAGCATATTGGCAATGACTAGTGACGGCCCTGACGGGTGACCAGCCCGTCTAAGGTAAATCTGGGTTTAAAATTTGGATAGTGCGCGCTTTTGGAGCTGTAACATGACCCGTAGCCAATATGTTACTCGCCGTTAACCTTCTCCCGGCGAGTTTCCAGACTGGTGCCAGCAGGCTAATATGGTTCTGCCGAGGAGTTCTGCCAGGTACGAATGGCGGGAAGTGCATGGATGAATCTGATTGTGACTCACGTGTGGGTGCTTCTAGCCTAGTCACAGCGAACGGTCGTCGGTTGTTATACTACTAGAATGACTGTAACATTATCAACATGCCCAACGTCAAACACAATAATCGGGAGGAGAGCACCGGTGCGTTCCTCGTACTGTTTTGGGTGTCAGTTGAGTTTTTGAAATCGGGAGAAAAGATAAATTTACCTGGTCAGTATCAAAGAGCAAGTCAATTTGTACGACATACAATGCTTTTTACCCCACTGGTTATTGCCTTCAGCATTTGGCATACTTCGAGATTGTTCTCGGATGCTTGTACACGCAGCAGAGCAGTGGGAATGTGGTTTGAATACTAGTACTAGCAGTATAACAATGTACTAGACGATAATAGCTCGGTTCGAACAGATGCATGCACGTGAGTCACTTTCAAATTGATCCATGCACTTCGCTTCAAATTTCAAAATACTAGTTCGGCCTTTGCCCCATAAGGTACCCGCATGCGCAGTTCGACCATTAAATGTGTCAAAAGAAAGACTCGATGCACACTATGTCCAATCACGCATGAGTCTTTGTTCGGTGTACGAGCTCGTTCTTGACCGCCATGTCCACGTCACCTCCATCTGAAAACCTAGTCGGTTCCTTCCACACTGACGTAAAACAGGTTGTGGAAATCAGGTCAGACAAGTTGTCTGACCTGAACGCGAACCAAATCGCCGTCTCGTCCATCAGCATGGATGAACCGCTCGTTACCAGAAGGGAGTTGTTGAGCTATTATCGTACGTCCTTGCAATATACGTGTTCACTCCCCGACTAAGCTAAACATCAGTGTACTCTAACGGTGGTAACGTGAGTCAGCCGGGGCATTCGTGTATCCCCCACTCTACTAATTTTACGTGCCTCCAACCAGGGTGTCGGTTTGGGCTATACACAGACACTGTTCCAAGGGCTTGCCACAGCGGCGGGATATGATCCCGTCGCAGGCCCCGGCTCATCATGCCTTGCAACAACTGCTTCTGGTCAATGCGTAGTTCCCTGGGGTAGCGGAACGAAGTCAGTTACTAGCGTGGTGCTGACTGCAGATGGTCTTAGTTTCGCTATCATGACAGCTATATTAACTACTATCGGTTCTGCTGCTGACTACGGTACATTCGGACGGTGGTTGATGTTCGCTCTCACAGTAGTGTGCTGGGCTGCACAGTATGCCTGTATGACACTTACCAGTGAGTCTCCGGGTGCCACGCATTGTCTGAAGTCTGATCGTTTTTGCGCACCAGCACCAGACCGATGGGTCCTTGCGATGGTTCTGTCCATAATCAGTTTTGTCTCGTACAGTATGACTCTAGTCTTCTATGCTGCTTTATTTCCTCGCCTCGCACGAAATACACCTCGTGCACGCCAGTCGAGAGAGAAGTACGAAAATGGCGAGATTCCTCTCGAAGTATACGATCAAGAAGAGTCGTTGGAAAAGAATAGGATTACCGATATCTTTACTGTACGTCTTGTGTAGGATTTCGTGTTGTCGGGAGCTGACAATCTTTTGTACAGGTACATAGCAATATTGGATATGTAACCACATTATTGCTGAACTTGGCACTTTTGCTGCCAATGGCGAACAACCCCAAGGTAGACAATTATGTGATTGTGGTGTGAGTTTCTATCATTTGCGAGTTCCAATCGTTGTATCGATTGATGTGTAGTGTCAACACATATTGGGTAGTATTAGGTATCTGGTGGTGTGAGTACACATTGACCGGTCTTTCTGGGCTTCCTGCTGAGAACCTTCGAGTTGTCTTCCAGGAACATAGACCAGGCCCCGAATTGCCTAAAGGTCAACATTACCTGACGATTGGATGGAAGCAGGTAAGCATCTAATGGGAGACCGTGACCTTTGCTCATGCAAACGTTAGATCTGGGCTGCGCTGAAAACATACAAGCATCTTCCCCACACCTTTGTGTATCTGTTCTCCTACTTTCTTCTTGCAGACGTACTGTTTGGTTGTCCGTATCTCAAGCCGCACCTGACACAGTTTTGGACAGGGACTCAATACTACTGGAACCCTCGTCGGCATATGTCAGAACGACAAGTTCAGTTTCTCATTCCTGCAAAATACATACCTGGGCTTGTCACAAGCGATTACTTCGACAATCGGCACTCTCGCCTTTTGGTACATCCAGAAATATTGGAACATTAGCACAAAGCAGATGGTGTGTATTGCCGCTCTTGTCATGCGATCTTCATCTGACTGTCGACAATGGCACAGTTTGTGGTCACAAATGTTGTCACGATTTTGATTCCGCTATGGGGTATGATTGGAATATGGACAGAAAAACTTGGGTCGGTGTTGTTCAACTTGTTCCATGACATCAACATCCCTCTAAGGAGTGCCTTAGGTTCCACAACGTATGGGAGTTCTGGTTTGTCAAGACTTTGCACCTGTCTCGTGATTTTATATTTTCATCAGGGCGTACAATGTGATGTTTGGTCTTTTCCAAGCGCCCTATTACGCATACTCTCTGACAATGATGGCTGAGCTTAGTCCGCCAGGTTTCGACAACATGGTGTGTCATTCAGTTTCTTCGTTCCCATTGTTTTCGCTTACATTGTATAGTTCTTCGGTCTCTTCGGTCTGTTCAACCGTGCCTCTTCTATGATAGGGCCATATGTCATACAAGCCATCATCGACGAGACGGGAAACAATTGGCAGGGGTTCCCGTTCCTGTTTGCGATGTGCGCTGTCGCCTCTTTGGTGATCTGGTTTGGGGTTGATGTCACGAAGGGGCGCTCAGATGCTGTAAGGTGGGCGGCTGAGCAGCGCAGGTGTGTACTCTAGAGCGATCGTCATATATTTTCGCTCTTTAAGGTGATCTTGGGGCATTTTGGGTGTGCTATCCATATTACCAAGTTTTTTCTAGATTTGACATATATACGTGTCGATACTGTCGATTCTCATTGGGAACTTGACATGTAGACGACAATTCATTTTGTTAAATGCTATTAGTATGAGCCCTATTAGTATCTTAGTTGAAGCCGATGACGGTCTCAGCCGCATTCCAATCTTCACCCCGATCAGCTGGTAGCTGATGTCCAAGAAGTGGTCATCATAAGACACCCTTTGCCCAAAGCGAGCGACGTCGTCCAGGAGGATCAGGAGGACAACAAGCATTCCGTCAGTATTGATAATTATTCACCGAAGGATCGCACTGATGAAGATTTTCAGAAGCCTTACCTATTCATCAGCAGTGATGAATCAGAGGAATGCAATGAATATGAGGGGGTATCCTCGCCCAGCACTGAAAGCGAGGTGGCCGCTCTTAACTTTGCAGTTCAGAGCGTTTCATTTCAATCATATGCTTACATCGCCAAAGTCCATACCAGTGAAGCCAACGACGGCGATGGACCTACTACTGAAGTGGGACAGAAGAGGAAGAGGGAGGTGTAGGTGTGTCTGGGTCAGGGATTTTTGGATCGTCGAGGCGTTGGACTCGGACAAAAAATTATTCATATGTTCATGCTTATGATGATGGACTCTCCATGTACTTCAAATTGGTATGCTCGACCGCTATGTTTTCTATTTCGTCTATACGTCTCGATCGGTACTGTGCAGAAATCGCTCTTATGGGCCATACACTTCCATGATCTGACATTTCATGATTGCATCTGTCTCGGAATTGTGCATTCGTCGTGACACCGTGCGGGATCGAATCACACTGCGCAGGTGATTCAGTTAAAATAGGCAGCAGGTTCTACCCGCGTCGTGAAACAGGCGTTATAGCAAATGCGGAGTACCTGGACTACGTTATACGCAGCTGCTCGCTGGCAAAGAGTGAATTTGAAATTAAAAGAGGAAAGAACATCTTGACGGCAGATGTGCAACCTCGCAGCGCCAGACTCGGAATATTTGAATAAATACACAACAGGGTGACGATGCAAGTCCTCTATCATAAGCAGGCCGGGTCGAGTAGAGAAAGTATTTGCAGAATTCAGGCTTATGGTTGGAGACTTTGCTTCATTCTCGTTCGGTACACATAAAGTTCTATTCCTATTTGTGCCGGTGTGCCAATCTCAGCCTGTTCCCTGTCTTTTATACATATACATATCCATTTTCATGTCATATGGAGAGTAGTACTATAAGGAAGAAAATACGGTCTAGTCTAGGGGACCCCCAGTGTCCCCGACGCATCTCTGGGCGCGCGAATGCCCTGATGTGAGGCGTACCCCCATCAGTCCGCCGTTCCCGCCGGCCGTTTTAGACGCGCCGCCCTTCGAAGATGAGATGACTTTCATAAACAGGATCAATGTATGTGTGCTAGCGGATTGCATAATATATAACGCGTACTCGGCCGCTTTCGCGGGCGCTGTTCCCTGTCTATTGGTCACCGAGTGTGACTATGGTGCTGCTGTATTGTGCAAAGGTTGAGAAATGTGTCACGTAGCTTAAGTCATTGTCTTTACCTTCAGTAGTCACTTCAGCACATCCCACGACTGGAAAACGACGACAAAAGAGTGGACGGTACACGAGATTGATGGTGAGAGAAGATGAATAGGCAGTCGGAAGCTCGGTGACTGCCAAAGTGTACTTTAGTACTGAATTGATCGGCGAGCAATGAAAAGAGGTTTACACTGTCGCAAAAGAAACATCATGTCGATGATCGACATCAAGCAATGACACAAAATATACCAGGTAGCTCTGGTTTATGTTCATGGTCAACGGGAAGTCCGTCGGAATCCTCTGAGAAACCATCATTCGATGGGTAAAACTGCGAGGCGATGGATGCGAATGCGTCCATAGTATGAATAACAGTAAGTGGTTTTCACGAAGAGCGAAGAACGAAGTTGGAGTGGTCTGTGAGACTCAAAAGCGTATTGGATGGTAGTGGTTGGTGGTTAGCTTTCTAAAGTCACCAGACGAATGACCAATGCCATATTGTGGATCTGAATGCTTAATAAGAGTCCACAATTCTTCGATTTGTGGACCAGCGCAGCTCAATTCGGCAATTGCGTCGTTGAAATAGCGGAGCTAGCCGTTCGTGTCGAGATATCGGAATCTCCGCGCGTCAAGGGTCTAGATATTGGAAGCGTTTAGTTAGTCTCGACTCTTGAGTTGAATGGTGAACAACACACGCATCAACTGGGTCAATAATAATGTCAGTCGTGGTGAGTCCGAGGCCTTGGACGCGCCCATTAGTAATGGTCCCGTCTCGACTGCTACAGCCGTTATGCAGATAATGCAGACTTTGGAAATATTGAATGCCACGGCACAAATCTGGACTCCTCACATCGATCGATATTCAGTCTTCAAAATAATTCAAAAACGCCTTCATTGCCCACAAAGCAGGGAAAATTGTCCATACTCCAGGAATAATAACCGCATTGACCAAGTCACCAACAAACTACGTGTTGTGCCATCAGCCATAGCACTGCGAAAGCAGAAACACGACTCGCTGTCCAGATGTGCTGCCAGCCCATCGGTGAGCAGTCTACTTAGTGATTGCAGAATCTTTCATGAGCTTTAGACTATTGAGATTGCAAAGTGCATGGGGTAAGCAATGGGGTTAAATCCTGGATGCAAAGCAAACCACTCATAGTACTACAGTACTCACCGATCGTAAATTACAGCGAAGATAGGCTCGTCGCAGCAATCACTGTCTCTAGCGCAGGTCCCGAATTAAGGAGCATGCAGTGACAGACATACATGCCGCCAAAGCAGTGGTAACGAAGACGAGAAAGGAGAAATGCATGGTTTATGCGATTTGATGCGAACTTTGTTGAAGGGTGTCTGAACTACTGTAAGCCTTAACTTGAAGGTGGACAGCCTGAGGGCTTCTCAAACAAGGAGATCACGTGACCACGTCAATGCTGGAGACTTCTAAGTTCTGACCAGCGACGAGTCTACACCTTGAACTCACCAAAACCTTTCTTCTGCACCCGGTCAAGATGTCAAAACGAGGCGCCTCTCCACCGCCATCTACAGAAGGAACCCTCATCAAAAGAGCGCGTTCGAACTCCCCTGCTCGAAACCAAATTATCATTTCATCTGGTAACGATGACCGACAGAAAGGTCTTATACGAAGCGTGAAGCGCACGAGCAACCTAGAGGCACCTATCATTAGCTTGAGTGGGTCTCACTCGGTGAGAATTATAAACAATTTACCCGTAGGATGGTGTATTAATGAATTCGAAGGCGGAAATTCTGAGCTGTAGGTTTGACCCTACTGGGCAAAACATTGCTGCTTGTTCAGCGGATCGAAGCGTTTGTACGTGACATCTTCAAGTGTTTTATGCGAACCGTTTACAAGTGAGATATAGCTTTGTGGAGGACGTATCCACCAAATACCAACTACGGCCTCCTCTCTAGCCACCATAAAGCGCCCATCCTTGACCTTCAATGGTCCCTCTTTTCACCGCTCCTTTATACCGTATCCGCAGACCAAATGCTGTCCTTTACGGATCTTACCACCGGGCAACGGACAAGAAAAATTCGTGCTCATCGTGGAATTATAAACGCGCTGGACCGGACTATGGCAGGCGGTGCTGGTGTCGAGCTCATCGCTACCGCCTCGGACGATGGAACAGTACGCGTGTGGGAGGGTGGAGAAGATGGTTCAAAGAGCAGTGTTGCAGTGTTTGAACTCGGATGTCCAGCAACCAGCGTCGCGTGGAGTGCAGATGGGCAGAACCTCTATATTGGCGCGCTCGACAACGAGATTCACGTATATGACTTGCGCAAGGGCGAACGGGTGTATGCGCTGACTGGTCATACGGACACGCCGACGTCGCTTGCATTATCGCCCAATGGTGCCTATCTCCTCTCACCTTCATTCTCATCTCACACTATCATCCATGATGTACGCCCGTTTTCGCCCTCGCCTACGAGGATACACCGGGTGTTGCAGGGTGCTCCAGCTGGTTTCGAGAACACGCTTTTGAAAGGTGCATGGAGCAAGGATGATGGGGGACAACGGGTCGCGGTTGGTGGTGCGGATCGGATGGTATGTGTTTGGGACGTCGACAGTGGGCGTGTGTTGTACAAGGTTCGTGTTATCCCATCAGTGCCTCTTGCGTGTCGCTTACCCTCTCTTTAGCTGCCGGGGCACAGGGGCACAGTCACTTGTGTAGACTTCCACCCGAAAGAGCCCATCAGTAAGATTTTTTTTTGTCTGACTGATTTTTACTAATGTGTCTACAGTTCTTACTGGCAGCAAGGATGGTACTATGCTGCTGGGCGAATTGGACCCCGGTGTATAAAATATGTGATGCGTCAAATACCGCGGGCGCCACTGTCACTTGAATGCAGTTCAAACCCACAGAGATATGTTGTTATTCTTATCATGCTGCAATGAATTTAGTCGTGGCTTCATCGGAAAGTGAGTTCGTGCATTAGTAATGTAAAAGTATTCTCGAGTGTGAGATAGACTTCAAAGTTCCTTCAGTTGCCATGTCAAACAACGTAACTTAAAAACCAGGAGTTATATTCTCCACAAATCCCAGGAGATCTAGACAATCGTGTCATCCGTGGCTTCCAAAATAAATCCTGCCAAAATAATATGACCACCGCAGGGGTCGAACCTGCAATCTCCTGATTACAAAGTCGTAGTCAGACGCGATGCCATTTCGCCAGGCGGCCTTGAGATTTTTGTTTATGATGTACATCAAGGGTAGCAGCTGCAACTTCATAATAACGCGGTCTTAATGTGAATGACTGATTTTAAGCCGAACTTTTGCTGTTTCATTCAAGTCTCATATGCATGGGACCCGAAACGTCACAGAAGGAATCAACGAGTCTCCTTTTCTCTTTTCGCTTTATTAGTAGTGCTAAGCACCAGCTAACGAGAATCGGGCCCGAACGTTAACTGACACATACCATCCTTCACCTGTTTGACCGCTATCGTTGTTATCTCTTTGAGCTGTCTCATATGCTGTCTGCGTCAGTGACAACCACTCCTCGGCCACGACCCCCAGGTCGGGTACGAAGAATCTCTACCCACGTCAAAACTTCCCCGCCTCCTCCATATGCTGCCACATCGCTTCTTCATGATCAACTAGATAGCTCCTCGGATCTGAAACGAGAGACTTTCAATGGAGCATCTGCATGGGACGACATCCCTAACCTTCAAGATTGGAATGGAAGGTCCCGCGAGGAGTTATCTGAGCTACTCCTGAAAGCTGATGAGCTCATCAAAGACCGAGAAAATGGTTTGTCCTTTGATACTTTATTCTAGAGAAATAGACTCAAATCATTGTCCTCGTGCCGTGTAGAACTCAGTGTCACCACAGCTGTCTGTAAATCATTGTACGAAAATAATCTAGAGCTCCAGAACAAACACAAGGCGCTTCTCTCCCGTTTACCCACTTCATCATCTGTCTCTCCATCAGGATCCTCTGCATCTTCTCCAGCTACTCCCGGAACGCCTCTTCCACACTCACCCCATTACTATACCAACATCTCTTCCTCACACGCGAGCACTAGTACTTCTCGCTCCCGCCGGTCGCAAAGGCGTGTCTCTGTCTCCCCTGCAGACCTCGCTCTACTTTCCGATCAGAATGCTGAGCTCCTTGCAAAGCTAGAAAAGCTCGAATCTGAATCTGTTCAGACTGATCAAGCGGGACGACGAAAATTACGTGGTTTGGAGAAAGAGATACAAGGGCTTCGAGAAGAGCTCGAAAAAACTCGTGCCAGAAGCGACGAGCTCGAGAACAAGGCAAAACTTGTTAGTCCTACCCTCGAGTCTGAGGAAGCGTCGAAGAGGCGACATGAGAGAGAAGAGCGGGTCCGCGCCCTACGGGGTAGGAGTGAGGACGAAGCAAATGATGGAGAAGTACGGGACTTTGCGCCAGGGGGGGCTCTTGCATCTCAAGGGGTCTCGAGAAGATCCACCGGACTAGGCAGGTCAGAGAAACGGAAGCGTCCATCGCAGTGTCTCCGCCGGCATGCTTCTGAAGCTGGCTTTCGTTCGGCTCCTTCAGATGGCAAGCTTTCTGAACGATCAAGAAAGATGTCTTTATACAACGGTGTCTCTCGATCATTCCCCCAATTCCAGTTTCCTTCTCCTGCTCATGAGCCAGTCCCGACGATACCCGAATATGCACTCGTGTTCCAGCTCCTTCAAAAGATCCGTGAGCTTGAGCAGATTAATTCACAAATAACGATGCAGCAAGAGAAAACGACAGCATCGCTGCAGTCAGTTCAGAGAGACGCTGCAAGCATCCAGCTCCTCTACGAGAGCCTTGGCGATGTCGATGCCATTGATTGGCTGGCTGAGGGTGACAGCTTCGAGAATCCCGGTGCCCACGAGGAAGATGAAGATTCCGAGGAAGACGAGACAATTCGTTTCGCCAGTCTCCGTCGGTCTATGCTCACGGATTCCTCGGCTGAGTTTGATAACGGTATCGAACCAGATAGACAGAGTAGCATGCGGCACGCAATACTTCCAGAACTCTTCCCTCCACCTGCACATCATCGCACACGTCGATCTGTTGTTGGATTATTCGACCCCCCGACTATATCTGATGTCAGTAATCCACCTTCTGTACAATCACTGGGCATTCCCGGTCTACCGGCCGTTCCTTTTATTCCTCTGCCCAGCACAGAATCTGTGACCCCCGAGGAATTGGATTTGTCATCACCTCTGGCTGCGGGAGTGCCTACTACAGAATTCACGGGCCGCCAGACTCTCGACAATGAGTTGGGGCTTGCATGGGATAGCTGTCATGGGAATGACCACTTCCGCACACCGAGCCTAGTTGATCTTACATCGCTTTCTCCTTCTTCATCCGTCGGCGTTCCGGATTCCGGCACTCCTTCCACAACAGACAAGCTGTCTTTTTCCCCGTCTTCTAGTTATATCTCAGCTTCTTCCACATCTTCCACCTCATTTGCTGAGCAGGTTAGCTTGAAAACAGACGGTGCTCATGATTTTGAGTCCCTAACATACAGTCCGCCCAACGCGCACGTGGGTACGCTTGCAGATAAGAAGTATCGCAAGTCGCATACCATTCGGATGCGCACAAACCACTGGACTGAAGGTCGCTTTGAAGCGACACTTCTTTCTGCCCCACGGAGGCAAAGCTCTGCTGATCTTGCCCGTCCTTCCACTCCAGTTCCTCAAAGACTCGTAAACGAGTTCGTGGATAGCATAAGCCGCCATCGCACACATTCCCTTTCTTGCGGTCTCACAGATGATGAACCAAGGACGATTTCTGTATCGCCAGTCTCTCTTCGTGAGGGAGTCCAGAAGCCCCGACAGCGACGGTTTGTGTCGTTCGTTTTGGAGCTGTGGTTGTGGCTTCAGTTTGCTATCGTCGTGGTCATCTTTCTTTGGGCGATGGCGAAGCGCGGACCGAAGAGTGTGTTGGAGGAAGCTCAGAGAAGGAAGATTCAGTGACGCTATTTTGGATGGACTATCTATAGTGTAGTATTAATGTTGAATATGCCCTAGGCTAATGATATACGAGATTCTACGCCAGCTGGATTTTTGGTCTGGTGTACTAGCGGCCCAAGCGGTGGCGCGCGACTGGTACTGGTCTTGGACGACACGTTGTCAAACTCAATGCTGACGCGGGTGCCGGTTCCTGAAATCCTAAGTAGGTGGTACCACGTACGTGTGTCCAGCTGAGCGCAAGGGCGATTTATTTTTTTTGGAGTGGCGGCAATTCACCACGTACATACACGCTCCTTTAAATCTGCCGGATTGTTCGTTGACGTTCACTTTCTTGACATACGCCGTTGTGTGCTCAGGCTATTAGTGGTATAAAAATCATACCTACGGAGCTGGAGCAGACGAGTTAGTTCAATTTTCGGCCCATCCGCTTTCTCACAAGACTTGGTCCCGGCCAAAATGTAAGCTCTGAGCCTTAGTTACGGTCCCCGAATACTTAATAGCATCCTGTATAGCTCCACAGACATATCTAGTACCATGACAAGTGCCTTGGCAAATGAAGCATTCCTGTGCAAGTGAGGCTTGTATCGCTATTTTCCCTCAGGATCGTGACATCTCGAACGGAACTTCGTCGCATGTACAGATGCGGCAATGTACCATGTGCTCACCAGCAAACGTCCGCTAGAATCGTCCCTTCACACGACCGCACGACAACATCAAACTAATCCGTTCGCATTGACATGAGAGTATAAAGTGTTAGAAAGTACCTCTTGATCTGACGCAGACTTGATCTATGGCAACTTCCTCTCTTTTGGACTCCGAAAAATCTATCGCACAGGAACTACTCGTACAGGTTATCTCCGCTGATATCGCTAAGTCCCCGCTACCGATTAGAGAGTCACTTCGCGGAACGTCGACAACTCCCTCACCTCCCACTGTGGACATGCCTTTATCTGTACTCAAGGAAGCATCGATACCGCTTCTAGTCAGCAGCCCTGCGTCGAGGTCTGTGCCCCTCGAAGAATGCAAGTCCGGCATAACCGAGAGACGAGAGAATGGCTTCCTTCGACGGTGGCAGCAATGGTTCGCGTTCTTCGGTCAAAGTTATCGGATAATCTTTATTGATCAATTCTAGGGATTGGCTTCATGATTGCTGGAAGCCCTACGAATACATCGAACAGACTCCCCCTATGGCCACCCAAGAGCCTACTTGTTTCTGTTTAAACGTTCGACGGAAGACAGATAAAGGTGCGCCCTCAGGTATCGCATAGTTGCAATTGATGTACCAGTTTGCAGAGAAACCAAAACTGGTTTTCAGTGATTTTAGTCCCATTTTACTCGCCTGTTTACGGTATGGCGGATCTGAGCACTCAGTGTATCAGATGATGAATGATTATCTTCTGCAGCTCCATTATAGGGGGTGAATGCTTGAGCCAAGATCCACAAGTTCCTATCGATGAGCTGCTTTTGGAGCTAGATTCGTTGGACAGTCGCACCAATGACGCACGTGTAGCATTGGAAGATAACAAAGAAGATGGTATCGTATCAAGTGCGAAAGCGCTCGAGCATACGTATGAGGGTCTACATGGTATGTACTCCTTATGGTAACTCGTTTCATACCTTTCATGATGGCAGATGGTGACGCACGCGCGTACCTTACGGCTGCAGTCCAGCAGCTTGGCATTCTCCTACTATTGCTTAAAGAAGAATTCAAATCAATGTGCGATATGTCCTGTGTTTTCGTCTCTTGGTGCCTGATTTCCCGTAGAGCGGAACGATTGAAACATGCAGTAGTGCATGGTCGCATACCGCTCGATCTGCTGGAGTTCTACTTCCAAAAGAATCAGCAGTACTACTACCACGACGACAATGATGATTTCGTGAGGGAACTGACATTACTCTGCGAGATACTCACATAGATGAATCATGCAGGATGCATTCCGCTTGACCTCAACTTATTACGATGACTTTGACAAGTAAGTTGTAAATGTCACTTGTAGGCATTGTATCTTCCATTTCTTTTTCTTTTATAGAACATTCACTCTTAACGGAGAGGGTTCATACTGGAACGGAGCCAAGTGGGCTGAGGTCGAACGAGGCCGGATGGTTAAACTGACTGAGGTCTGTTCCCCATACTATCCTGCTTTCGTCGTACTCATTGCACTCAGGGGTCGTTGATCTTGGCTGATTTGAGAACCTTCAAGATGACGCCTGAGATATGTAGGCGACTTACGGGTAAGAGCACATGTCCTGCAAATGTCCCACGTTAACTCTGACTCTAGAGCGCGGCAGGAAGTACGTCGCACTAGCGGGGGTCCATCACAGACTTCGTGCGTTCTCTAATTTCTGTTATTTTATTGAGTTAACCTTACCTCTCTTAGACAGAGGAGTGCGCCTGATCATGAAATAGGTGGATAGTTTCTCACTGACCTGTCATCTCCAACAGCGGCGGATCATAGTTGATCGCTTGGCCTGGAACACGTTCGGCTACAACCACACGTAAGGAATTGTTTACCAGTCATTCATTGTATAATCTCATTATCGACTAGAGATGATACCTCTTTTCCATACCCCCTTCTTCAAGATAGAAGCAAGGCTCGAGACAACGACGACATCCCGCCTGTGCCCGAAGATGATATCGCTCTTCTCCCGCGATTCATGCCAGGTTTTGATATGGAACGCAAGGTAATCACACAAAGGTAGACATTCGAGTATCTCTGATAATGCTTTGCTTCCTGCAAGTCGTGGGGCTTCTTCGATGTTGATGAAATCGAACCAATAAGATTCAATGAAAATGCCTGGAAGCACATTGTGCTCGACGAAAGTTCAAAGGTAAAGGCAAACAACCAAAATATTTGTTCATCTTCTGATTACGACAGGATATCATCGAAGGAGTTGTGGGTACATTCGACTTCAGCAAGGAGGTCATGGCAGATGAAGAACAATCGGGCTTGGTAGGTCAAGTTACCTGTTCGTTCAAAAATAGTATCGAATGTCACGGCGCACCTCTCGCTGGTAGGTTATACTCCTGCATGGACCATCAGGGACTGGCAAAACGGCAACCGTTGAAGCTATCGCGGAACACTTTAAACGACCATTGCACACCCTATCAGTATGTTCCCTTCCGTTGGACACGAATTTACTTGTGGATACGTTGACATCCCGTCTGGATGTATGTTTATCGACTGCTGTCCATCTTAATGCAAATTCAACATTTCCACAGGTAGTAAGATCATGGAATGCCATAGTATTGATTGAAACTGGGGATGTGCGGTATTTTGCATGTTTTATCAGTCGGTCATGAGTTGACTTGCATTCAGATTCTCATGCAGACTCAGAGGCACGAGCCAATAGTGCGCATTAGGTGTATCCATCTTGTGCTATTCTGACCTGCGATCAGATGGAGGAACACGATCGCATCTCGATGATACTCGAATTCTTTGAGCGGCATCGGTGCATTGTATTTGTTACCGCCAGAACTACATGTGCCGCATACATGTCGCATTTTGCTATTGGTACAGGCTTCATTTTCTAAGTTATCAATCCGCGCTTACCTCGTCATCCTTGCAGCTATCCAATATCCTGAATTAGATAACGATTCCCGCCAAACTATGTGGTCTAATATGCTCTCACAGGAAGCAAACAACATATCTCGTCGAGACATCGAGGAATTGTCTAGAGTTGCAGTCAATGGTAAGTAGCCTCGCCCTATTGTAGACAGACGCTGCGATATTTTCCAGGTCGGGCGATGAGGAACATTCATACTACGGCCAAAGCACTAGCGCATTATAGGTGCTTGTCTTCATTTACTATGAGATCTTTGATTGATCCAGTATTACAGTAAAAAACCTGTATCTCTACACCACTTGAAGACTGCTGCAAAGACACAAGGACAGGTCGAAGGTGCAGGACATCATCTTTACTGGTGACCTAGAAGTTCAGAGCCGTTTATTGAATATACCCTCTAACTGCAAGAATGCAATAGTTAGATAGATAATATATGTAGACTCTCGACAGACGAATTACAGGGCAGTTTTTTTTGGATCTTTGATCATGAACTGTGATCGTGTAAGTCGGAAATCGCGTGAGTTCTTATCACGTGTGTCGTCACATGATTCACTGATATCATGAAATCATAATGCATCCTTCAAAGTCTACTTCCAAAATGTCATCTGCGGCATCCTCATCAGAATCTTCTAGCCCACCACCGGTCAAGAGAAAAAGAGTTACCGAAGAACGTGATGATGCAGTGCGCGAAACAGACACAGCACCAGCCCTAGATGACGACGTCGCGTTGTCTCACGCCGAAAAACGCAGACAGAAGAAAAAGGAGCAGAAAGCTCAAGATCGGCCGTCGAAAAAGAGAAAAGTAACAGATGGTTCCGCAGCTGACGTCTCTTCAAAATCCTCGAAGCCTGCTGGCAATAGCAAGCCGAAACGTCAGAATTCGGTCTGGGTAGGCAATCTATGGTTCAAGACTACGCCAGATACACTGCGAGATTTCTTTGATGGCGTTGGGGAGATTACACGAATACATATGCCCACCAAAAAGGGGACTAAAGGAGAGAATATGGGGTGAGCAAAATTTGTTTCACTGTTAAATGCGTAGTCGACTGAAGACAAGGTAGCTTTGCCTACGTCGACTTTGCTACGTCGGATGCCAAAGTCACAGCGATAACCCAGTCTGAACGAGAGCTTCACGGTCGGAATTTGCTGATTAAAGACGGTATGTGCGCATGCGGTTTAGCCTACAACACTTGATGTTTAAGCTTGCGTTCGCGCATGTGTAGGAAATAATTTTGCGGGCCGTCCCGCAACTGCACCAGCGGCTGGAACACAAGAGGACGCAAAGGGTCCTTCTGCAGGTAAATCAGCGAGCGGCTTGACGAAAACACAACAGAAGATTCTGCGTGTACAGAAGCAGCCTCCTGCACAAACATTATTCCTAGGAAATCTTGGTTTCGATACTACTATGGAGTCGATTCGTGAACTTTTTGAGGCTCATAGACACCCGCAAAAGGCTGGAAAGGGCGTTAAAGTGAATGATACCGAGGCTAGTGTCGAGGAGGATAACAGTGCCACGAAAGATGTTTGGTTACGAAAGATCCGCATGGGAACTTTTGAAGACAGTGGTGCATGTAAAGGGTGAGTACTTTGTTGTACAAGGTGCATGTAATGCTAACGGAATCATCCAGATTTGCGTTCCTTGACTTTACCAGCATCGAACATGCAACTGCTGCCTTGCTCAATCCTCGCAACCACCGTCTCAATGGTCGAGATCTAGTTGTGGAATATGCCTCTGCTGATGCAGTCCGTCGAGGCGGTGGTCCAAGATCACAAGGCGAACACAAAAGCGGTCCTGGAAAAAGACATGGTGATCGGCAACCCGACGCAGCTGAACCGCGTCCACGATCTCAATCACGCCCGGGAACGCGTGGTGAAAATGAGAAAGAACACATCGCACAAAAAGATGACGCAGAGTCAACACGACGGAATCACAAAGAGGGTCCACGACATATAAAAGCTGACAGGGTTCGAGGACGCCCAAAACCTGGTGCTGCACTGGCCAAAGCGCCGCGTGAATCGGCTGCTATCATACCCAGCCAAGGTCAGAAGATTGTGTTCTAAGATATCACGATAGCAAAGGGTAGCGAGAGACGCGACATTGTACACCCTAACAGTAGATAGCTTCGCAAAAATCATGCTGTCTATATGGACATGTCGAATGCATTTTCCAGTTCATGGATCTTCCTCGTCATCTTGAACCATCCCGACATTGAATTCAGCGCAGATATCCCACCGAGAGCCTGCAGCAGCAGCTGACACATACTTGACGAAGCGCATAACGCCCTCGTCTCGCAGGACGAGAAGGAGTGTGTTAAAGCTAGGCTGAACGGTCAGCAAAGTACTCTCGTCCTCTTCATCTTCCTGCTCCCTGATCCCTGCATCATCATTATGGTCTTGTGAACCAGAAGCATCGTTGACTTGGCGTGTTTTGCTTGACCCGGAACGATAGACCGCTGGATCATCATCCTCATCATGGGGTGCCATATAACACTTGATAACGAATAAATCAGCAAACGTCGATGAGAAAGATCTTGAACACAACCTCCCAACCTCCCCACTCCCCAGTTTGCCAACCATGCGGCTCTTCGTCCTTTTCATTAGCCTTCGACTTGCCATTTGATCGCGTCTCATTCTCTTCAATTTCTGCTTGTGGCGTTAATTCCAACACTACGTCCAATCGCGACTCGTTCCCTTCACTCGTTGCAAGAGTGTAGTCCAAGCCTGGTCTAAACCTTCGCGCTTCTACAGCATAGCTGAGCGGCACCAACTTTGTCAGGATGCTTAGCCAAGCGCGAAATGCGTCGCTTGGAAAAAGTTCGTCTTGTAACTGACGAAGGATTGTGTCTGGTTCACGTGAAGGCACCGTTGTTTTTTGGAGCGTACAATAACGCCATTTGTGTGGTGGACCCCGTGCAGACCATGCACCAGAAACGCCAGCAGTGTGTGGTGGTATGCTCCCCTGTCGAGTCTCGCCATCAAGACCATCAGCTTGGTCTGCCATACGTAGGTCAGGTTCAAGTTTCGATACGAGAGACGCGGAAAGGAAATGGTGAAGTTCAATATTCGATTCCACGACAAAACGTGCCATCAATGCCTTCATCGTGCGTGTTTGAAGGTAAACTGGGTTTAGGTATTTTGAGAGATAGGAGATATATTCTCTTCGGAGCGGTCCATCGGGATGGAGTGAGTCTAAGTCGGGATATGCAACAAATGTGGTAGAGCTAGATGTCTGTAGTAGTCCTGATGAGACAAATGCACAGACAATACATCTTCCAAGACACACCAACTGTTCTCGTGAGCTTTTGAGCTCAGGAACCGTCTGATCAGCTTGATACCCCTCCTCGCCCTCTTGTGCTGCGTGGAACCAGCCACTTATGCTAAGTCTTGCCACACCATCTCCTCCTACTACCACTTCTTCTACAGAATGGAAGCTTTTGCCTGGTTGCACTTCGAAGAAGATAAATTGATTCCAGCTTGGAGGGATGGCTTTGCATGGTGCAGCCTCGGGCTCAGGGATCCCGTCGACGCTAGGTTGAACAGGATACAACTCTAAAGCACCTCCCCATTCTTTTTTCCACTCCTGGCCGTATGGCAATGGCATATAGAGGATGTACGATACGCGCCTGGTCCCAATCACATCGTCGTGGTTAAGTAGGTGACACCCTTGCGTGTACGAATTGACAGACATATCCTGTTTCGTTCCGGAGAGTGGTCCACACCCAGTGACGGCCTGGATGAACTTGCGAAACTCTGAAGAATAGAGTGCATCGCGGAGAGCAAGGAGGTTCGGGAACAGTGCAAGTTGAGCCTCAGAGAGGTACGAGAGTGATGCAAGGTCCCCGGTTTGATTGACCTATGAAAAAGATGTTGGATGGCAGATAGTCGGTTAGGATCGAGGCTCACCTTGTATATGTCTGTCTCCTTCTCAGTAAAGCTCAGCTCCTTCATACATTCGTCCTTCACATTCTTGAGGAGATCGTCCTGGAAAAGCTTTTCGATAATCGCATATTTGAACGGTCCACTGCCAGCGTAAATCTGATGCAATTGTTGCACGTTTTCTGGCTGAAAGAGACGGGGATAGAAGCACAACCGGTGGTCCACGGTTGATGTCGACGAGGAATGTGTCGTTTTTAATCGCTTTAGAAGTGAATCTGAAGAAAGCCCAGGCGAAGGAGATCGCTCGCGAACATGGGCCATTATCTTCTTTTAAAAATATTGTGAGATGCTTCGTGTAAATTGCGAATTGGCCTCTACCAGACTGCTAGTACGTCACAGTACTAAAGACCATCGATATCATTATCGCAGTTACATAATATATAATTGTTAGGGTCCAACATTCTCTACTACGAGACTACGACGTCGAATGAGAATACAAAGTTGAACCTAGTGGATCCCCAATCTAACCCTCTCCTGCTTCTTGATCATACGAACATCTTGCAGATACGCTGAAGCTCTCGCCCACTTCTCGTGTCGTTTTGCCGTTTGATTTGGCACAAGTTCAGAACTGGTGTACAGAATGTCCTTCAGGTTTGGTAAAACGGAGGAGAGGAAGGCGGCGACAGCCAACGGATTCTCTATTAGTGATGCCCCGACAGAGAGTGTAGTGATATTAGTATTAGTTACCCCACCCCCTGGTACCTCGGGTGTCACAACACTGTATGAGGTGGCGTCCATGCCGATGCCAAGAGTGTGCAAGTTTGGGCAATGCAACAACAGACTAGAAAACCCATCCAGGGTGATTTGAGGACGCGTTGGTGTCACCCACGTGGCCTCATCACCCAGGCGTAACTTTATGAGCTTGGGCCACGATTTAACGGCTCTAATGAGGTCTTGGTCGTTCAGAGTAAGGTTGCCAAAGTGACATGGTAGCGTTAGTTCTTCCAATGTGCAAAACGAGCATAGTGGCATGATTTCACTGATCGTAAGCAGTGAATCACAAGTCAAATCGAGTGAGAGAGCTTGCACTTGTTGCGCCGTTACACGAGAGGCAAGGAGTAAAAGAAAGGTTTCGTTACTGGAAGATCGTGGGATGTTCCCGAGAGAGATAGATACTCTTCTCGCGGGTATCCACGTTGCTTCAAGGAAAGGCATGCATAGCTCGGAACTATTCGCACGGATTGTGAGATATTGAAGGGGATTTGAAAATGTAGTCGGATTGTATTTGAAGGAGTTTTTATTTTGCGATAGAAATGAAAGTTGTAAGTGCTCGAGGCAGCAAAGAGTGGAGAGGTGGAGCAAGGCGGGCCCATCGACGGCTTCTGTGCTAAGGGCCTTGAGCTGGTGCCAACCACATACAACTGCTTCTGAAACAGGGACGGATGCAGCTGGATCTAATCCAGTGGTGGAGAAGAATTTCATGAGGGGACATATAACTCCCAGGTTTGATAAAACCGAGAGCATAAACAGGTTACCCATCGCGTGTAGATGAAGCTCAGTCAGGGTGGGGCTGAGAAGGTTGGAAAAGAGTTGGGTAGCTTCAAAGCTACCATCCGACCAGCTCAGTTTTTCAAGGCGAGGGAGCAAGGAAGGCCAAGGATGACTGCAGAGGGTATGTGCGAGTTCCTGAGAGATGCCACCCATAGCACTCCGCCCAAGTGTTCCAAGGGCTCGAACCCTCGTAAGGTACTTTTCGATGCCCCGCCAATGAGAGATCAGAATGCAACTATTTATCTTCTGTATGCCGTTTGAGACAGGAGTGTAATCATGGAGTGCCAGAAACTTACCAGAATACCACTGTGACGATGTCGAGACCATACATGTCTGGGAAGACATTCCACTACAGGGTTGAGAGTATCTATGTGAGCCCAGAGCATGTCCAGAGCAAGGTCCGAGAATGTGCGACAAGTCCTAGCGAGACGTGCGAGAGTTTCGCGGCGAACATATACATCATGAGGTCTGGTTGGTACTTCAAGGGTGATTTCTTCATAATTGTTCACGGCCGAAAAAATGTTCTGCAGAACTTCACAGATTTGGAGGCAGGAGTGCATGAGTAGTGCGATAGTGAGGGGCCTGTGGCATTCGCCCGCACCTACTAGTACGACGTCCCTATCCGTATCATGACGTCAGAAATAAAGTCGCGGAGTAGAAGTTTGAAATTAGGCTTGCTTTGCTCGGGGCTGACACTGAAGCACTGATCAGATAGGCGACAGCACGACGCTGAGGCTTATACTAATAGCCTGAGTACTTCGTAGTAAGTACTCTTGGAGTAGCATTACGTGGCAGAAACTTGACCAGCCGGGGATAAGACACTCGCTGTGATAGAAACAGTTGCGGCCACTGCCAGGCAAAGCCGCACCAGCATCCCGAACACACAGAAACTCTCGAGATTGGCACCGGTCACCCGGTGGTCATGCTCAGCTGCGATGATAATTATGTAATCGTAACGCCGCGTACGCGCCAATTCCCGACGACGCGGCGACGCCCGACACCATCACGTGTCGTCTTGGTTCGACTTCGTTCGCCTTCCGCTTCTTCGTTTGGGCTGGTACCAATTGCAATGGATATTACTTGTGGATGGGTAGCGAATTAGTTTTCATGAATGGTGTCACCATTCTGGACAGACATTTTGGAGGGAGATGGAGCACATTGACAACATGATCACGGTCAATCTATCGATGTTTATTGAGATCGGTATACATTCAATCTACCATTAGCACTGTCAAACTTACGTTCTCTTCCAGGCGTACCAACGATTAGGTTCGCTGAGCGACATGCGGCAGCAAACCTGCTAAACTTGTCGACAGTCGCGACGTTCTTCTCAGCTGTGACAGCAACGACCTTACAATTCTCATACCAGTTGACAGATGGAGTGCTGGAAAAGTCTGTCAATGCGTTTTGGTTCTCCTCGTTAGTTTTCAGTATAGCAGCCGCAGTGAACAGTCTCCTTGGTCTCACCTGGAAGCAAGCTATGTAGTAAGTCTATCATCGTCCTGCCTGTTCCTGTGTCTAATGACAATCATTCAGTCGCTCTCCGGGACATAGGGTACCTCGGTGGGTCTTGATATGGATCAAGCGATCGCCTTTAGTCTTTCTCGTCATGTCTGTGGCATGCTTTTCTGCGGGCTTGATGCTTTTCACATACGCCACGGATCATGTATGGGGTCTTATTGTACTCATGGACGCATGTCTATACTCAAGTACCCAGGCTGTCACTTCCTTCGGCCTGGCTGCCATCTCCGCTTGGTTCACCTCCTAACGGTGGATATTCGTTCAGCACCGCGGTCATGTGTGGCTGGAGGATGTGATAAATGAAACAACCCACCGCATGCTCCTCCTTTCTGTTGTTGTGGAATTGCGGAAGATCATCCACTACTGCAATCAATGCATCTTGGCGATCCGCGGCCTGATAAGACGAGTGTCTTTCAAGAAGGTAACTGACGCGATTACCCGGTTCAGATATAAGCACCATACTCTTCCCACCACGGCCCGCAGATGCTTGAACTTCCTCCATGAGCCAGCTATATCCGTGTGCTCAGAATACACCGAGCGTGCCAATTCTTTGGATGTTCCAGCGAGTGAGGAGAGCGAGGCTTCCCGTCGATCCATTGCCCGTCAGCGCCCCCGACCGCGGGCAGCTGCAGGTGCCAGTGTGTCTAGGCATATTACGGTGATGAAAAGTCGGCTTCTCGAGTCACATTCCAAAACCTTGCTCGGGATCCGGAAATGGGTGCTTGGCGTGGCTTCGAACTTCGACAGGAACTACCCGGGCCGGAAGCCAGATGAACGAGCGCCGGACGAGGGCTGGAGCGGCTATCAAGGCTTGGCTTAGGTTGTGCGCTAAAATCCTTCCCTATATATTACGATATATGACGATATCCTTCTCTGATCTGCCGTTGTTCATGATTATGCAAGTCGTCCATTTGACAGAATTGCTCCAACTGCACGATAGAAGAATGGGATAATCCAGATTACCACATGCACTGGGGGAAAATACGAAGTGAGAATGTGGCGCGAACCTAGAGATTCGAATCGAATGGTTGCGACATTCTCAGGGGATTGTACAAAAGCTGGACATTGGGTAAAGATGTTATGTGCACCTTCGATGGCTTTACGGGTTTAGCAAATCGCGAATAGACGATGCCCTATATACTTACATGTACAAGGAACTGGTATACGGCAGGTGAGGGCCACTGATGCTGATAAGGTGTTCATAACTGCGAAACTGGAGTTCAGCTACACCGTAGATTCATCACAAGTGTGGCGAGAGCAGCCGTCGGGAAGCATAACGGCGTTGCAACAATTTTATCCGCATATGCATTTAGGTGACTTGCATGACAGTAAACGTTGGTAAGTCATGTACGCACCACACTAATGTGATTGTATGTGAGTTAGCTTGCGAATATAGCGCCCATGACGCCCATCTTGCAGTGCCTAAGACCGATTCCGAACGACGATCAATCAAGGAAACTGTGAGATCTTGACACTATTGATGATTAGGCCTTCGGGAGAACTGCATGACGAGACAACTAGATCGGAACGGAAGGAAGCCTGGATATATCAATGTTAGTTGCGAATTCAGACCAATACCACTGAGAACTTCAGCGGTAAAAATGACTACAACAAGGACATCCGTCCTTTAGATTCCTAATAACTGAGAACTACAGTACAAATCTGCAGCAAGCAATAACTCATCAACACAATAATACAAGCAAGAGCATAGAGAAGCAGAAACACCACCGCAACATGTCAGAAGTCAATACCATCATTATCATCCCAATCCTGAACTCATGCCTTTTCAGTCTCCAGCGAAATCAAGTCGGCAGTCTGATCTGCTCCCAAACTGAGGTCCGCAGACTGATGACGGGCTAGCGAGAGGCTGCGCGGTCGCACAGGTTGGGCTGGGTATGATCGAGAAACCCATGCCTCTGTCGCATTTGCGAGTAATTCCTCCGCGACTTGCGAAGAAACATGCGTGAGAGGGACTGGAGCATAAACCGGAGCGTCTACAAATTGTAGGTCGATATCGGATGTGCAAGGCGCTTTGCTTGCCACTGGAGGGACTGGTAGGATATATATCCGCTCATAGTGAGGTGTGTGGGATGACAAATGGAAGCCTTGATGGCGAACAAGAATGGTGTAGTAACTCGATAAAGCCAGCACACAGTGAAGCTGCATAATCAAACGTAAGCCTTGCGCCTCGCCAATTAAGGCAAAATTTACTCACGCGGATGACGGTGATGACAATGAGAATAATCATAAACGCAAACACTCCCCGTTCAAACCAAGGCTCGCAGTTCTCCAAAGTCAGCCCCAAGTCGATGAAGTCTCGAAGAGTGTCTGGTTGACGCGACAACAACTCGCAAACATTTGAGCGAACTGTTGGTCGAAAGGCAGCGTAAGAGCCTATGGCTGCAAATAGAGTGCCAAACACGAAATCTCCGACGATATAGTCACGATATATGCGCACGAATGATGCTTTTCCCTGAGGAAGAAGGCTTAAGATTTTGGCAAAAAAGAAAGAAAAAAAATGCACGCACTCGGACAATGCCTGCCAGGCCAAAGAAACAGATGGCAGACGCGGCAACGAAATATGCGCACAATAACGCCCATACGAGGCAGACCCCGTCCTTACTGATGGAATACTCGGAACTCTCCCACTCGCTTTCTGGTTCCCATTTGAATGACCGCCAAGCTCCTAGTAGTCGCGCAGCAAGAGCGAAATTGAACACTGCGCCAAACAATGAGATGGCTAGTGAGGTGGTCCTAGGAGAATTGAAGAACATGTCAGTCGATGGTCAAGAATGGCGGAAAAATGCAGTCATGGATTTAGTGCCCGAGCCGGACTTTTGTAAGCGTGCGGCAGGAAGAGGGGCTGCGTAAGATCAAGGGATGTTATAACTGGGACAAACCTTGTTACAAAAAAACGGGCCATTTGTCCAAAAATTCTTGCTGGTCGGACCTCTACAGACAAGATAAAATATGATGAGGCGGCCGGTGGTTGAAATGCAAGATGCGGGTCCGAGAAGGAGTGTTAGTACTCGTGCATGACTAAGCTTGTAGTGTCATCAGATCGGGGATCGTCGTTTCAGCCTGGTCTTTTTTTAACAGGAGACGGCACAAAGTTGTTAGCCCATCTGTTTCATGGGCTGATTTCTCCATTCCCAGTAAAGCCTGGACGTGGTTGTGTTTCCCTCACTCGGAAGTCGCCGTGATAAAGAATAGGCCTGATCCGGGCGTGTTTGATCATTTTGATATACCGTGATTCCCTCGATATGAGTAAATATTTCACAGTCAGCAACCTCGTGATTGAACTTTGGACGACGTGACCCTCAGGTGCCGTCCGAGTTACTCAGACTGTTGTTCCTTAACAGTCATGCCAAATAACCGTTAGGCCAAAAGGCAGTGCTGGCAGACAGTATTCATGATGGCAACTCAGGTAAGCAACCGGCTTATATACTTCCTGTAAGTTGCTGCGGTACTGATAGTATTAATGTCCCTTACTAGTTATCGGAAGTAGTTCTTTCGTCATGGGAATGTGATTTCTTCCGCGCTCAAGCGACGCATGCGATGCTAGTACAGTTGCGGACAGACAAACTCGACAATTTTTAGTAGTGCCTCAAGGTAATTTTTTGGGCCAAATCCAAGGCCAGATTTGAACTCAGGGAGCCAAAATACATCTAAAAACACTTCACCGGAGATTTTCCCACAAGATTTTGGGTTGGCCAAATTTCTGAGCAATTTGAGCAATGTTGTGTACCCCTTTTGGGGGTCCAAGGTGTCCTCTGCACCGGGATTTGGTCAGAATTATTTGTGTCCAGCTTTATTTCACCTCTTTTTAGTTGAAAATAAGTCCAAATTTGCCTCACTAAGCCTCACAAGAGGATTTAGCCAGCGAAGGGATCTCCCGAAATGTATAACTATAACTTTTTTGGGCATACCGGAGGCAATTACACCAATACTTACCAACTTTTTAGCGCCGAAATGACACCAGATTCTGTTGATATTTTAACGGAATCATATACAGGACATCAAAAGGAAGCGATTGGCATATTTTCCGCGATTTTAGGAATTTGTTTAGGGGTTGGCCAAATTTTGGTCTCCAAAACTTGTCCGAAGCCTTTATATGGCAGTTTTATAAAAATCTGCTCATGCAAATAAGTTGCTTTGGTCCCCTATGAATGGATTCTGCACTAAAAATGGGTTTCTGATAATTTGTGGCAGCAGGAAAAATCAGTCTTTTGGATGTCCAGAATTGTCGAGTTTGCCTGTCCGCAACTGTACATTCATCACCACTAGGCCCATCGCCTTTCTGCTCCATTTGGTGTCATTCGCCGTAAAATTAGGGACGTTCAAAGTTGGGCGCCCACGCCCACCGCCCACGCCCATGACCCCTTCACCCACGCGTCGTCACCTAAAATGTAGTTTGCATAATTAGATAATACAAAGTAATTCTGAAAATTTATTGGTTTGTTACCTTCACTCACCATCAATCAGATCTGCGCATATGGCGAAGAAGAAGGATAATGGCGTCACAATCCCGGAGATTGTCTGGACTGATGACTTGGTCTGGCAGCTATTGGCGCAGATTGAACTATCAGAGAACAGAGTCGTGCTTCTAGGCAAACGGAAGAAGGGCGAGGTAAGTGAGTCAAAGTTGTCATATATGATACGAGATATGATGTTTCTGTGTCAGAACATGTCAGGTGATAGCAAAGTGACGGTGTATCAGCGCATGGCGGCTGCCGTTTTCCCGCAATTGCACAGCCAGAATGCTGTCGCAATGGGGGACCGAGTCAAACGAAAGTATGAGTAGTGAGTGCTGTGCTTTTCTCACTATTTTCCAGCTTACAATTCTGCTCAGCTTAACAAAAAAATACAAGGTGCATGCTCGACGTCTCCGAACAACTGGTGAAGGGGTCCAATCTGATGCGAATGGCAATGTCTCCGACAATGAATTTTTCGAATGCTATGTCCCTGCTGATGGACCCAACACAACCACAACTCCGAAAGCACAGTGTATTTGAGGTATGTTACTTATTTTCCGCCAGAATAATTCTAACATGACACAGATGAGATTGTTGAGCAATTCAAATTCTTTCCTGTTCTTCATCGAATCTTATCCTCTCGTCCGAATGTCACTCCAATAGCCATCACCACTGGTATCGGCCCGCATGGCAGGAAGACTGTGCACTACCAGCCTCCAAGTGATGACGAAGGGCCAGAACTTGCATCAGAGAATTTTTCACAGATCCAGAGCCTCCACACAGCCCTTCAGAACGAGGCTGCACACCGTGGAATCTCCCCATCTTTTGAGTCTCCTTTCGATACTATTGTAGATCCTTCTGACTATTCTCAACCTCTTTATGATGTCGACGACAAGGAGAATGATCCTCCCCCATCTTCGCAGTCAACCCCTACCCCAACAACTAAGCGAGCCCCGAAATCTTCGTCAATGTTACAAGACAGTCTCACCAAAGCGAGACAACAGATCTCCAAGGTGCCGAAGAAGCGTACCCTTGACGAGACACTCATTGACATGCAGAAGTACATTTTATTTATTTATATTTCAATTAACCTTACTCATATATATAAGGGCCAGTTTAGATGCTATTAATGCTCGTGCTACAGCAGAGAGGCAGCTTCAAGAACACCAATTGCTGCTCAAAGAGTTCGAGGCTGGTATTTGGAATGTTGACGAGTATCATGAAAAGCTCCGTGAATTGATGCATGACAAGGCTGAGCCTGTGAAGCGTGCTCGTTACTCTCCAGATTGGCCAGATTGGGATTAGGGTATTTCTTTGACGAGTCTCGGTATAATTTCTGCCTTCGCCTCTTGATAATTTTTTTTGCCTTATGGTTAACTTCTAGTCACTCCTTAACACCTTTCTATTATATATACTTGTTAATAGTAGTTCAACAAATACTTCTGTTACATTTGTCGAAATGCCATCAACTCTTCTACAAGCTGTTGTCGCTTCAGTTCTCCATTATTCCCAATCACTTGACCTGGAAGGATATCAGGCAATCCTCTATCTTCTTGTTCATCAGTGTGAGTGTGGATCCCAGCAAAGTGTGCCCCTTGTACTCCTCCTTCAACATCTATCACAAGGTTATGCAGGATAATGGCCACCGTAATCCAGTCGCATGCTGCCCGATGATGGCGCTTTGATGTAATGGTCACCCGAAGCCCCCGCAAGCATTGCCAGCGCCCTTTCAGAGCTCCCATGCAATGCTCAGAATGTACTCGGAGATGGGCTACTGCACTATCAAATAGAGCATTCTCGGGGATGAGAGAAGCAGGACGCTTGTGGACTGGAATGGTATGACTACTGACTGGATATGCAGAGTCTACCCAGGCAAACTCATTGCCTTTAAAAAACCAATCTGCATGTTTTGAAGCTGCAGTATGCTCAAAGGCAGAGGCATCATGGGCAGAACCAGTCAGGCCATGCGCATAGTCCACAATACGAAGATTGGACGGCAAATTTCCAACCTGTCAAAGCACTTCAATATTATTTAAAAAAACTGTGTGATATAGTACCTGTAGATTCAGTCCATAGTTTGACTTTCGTGTGTAATATGCATCTCCATTGAGGCCTGGCTTAGTATGCAGAACAACAATTGTTCTGTCATACATCACCCAACCTTCCCTCCAAGTTCCTTGGAATTTGAGCCGGTCATCTATCCATGATTTCTCAACCTCCTTTTCTTCAGCAGTTGGTAAGCATACAAAAGTGTCATGCAGAGATTGAATTGCACGGAAGCATCGTTGCATGAACAACTCTACTGCACCCTCAGAAATTCCTGCAAGGCGAGCAATGTCCAGTACCGAGGCACCATTGCCATATCTACCCATTCGATAGAGAGTGACAGCTAGTGTGGTGGGCAGAACTACTTGAGAATAGTAGTGCTGGCAGAACCGGCAGAACAACCAGTTCTGCCGGTTGGCATAACTCTAGCGGTGAAAATTTTGTATCTACAACATCAATGACAGTCCTACTGAAGACATCAATGACGCCTCGTCCCATCCATCATCCTCACCATCATGGTCCACAACATTCACCTCATCTACAGCAGCCTGTGGTACTAACCCTCAGTCAACCCTCTCCAATTCGACAAAATCAAAGGCCCTCCCTTCAAGAACTTCTGTGTCGTCAATACTCACAACTTCTTCTAGGTTCTCCTGTACTTCGAGAGCATCAAATGCTTCAGCGATTTCGTCGGCTGATATGGTCTCGGGACCTGCAAGGAGGTCGTCTACATCTTGTGGTTCTGCTGCGAGGGGAGGCGCCCATGCGAAATTGACTTCCAGATCCTGGGCGACATCAACATTGATTCCAACCTCCTCGCGAGTGTGCATATGCATATGCCGACGATGTGCAGGCTTTCCGTTGTCCTCCGCTCTTTTAGCTTGCTCATAACGAAGGTTTGCGCGAATCTTCCCAAGTGTTTCAAATGTTTCGACTGAAAGATTACAGCGCCTTGCAGATTGTGTGGTGCCGAGATCAGAGAATGTCCATTCAACCTCGCCTGCATGCCCGACAATTGATAAAATTGTCATGGCAAATGCCTTGAGCGGGTGAGTCTCTGCATTCATTGGAAGGTTCTTCCACCACAAAAGGCCGTCTGCTTGCCCCCCCGCAAATGGTGCCACTGACTCGTTGTATACTTGCAGGTCATCCGCCAGTTTCTTCGCCTTCAATTTGTCCCATTTCCAGCGCTTCGCAATGCCGAGTGCAATTTTAACCATGAATTGGAATGACCTCCCATTTGCTACTTGGGTGACTGCGAGTTTTCGGCACATTGGGTGGAGATATAGAGCGAGTGAGTGGATCTCGGTGTTCATAGTGTGAAATCGTCGATTAAAGACTGACTTGGCATGTCTCCAGAAGTCAATGTCGTAGTCGTCGTCGAAAGTCAGCTGCGACATTTGCTTGGCACACCGAAGGAGTTCCAGCATACAGTCCGCGAGCGAAGCTTGGTGCAACTCAAGGTTCCCAATTGCGTCGACAATGAATTTGACGGTGTTGACAATCTGCTCCAGATGCCTCCAGAATAGAGGGTCGCCGAGAATTATTTTGATAACATCGTGTGCGACGGGAGTTAGATTATTTGTCTTCTTCCTTGCATCTTGGCGCATGCACACGAGGGTCAGCGGAGAACTATGAGGTCAAATATTGGTACCGATACTCTGTCTTTGATAATGCTAGTGGAATCTCACCAATAATCTAACACACTTAGACATTGCAAAATCAATGCATAGAACCGGGACTCGCAGTTCTGCTTCATTTTCCGCGTGATGTTTTGTTTCTTCGCTTCATCATTGAGCTGCCCACCCCAGTAGTGGGATGAGTTGAAGAAGGTAACTACTCGAGTTGCTTTTGCAACAACTTTCTTCATCGTGGGATACGACATAATGTTTCCAATTAATGTATTGAGACTGTGAATAAAGCATACAAATCCCTACCAATTGCAAGTTAGTGCAATTGTCACAACATGTGGATTGACTATCGACTTACGAGGATCCAGGGATATTGTTCCTGGAACTTGCGGCGATAAGCCTGCATGACAGTTGGATTATCTGTCGTGACTGCAATGAAATTTTTGCCATCTCCGACTTCCATTTGGTCCATTGCCTTCTGTGAGACGGTGATAAGATTATCTGATGTGGCTCTCTGTCCAGTCATGTCCTGTAATGCGAGAACAACTGGAGGATGATTCACTTCTACGGCAACTGAGCCATAAAGACTTCTCTTCAATATATCCTCCCATCCATCAAGAAGCAGTGTGAGACATTTGCGTTCCTTGAGTCGATCTATCTCCTCCTGCTGGACTCGAACAGCCTCACCATCAAGGAGGTGATGAGATAATACATATCGGGATGGAACTTTGTATGATGGCCGAATTACGTCGATAAACTCGCGAAAATATTCGTCATCTCCTACACGAAATGGGATGTTGGCGTGAATTATGAACCTGTTACATGATATTGGTTTGGAATTTTTGTTGCACATTCATCGTGAACCTACCGAAGCAGTTTTATATTTGCAAGTTTGGCTTGCTCGTCACTAAGTGGGTAGTCTACATATCCATCCAATGTCGAAATCTTCTTCCGCTTCTTGATCACACCACCAGAACTAGACGAAGCAGCTGGTGAGATAACTTGACCACCATTGTCACCTGTCTTGTTCATAATAAATGTCCGGGCTTTTCGGCGAAGCTCAGGAGCAGCATCCTTGCAGTGGCGGATGATATGGTTAGGCAGACTATTGTCGCGACCTTGGATTTTGGCGCCAGGGGAATTGTCGAGATTACCACAGTGCTTGCATTTCCAGAAGTAACGGCCAGAACTGTTTGCAACTTTGTCGAGACGCTCAAAGTTGTCGTTGATTAGGGATGGCACTGGGCGGCCACCAGCATGGACCATATTTTGGGACGAAGGATCAGCCAAGAGGCATATGTGACTCGTTTCACTTTTTTTTAAGGTACACATATTGTACAGATTATTATGGACTAGTGCTCTACCAACCCTGAGTTCCGCCAAGTTCTGCCAGCACTTTTTCACGGAGTTCTGCCATCTGCCAGGCACAACCAGTTCTGCCAAACCGGTTGGCAGAACTCGTCAGTTCTGCCCACAACACTAGTGACAGCAAGCTGAGTCTGAACAGGCGACTGTGCATTGTTGGAATTATTGGAAAAAACCAGATGACCTTCAATTAGATTGAGCAGGACTTGAAACGTCATTGGAGAAACACGGAGCATGTGAATAAAGCGATTATGATCAGATGGAGATTTTGCGTATTCCCAAGCAATGTGCAGGGTGCTGGCTTTTGCAACAGGGGAGCGCTCTTGTAGATAACGAGTTTGTTGAATAGCAAGAATGCAAGATAAGTCGCAATGCTGCTGTACTGCTGCCTCTTCGAGTGTCATATCTGGCTGACACAAAGTACGAAGAACCATAAGCAAGAGATATGAGTGAAGGTATTGCTCGCGTGATGTTCGGAGACGTGCCATTGAGTGTAATGTGGTTTCGGACAGTGTTAAGTTATCATTGATTATATAATACATTCGTTCAAGTACAAAATGGGTAGTGGTATATGGGCGAGGGGGGTCGTGGGCGTGGGCGGTGGGCGTGGGCGCCCAACTTTGAACGTCCCTATTGTGCGGGTGAAATAATCGTGTTCCAATGCGGATATACACAGAAGTTGTCCACTGCTTCACCTATCTTTAGTGACTCAAATCCGCTCGCACAGTCATTTGAATACAATAAATGCCTTGCGAATTCGAAAGGCTCGTGCACAATGTGACTCACAAGACCCAATTCTAGCGAACAGGTGTGGGTTGTGTATCAGAAGCTTAGTATTGTTATGTTTTTCTGACTCGAGTCCCCCATTCCTGATTTTCGAAGCGGAGCATGCATAACGCCTGCGCATCTCAGGAATGGGTATGCCGTCGCTCTCGTCTCTCAAACTTACATCCACATTCTTCCTCCTCTCTTGCAGAATCTGTGATCATGTTCGACGACGACACAGTTCCATTTCAGGACACTCAAAATGCCATTCCATCCGAATGCGTGAATATAGCAGAGGGCGCTGCTGTTCACGGTAGAGGCACCGGATTTTCAAGTTGTGCTAATCGAACGAATTGGGCAACTTCAGAAGCAAAACGCAGAAAAATGAGGATGGTTACTTGCGACGTTTTCAGATGCGGTATGCAACGCCTTACTTGACTGTTCTGACTATTCCTTACATGCAAACGCAGGGATTAACAGGCAGACCATATGATCCATCGTTCATCAAGCCTGTCCCTCAGCGCATGGATCTAAACAACTATTTCTACCTCGATGTCCAATGTAAAAATGAACCATGACATGTACGTGTCGTTTTCAACAACTATCATTACGGTTGGCGGGCCTCCTTGAACCGGAAAAACGCCCACAGCTGAAGCTGTCGCTAAACACCTCAAGAGGTCTTTGTGCGTCGTGAGCTAGAATCTAACCTTTCGGCGATATTGAAGGTACGTGTCACGATATACAATTGCCACTGATCCCATGAGAATGCTCTACCAGTTAGCTACCGGATGGGACGCCGTGGTTCTTATTGACGAAGCTGACGTATTCTTGGAACAGAGAAGTCTCCATGATGTACGATTTTGCGATCCATCATTAATTTTCACGATACGTGTCCCGTTTTACTGTGGCTGACACGCAATGCGTATTCAAACAACTGACGATGCCTTTCTTTCGAGGTTCTCCATCGGTTGATCCTCCATTTATACCATATCAGTTTGAAATATACTCAATCTAAACAGTGATCAAATATCCTTAGTTAGATGCCTCGGCCCGGCTTACGATCTGGATAAAGTTCTTTGAGCTTGCTGGGTGGCCATTCTTGGGCTCAGAAGAGTTCGTCAACGTCGATGGTCAAGAGCCACGCTGTTATGTTGCTCTCTCCAATTTGGAGGTATTGGCGCAAAAACCGTTTAATGGTCGACATACCCTTGCTATCCTGCTTATCAGAATTAAATATAGATTCCAGGACGCACCATCAAGAACCTTGTCCGGACCGCCCAGTCGCAGGCGTTAGCACTCTCTACGTAAGCATCATCGACCGTTGCCTCTGTCACTCATGAGAATACACAGGAAGGAACCGCTTTCCCTCGACCATGTCAAGGTTGTCATCCGCGCGCAAGAGAAATTTTGGACAGCGTTTGCGCAAATCCGCTCTTAGTTAGCACCATAGCCTCCTTATCGATCGCATCAGTCCTAGTATATCCATGTCAATATTGTAACACCACCAAATGTATCCCGCAATGTTCTGGGCAGATAATGCTGGTATGAGAGTACAGCATCGAGAACATTAGCCAAGCCCCCATATGCCTGCTTTCCTCACACCATCAACGAGAGCATCTACATTTCCCAGCATGCTCCCTAGTATTTCTTTCTTCTCATCAATGGTCCGCACACGATCATGCTTGCTCGTGCGAGCCTCTGCATCTTCAGCACGGCCTGATAAGAAGGACTTGCTGCTAATCGTCTCTCGAAAACGTGACATGGAAGGTGTGGTAGGAAGTGTATCAGTGACTCCGACACCTGGTCGGAACCCTCTGGGTTTCTTGGGGCTCAACGGTTCATAATCCACTTCCTTCCGTAGCATGAGCATTGAGCGCGACTGCAGTGGCGCCGGCATCTTTCTAGCGCCGGATGTTATCGAAGGCGGTGAGCTAGGAGGAGTGCGTGGGTCCGATGAAGTGAAAGTGGAGGTGGAATATGACTTCTTGACAGGCGAAGGTGTGTTAATGCTCTCAAAGCTAGTGGTTGTATTCGTCGATGAGCCTGATGACATGGAGAAGAAGGAAGACGAGGAAGTTGATGAGTTCGATGACGATCTGGTAGAAGTACACGCAAAGGAGATGTTTGATGAGCTAGATGTAGGACGAGCGAATATGTTGTGTTCGGGAAGCGAAAGAGGTGTATTAGGTCGGGTGGAAATGGGGGAGGAGGGTAGTGAGTGTGTTTCATCAGGTTGTATCTGGGTGGGAGTCTCATCCATCAAATAGAAGTAGAGAAACTCCAGGCATTTCATTCTAGATCTACATTAGTGATTGCATGGCAAATGGACCGGGTAACCCACCTAACTTCGCGTGGTGTTCCCGCTCGTTTGAGTATCTTTACCACTGCTTGAACCCCATTCACTTCCTCAAAAGCGCGTAGCGCTGGAGAAGAATCAACCAGAACGCATAGCAAAGTATCCAAGACAGCAGATGTCAAATGCATGAAAGGTGAAGGCCTTTCTGGTGCTTGGAAACTAGTTTCCCTCGAGGATACATCGATGATTGGCGTGTGTCTGGAGGCAAGTAATAGCTCGATCAAAATCTATGATAGATGATGAGGTTGAGCATCTCAACGATTTCACTAAATACAACCAACCTCAAGAGAAAACCGACGACCCAGAAAAGACTTGCTTAATTTGTGGTGAAGAGAGACTCCTTGGATTATCGACAAGCCCTGACATAACTGGGAGCACGAGGTATTCATTTCAGTATCACGTTCTTCTGTGATCCAGTTAGTCACGATGTCGAAGAAGAAAAGGGCTGCGTACTTACTGCTGGAGCTCTTACTTGCGCACAATTCTAGCTGAGGTGTTGTACATTGTATCCAAGCCAGGATTCGCGATGGAACTACATATCGGAATTAGAGAGGTGCGCAGCAGATCGCATGGTTATTCCCTACCATTGGATTCGAAAGCGTCTTGAAGGTCCAAATACGTTTCTAATGTATCATCATTGGAGGACTGTACACATGCAAGCGCAAGCTGCTGCTCAAGAACAGCTAGAGCTCGATTTCGCCTTCCAAATGATGAACGTGTTGAGGTCACCTGTAGTAGCAAACGGGCCGTTAGTCATAACTAACCGAACCCATCCTGAAAATCATCCATGCTACCCACATCATCCAAAGCATCCTGCAGCGTTATCTTCATCGAGCTTACTGTTGACGACATCGACGAAGATAGTGTTTTGTTGTTTCAGGACTTCCCTCGTTGATGAGCAATTGATGAGTTGTTGGGTCATAACATAACCGCGTCGCTGCCACGTGACTGGAACGTGACGCGGAAATTCGGAGGAGCGCACTTACACCGCGTGAAGCCTGGTGAGCGCGTGAGCGTTCACTGTGGGGACCAAGTAAATAACAAGTGCTACGCTTAGGTGCGCATTCCCAGACTTTTACAACCCTCTCAGTTGATCATAATCGTAATGGCACCTATTACAACAGTATGTGCAACATATATCTGTTCAAGTGGATCTATATGCTCACATAGAGGAATCGCGACTGCAGCAATGGACGCGGCTCATTCGCTTTGTCGCTGCAGAGACCTCACAAATCCACATCGGACAACCGGTCGACCCCAGACTTGATGGTAAGTCGCAGACTCATTCTGTACTTCCTTGACCACACGTTAATAATATTTGTGACATACAGTTGGCCTTGCTGCATGGAACAAACAAACTATCAGAGCTTATGAGATCTCTGGGTCTACACTTGACCCTGCCTCTCGTGTCACGAGCAACATCTTAACCGTCAAGGAGCTTCTCTCTCCTCTATCTCGCGAAGAGATGAAGGTCGTTCGGTGCTTGGGTCTCAACTACTCGGACCACGCAGTAAGTCTCAGACATTGAGTCATATAGTACAGTCTTGACGAAACCACAAACAGGCAGAGGCAAACATGGCAAAACCTGCGTAAGTCGATGCTATCCAATGATTCCTGAATTCTATTCAAAATTGCAAACGTTATTATACACAGCGCCCCCATCTTGTTTTACAAGCCCCTGGCGTCTATGATCGGTCCCAATGCACCAATTTTCATTCCAAAGGTTGCTCAGCCTGTTGTAGAGCACCTCTCTGACTACGAAGTAGAGCTCACCATCGTCATCGGAAAGGCGGCCAAGGACGTCTCCGAGGCGGACGCTCTCGACTATGTCCTTGGGTACACTGGTGCCAATGATGTAAAGCCTACACTATGGTTTTAAGACCGCCTGATCTCACATGTGCAACAATAGGTGTCATTCCGCAAGCACCAACTGACAACTTCCCAGTGGGGATTCTCCAAGGGGTTCGGTAAGCTATTTATCTCGATCAATATGAGATATGGCTTCATACGATGAATTCAAACAGATAACACAACTCCCCTCGGTCCTGTCCTTGTGTCGCAGAGCGCTATTCCCAACCCCCAGGACATTCCGCTAACTTGCACACTTAACGGTCAAGTCCTCCAGGACGGTAACAGCAGGTAATACGTATTCTTGCCTTGGAGAGAACATATACTGAAGTGATGATTGTTTGTTAGCGACCAAATCTTCAATGTCCGGCAAACAGTCTCTTTCCTCTCACAGGGAACCACTCTCGAGCCTGGGTCGGTTATCTTGACCGGAACACCTAAGGGTGTTGGTTTTGCAAGGAAGCCCGCCATTGTACTGAAGAACGGCGATGACTGCAGGGTATGGTTGGGTAACGGTATTGGCACACTCATCAACCCTGTCATTGAGGAGGGCCGTCATCAGGCGAAGTTGTGAATTTGTAGCCACATGTACCGTCTTTCTATTCATATGCATACTTTGTTCTTGTGAATTGACGACAGCAGGTAAGAGATATGATACATGGTTATTGTGTACAAAAGTCTGTCATTTCAGAGTCCGCCGAAAGTAATGAGCTTCTGATTCATGTACTCCGTAATACCGTGACCTCCCTCCCGCCCTAAGATCAATTAGATTTCGTATTAGCCAAGCGGGAAGAGTATAAAAAACTCACCAAGGCCACTCTCTTTCACACCACCGAAAGGAATAGTAGCATGACTGATCAACCCGGTGTTGGTGCCAACCATACCAACCTCAAGCGCCTCTGCAACTCTCCATACACGCCCAATATCCCGACTGAAGAAATATCCAGCAAGACCCACGTCCGCGTCGTTTGCTAGGGCGATCACCTCCGCTTCTGTCTCGAACTTCGTCAGAGCCGCAACAGGCCCGAAAGTTTCTTCAACATTGAAGAGTGCTCCAGCGGGAACCTCAGAAAGGACAGTAGGCGCAAAGAAAGTTCCGGCTCCATCGACACGTTTACCACCAATCAATACTTGGGCACCACGAGATACTGCGTCTTCCACATGTCGTGTAACCTTCGATATTGCTTTCTCGTGAATGAGAGGACCATGTGTCCTGGAAATGAGTGAGCACATGGCAAAGATTATCTGGCGCATTCAACCAACGTTGTTTCATCCAGGCCATTTCCGACTTTAAACGCAGTCACTTTCTCGGCGAGTTTGGAAGCAAAATCAGCGTAGACTGAAGACTGAACGTAGATACGGTTTGCACAGACGCAGGTTTGTCCTGAACCGCGGAATTTACATGCGATTGCCCCTTAAATAGATGGATCAGCTTGGAAAAGGTTCAGAAAACCTTCCTGCGCCGACCTTCGACGGCCTTGTCGATATCAGCGTCATCAAAGACAATGAAAGGCGCATTCCCGCCAGCTTCGATAGAAACTCTAGAGAGAATATTTATAAGCGCGAAAGGGTATTTGGGTAGTGCTTACTTCTTGAGTGTGGAGGCAGCCATGCCATACAAGCTCTTAGCGACGGGTGTTGATCCGGTGAACGATACCTTCCTGACTATTTTGTTTTCGCACATCTCGCGGCCGACCTCAATGACGTTCTTTTGAGTCGTAACAATGTTGATGACACCGTCTGGGACACCTGCGCGACGAGATAGCTTTCGAATAGTAACGACAGTGAAATCCAAAGCTGCAAGAATTAAAAGAAAAGTGTTACCTCAGCTAGCGCAAGAGCCGAAAAGGGTGTTTCAGGTGGAGGTTTTATGACTGCCGTGCAACCTGCTGCGAGTGCGGCACCCAATTTTCGCGTGATCATAGCAGAAGGGAAGTTCCATGGGGTGAGAATAGAGCTAATGCGCTTTATTAGATAAAGCATTGGAGAAACGCATGAAAGGTCTTACACAACACCAACGGGTTGCTTAATCACGACGTTCCGAATGTCAGGGAACGGCGAAGGTACGTATTCTGGTAAAAAAAATCAATGCATGAAATCCCTGAAACGGAAAAGACAGACCTCCGTAGGTTCGAACAGCCTCTTCAGCTGAGAAAGCCAAAATGAATGGAGGTTCAAATCATCTGACGGAGAAACCTACCATACCACTGTGAATGACATGCAGTCATATGATTCGATTGAACTGAATTTACTCACCTCCATGAAGGATGCACTGTAGGCATTCTCGCCCTTGTGTACAAGTAATTAGCTTGATACTGGGGGTGTTTGGTAATGTTACCTTTGCCTCCATCAAAGTCTTGCCATTCTCTAATGTCTGTCAAAGAGTGAGGAAATAACGGTCTGTTGAAGTAGGACACGCACGATAATCCTGGCCAAGTCATCATTGTGTTCTCGCATTAGATTATAGAATTTCATCAGAATGTCATGACGGTGCTGTTATGCAGAGTGTTCGTCAATATATACCAGCAGAGAATATAAGATACTCACTCTGGCCGTAGTTTTGCCCCATGATGCAAAGGCATTTCCAGCAGCTGCAATGGCAGACTTGGTCTCCTCAAGGCCCATCTCTGGAACAGTGCCGAGCTCTTCATCTGTCGCAGGATCTGCAATAGGTCTCTGGTGTTAATTCATCATATCCCACTTATAAGAGGATAACATACTGGTAACAAGAATGGTTCCACCCTCCTTTGCACTCACCCACTTCCCATCGATATAAGATTGATACTTAATCAATGATGGGTCCTGCAGACCCCACTAAAAGAGGCTTAGCAACTCCAAGCAGTGCCAAGGCTATGACTACTTACGACATTGGCGTTTGTGCTGGCCATTCTGTACCACAAATTGAGACGCGACCGACCGGATTGTCTGTTCGCAATCGGAGCTTTCACCAGCACTTTTAGTGCATGAGAAAATGGCAGGGGTTGCGGAAACATCCTCCTTGTGGAGCAGGCCGTTCGCGGATGCAGGAAAGCCGTCCGCGTTCAAGTTGAAGTCAGGTGATCGGGTTTTATGTGAATTCCGCAAGCAGTGAGAATTTCTTGGACAACGACTTGGAGGCGTGGCACGCTAGTGAGCTGAGTATAGCAGCGAAGCACGGACTCCAGAACTCCAACTCTCACAGCAGTAAAATAATTGGTCTGTATAATATTGGAGTCGAGCGTCCAATTTTATGCTAACTCGCAACAAGGACTAGGCTAGAAACGTCACCCGACAGAACACGAGCATGGCAAGCGAGCAATACGTATCCAAAAGGACAGTTGCTGCATCCTATCGACCACGCAGTTCTGTACGTCGCATCTGCATAACCATGTACTTCCGAAAACAAAAGCCCATTTGACACACAACATCCACAGCTCATGTCCCCCGGCCTCCAGCGCGCACGCGCACCTTTCCGCTTCCGAAACGCTATCACCGGCCTCATACTCGCAGGCTTCGGCGTCGGCGTCTGGGCATACTCCATCAGCGCGGTGAAACAAGATGACTTCTCTGACGTTGATGAAGAGGCGCGGGCGCTGATGCGTGCCGGGCCAACAATCGTGGAGGAGGTCAGAGTTCCCGTGATGAACGAGGCAAAAGTCATGGCGATACAGACTCCGAGCAGCATACCTGTGGAGGTCAAGGTGGCTCCAGTGCCATCGATACACCGAGGTCTGCTTGTGCCCATTCTTGAGAGGCATTTCCCCCGCTTGTTGGACCCATCACGGAAGACGCTCGTTTGGGGTGCGCCTCCGGTAGACAATGTTGGGAGGCTCCACGATTCGGTATAGAGGTTTTTCAGGCCCCTGTATTTCTGTTTCATTTATGGATAATGCCTCAGGTAAGGCATGAGTTATGAAAAGTCGAAAGCACGATTTGATGAAACATTCCTGCAGCATAGTACAAGACGATAATCTAATAGTAGACCATTTAGCACATACACGTATGAACAGTCGTTCGATCCAGCCTCTTTCATAAAACTGGATAGTACGAAAAGCCAAAATCAAGACGATGGAATAGCAAAACACGTTCATGCTGACGTATTGACGCAACATCTCATACACAACCTCTACACACTAGCGCAGGCCGACGATGCCACCAATAGAAGAATAGATCTGCAGCCAGCGCGAGTCTGGAGAGACGGTGCTGAAAGCCTGTTGCAAAGACCAATCAAATTGAGCCCTTTACCAGACAACCCATCACTCACCCGCCGCCTCAGTCATTGTCAGACTTCGATCCCCATCTTCTTCAGGCCCTCCTTGGCGGCCTCATTTCGGGCAGCTTTCTTGGTCCCACCTTGTCCGCGACCGTAAACTTCGCCATCTACTTCACACCTGACAAGCCAGATAGGAGTCGTCTTGGTGCCTTCGCCAGTTCCGTCTGCGTAGATCCACTCGACTATCCTGTTGGCCTTCTGGAGCTGTTGATTGAATAACGCGAGGTGGCCTATGGTCGTGGGGGTGGCACTAGGGCGGGGGTGAGGGTGAGGGTGAGGGGGCGAAGGTGGGGGCGAGGACAGAACCGATTCAGGCGCGAGAAGTGCGGTTGTCGGAAGGGGCGGGAGGCGATGCTGCTCCCGTACACGTTTGTAAGCTTCAATCGCGTAAGGCGTAAACAGGGCTCTCAACCAGGGCTGGACACCCGGCAGATCCTGCTCGAGATAGAGCCCGCCCACGTAGGACTTGTCGGTGGTATTGTATCAGCATTCATTTGTTCGGGTATCAAGGGCAACGTACTTCGAAGACATCGGCTGGGAACAGTTCTTTCGATAAGTTGACTCGTAAAGGGCGACGGGAACGTACCCTGAATGTTGACGGAAGCACGTAGCGTAATGGCTTGAGCAGGATGCAGAAGCAATCTTCTTGGCAGGTCGTACATGCGCGAGATGTCAGCAAGGGTCGAGTTGCCCACGACCAGGGCTCGGATTTTCTGAAGATGTAGTGGGCGAGCATGCCTAGTGCCAATCAAGAAATGAAGCATACCGTAGATGGCCCAACGCGCAGGTTGGGGTACATCTCCAGGAGAAGCTTGGTCACGACCAGACCCAACACGGTGTCCCCCAGATGTTCATACCTGCAGAATGTATCAGCATCAGCTCCACACATGATTGCCCTTATGGAAGCTCAATCGGCTGGGTGTGTTGTTTTGGATAATAACACTGTCTGAGTGTCTAAGGAGCCGACAGAAGATAAACTTTGCTCACTTTTCGTTGTCTGGACTCGGGTCCTGCGGATGGTCCTCGAACACATGATTCGGGCGTCCATAATACGAGCGATGAGTAAACACCTGCGTCCGAATGCTTTCCTCATTGATGTCAGGAAGGGGGGGAAACGGCTGAGCCGCATTGAATACTGGATGCAGTATGGACGGTGGACTGTCAGACAGTAACATACGAATAGTATTAGGAACGCAAGAGAGCACATTGAGCCAGTAGCTGCTGGAACCCACATACTTGATAGACATATCACTGCTGGCCTGTAGGGGAGAATTTGGAAGAGAAGAGAGCGACGCCTACCTTTGAGCTAACGCCTTACGTCTATATGAGATTGATAATTACACACTGACTAGTAGATCGCGGCGTTTATCATCGGAATCGATCAGTACGTGGCCGGAACCAGTACTGATATGAATAGGACGAGGTTGGTCACTGCATGATAGGTTTAGGCGTACTACTGTTATTAGCTCAATGCTTCTAGTAAACCATCGCTCAGTGGGCGCCTTCACCGTGGCGTAAAGCATAGGGCACTAACATGAGGTTTATGACAGCGAAGATTTGACAATTGTGGAATTCCCCTTCAACCTTGGAAGAAATCAGGAGTTAAGAACGTTCCCATAATTATAGCTGAGAGATAGAAGCCAGTTCCTGTATTTCCAAGACTATCGAAGCCTTTATTTTGCCTAGATTCGTCAGATGCCCTGAGCGTCAAAAAGAAATAGATCTACACACCGCTCTGGTCACAAGACGTTGCACAGCCAAGAGAATGTTCAAACCCTTAGACCAGCGCTTAAATGGAGAAATGGACAACGATACATATTCAAGACTCCTCAGCATTGTTACAACATTAAATTAATTACGCAGGAGGAGTAGCTACCTCTGAAGCGGTTGTTACTTCTTCTGCTGGTATGGTTTGCTCTTCGACCTAATATCATTAGATCAGTAAAACATCCAAATCACCCAAAGATCAGCGAACCTTTGCCCTCAGCTTCATCTCAAAGAAGTTCTTATGGAGACCACATTCAGTCTTTCCCTCCTTATTTGCCCATCTCCCAGCACGCTCGCCAGTATCGCCCTCGCGACTGGGTTGCGTGCTATGCCAGTCACCGACACTGCGATACCCCTGATCGAGCAGTCGATTCCTTGGAACATTGTTCTCGCGGATGTACGCATCAACCTGCACGAAAGACCACGAAAAGAGTGGATTCAGCTTGAGGAGTCCTGTTTCATCAATCTCAAGCGGTCGGAGCAAAGCACGATCGCCGCCCTGAGATCTACGCCGGCCCGTGATAACGCTGCGCACGCCAAGTTCCTGGTATGCACGCTGGGCGGGTTCGACCTGCATGCAATCCAGCTCAGCTACCTATTAAAATATTAGGATGAACTACATACCTTGACCGCAAAATCGTATGTGTCATCGTCTTTCTCCCACAATTCTTCGCCGTGTTTCTTTTCAAAATCTCCAACAGTATTGCATCCCTCGGGCTTGTATACCTTTATATCGACAGCATAACGTTCCCGCACCTGCTGCACGAGCTCATACGTTTCCGCAAAGTGGTACAGCGTATCCAGAAAAATAAGTTTCGGGATTGGGTGACCAGACTTGGAAAGCATATCGAGGGCGACGAGCCCAGTGAGACCAAAAGCTGTGGTCTGGTATAGGGCAGGGAGGTGCGTGAGTGCCCATGCAAGGATGTCTTGTGGAGAAAGCTGGGAGAGGTGGGCGTTGATAGCCTCGAGTGTTTCTTCACTCAGTGGCAGCTCAAGCGGAGTGCTGAATTGGTCGGCCATTGTGTTTGCGAAAGCTAAGATGTTACAATAATGTAGAACAAAGAGAACGGGGAATTGTCAGTGGAAGACATGGTATTTGAGACGACGGTCCACATGCATGACTCAATGGCGTAGTAATTGCAACACCAGTGAACCCACGGGACTAGGTTTTCAACTTCGGCCCGGGAAAAGCTTATCAACCATTAGGCAAGTGATCAAGTTGGTCACTTCACTCACTATGGCGCCAACACAAACAGCAGCACCAGCTGCAGCGCCTGCTCCAGCACCAGTAGTGGCCCCAAAGAAACCGTCGGATGGCACCAGTCGTGACTACAAATATACGCAGGAGATATCTCAGATGGTACGTCATCAACATTTACATGTCGCACTTGACATAAACGACCGAATGCCTGCAGATGTTCGTCTTTGGCGAGATCCAAGACCCAAATCCAGAGACTGTCAACCTCGTCGAGGATATTGTGCGCAGTCAGCTCATCGAACTTGTGAGTGGCTTTAACAATGGGATCCTCCTGTGATGTTTATGCTACTCTAGATCCTGCAAGCCCGCTTCCACGCGAATCGGCGTAATGTGCGCTACATTACCGCGGAGGACCTCATCTTCCTCATTCGCCACGACCGCGGTAAGGTCAACCGTCTCCGGACATATCTCTCATGGAAGGATGTTCGTAAGCATGCCAAAGACTCGGGTGGTGATGGAGGGGGTGGTGTTGAAGTTGAGAATCTCGAGGATGGCGCTGACGGTCTGTATATATCCAACATTTTTCTACGTTTTCCTGACATCCACGTAGATAAACTAACGACCAAGGCGCAAAAAATTACTATCAAACTTCCTTGGGAGATTTCGACGATCTACAGCGAAGTGCTCCGTCAGTCTGGACACCAATCTGACGACGAAGAGGACGAGGACGATATTGAGGCCCATGAAGCAAGTATACAACGCCTCAAAGAAGCCGATGATGCCACACGACAAATGACGAGAGAAGAGTACCAACATTATTCAGATTGTAGACAAGCATCATTTACATATCGGAAAGGTGAAGTCGTTTCATGAGCTAGACAAAATATTACTCACGCGATGAACAACTAGCCAAACGCTTCCGTGACTTTCTCAACCTTCCCCCACACCTGGACCTCAAAGCCAACGACGATACCGTCGACATCGTCGGCTTTCTCGCATTCGAAATGGTGCGCTCCCTTACGCTCGCAGGGCCTCAACGTCAAAAAATCCCTCGAAGAATCATATTTACGAGATGACTACCTTGGCACCTCGCCCATCCTCGGCAAGCGGAAGTCACACCACTTACATAGGCGAGGGGAACAACGGGAGAAACGCGCGAGAAGAGAGGATGAAGAGGAAGAGGGAGAAGCACCACTGCCTACGAGTTCGCTGTTTTTACCCCCTCCAGAAGCAAGAACGGCTCTACGGCCCGAGCACATCCAGGATGCATTTGCGCGGATGCAGGGGGACTGGTCGCATCACCGCAGTGCGGGGATGCGGAATTGGCGTGGTGGGCTCGTGCGCACCAGAGTCAGTCTTATCTAGACTTGCTTGTGTGCTTTATGTTATATGGTTTGAGAGGATGATCGGGCATCCTTTATATTTGTATCCCTACGGACTGCTAATACTTCTTCTATTATGATACCCAAAATGTAGATATGGATTGTACTAGTATGATTTCCGCGGCTGTTCCGGCAGGGCAGACGCGTCGTCTCGACGAGCTTTTTATTCCATCTCAAGTTTCGCCAACTTGAATATGATACTTACGAGTCGTGGAATCCAAAGGACTATGCAGTGTACGTACGTTACGCCGTCTCTACTGCTTGTAAGTATGCCAGTAGATTGTCAAAGGAGATGGCCACTTGTTCTTGGTGTATCATGCAACTAGCTGCGCATTGCCAAATTTCCTCGATTTTTAATTCATCTACATCATACATTTTATAATCCCCAAAATCCAAGAATATTGATATCTTCTCATCATCCCCGCCCACCCTACGACTCAGAACAACAAACTTGCAGCAGCATCCACATTCCCACCGGCTGCATCCAACATACTGATAGCCACCTCCCGCGAAACGCCAAGACCCATGATCAACTCGATGGCAGAATCTGGGTGTCGTGACTGGGTAGCGGTGGGACGTGTCGATGCACGTGGTGTAGGCGCAGGAACCCAACGTGTTTCCTCCACCTGGGAAGGACGAGCCGCTGGTCCCAGCGCTTCTACCACCACTCGTTCGTGCAGATTGTGGAGCGCTGCTAGAAGAGTTCGAGGTAGACGCGATGGGATCGTCCACTCCCGACTCGATCAAACGTGCTTTTTCGGGAAGTTCATGTTCAGAGAGGAAGCTTACTTCGCGCCCTTGGATACGGAGCACGGATTTTTCGAGGTCAATGCATGCCTGGTGTGCCTTCAGCATGTCAAGCCCGAGGAGAAGATCTACATCACGGCCCTCAAATTTGTGTAAGCTTTACGAGTGAAGGAGATATATCGGAAAAGAAAGAGGACCGACCTCCATTATCGTGAAGGAACACGGAAGATGCAAGTCTGCAAGTCGCATCTGTGCACTATGCACGCGTCCCAGAATCTTTGCAGTCCCCACTCCACGTGCGATGCCTGCAAATCGTCCATCAATGAGACGCATTATCCTGTGATGCGTTAGTTTCGTCTAATGCAGACTGAACTTGCGCACCCGCATGCTTCTGCGCATTCAGGGCTCACTGTACAAGTGAAGTCAGACTGACACGAAAATGATGGGATAAGACGTACTGATTGTCTGCTGCGCTCCGCTATCTACAAACGCCTTCACGGGATGCGAGTTCACCTCCACCGGCACGCTACCGTCCATCAGCACATTTACACTCTGACGTCGGACAAGCGCTCACTAAAGCATAGTCACTCGCCCAAACGCCTCCGGGGAATATTCAAGTGCATGCTCCATGTTTTCCATGACTGCCTGTTGACGGATAGCTTCTTCGATACGACGCTGCGCCTCGACATCGAACGGGTCAGCATTAAGAGCTGTAATCTCGCGCTGCCGACCAAGCTCAGCTTGTTGTGCGCGGTCCCGTTGCTGTCGCAAGAGCTCTGCGAAACGTGTGGGGTTGGATTGGGCAGCGGCCGCTATTTCCGGTAGCGTCTGAACGAGCAATACCCAGTGAGAAACTAAAGAAAGCAAGAAAGAATAACCACACACATCTTGTAATTGTCTCATAAGTTGTGGATCTCCAAGGATTTGCAATCTCATCATCTCAGCATCTTGTTCTATAGGTCTGCAAAGGATCATCGATACGTGCGTATAGTGAAGACCGAGAACAGGATTAGGTGCTCACCTGCCTTCGGGCCCGGGGACGTTGACACGCCTGCGTAAGAGGAGCATAGCGTGCTCGCCCACGCCGAGCGCCCGGATGGTAGCTTTTGGATCTGTAAGTTCGCGCCCATTATGGGAGATGCTTTGTTCGCTGGGGGGTATACTCGACTGCATGATCCAGATTCATGGACAGTGCGATGCAGGTCATCATATGAGGAGGATAAAGGAAAGACAAGAACGGATTTGGCATATCACTTGGTTAGGGCTGGATGGAAGCTGGGGTAGATAACAAGCAACTCACCTCTGCCTCTAGCAAAGCCATCACATTCTCAAGCTCCATATCAGGGTCGATATCAACAGCATATGTCTGACCTAGATCCGTTACGAACGTCAACTGCATGGTTGTCGCGTTGGCTGTCTGGCAGTATTGTTTTGACTCGAAACCGGTGTATATGTGTTATATATGAAAGCGGAAGGTAGTCTCGACTCTCGAGGAAACAGGACAAGGTTAAATTTCGAGTGCTGTACTAACTGGGAAGAATGAACGTGATTCCTGGGGCGCTTTAAATGCACCTTTGTATTCTGACAATCCTGTGCTGATCGGCATAAAGACTTAGTAAGTAGTATGACCATTCGATGATCATCGTGGACGAGAACACACTCGAATCGTGTGGAAGCTAAATAAGAGCACAGGTCTAGACTTTTGACGTGTCTATCAAATCTAGGTTGATGGGATTACCAGCGGATAACGGAAGGTTATGATAACAATGGGTAGTGGTACAGATTCCTTTAAACAGAACTCATCAATAGAAAAGAATAATAAATCAGTCAGTCGACTGTCTAAGGGGTATGCTACAACCGCACCCCACGTACAAACCTGCTTCTTGCAATCGCAGACCTGTGAGAGACAATTCCTGGTGTCAGTGCTGTACGGCAATTGTTTTCACTGATGCTTACAGACGAGACCCTGCTCCTGCAGGGACATTTGACATCAGCGCACTCTCTAATGCTGACGCCGAAAAGCTTGCTTCTACGACAACATTGACGTGAGGGAGACCGAAGATAACAAGAGTCACGTACCACTTATGTCACTGAAGCTTGAGGCAGAGCTCCCATGACTGCTCTCTTGCTCGCTAAGCCCTGCAAGTGCTCCATAACGCATGTGCGACTGCCCCCGTGCGTTCCGCGTAGACACTATCGGCGGGCTACTCGACTTGCTCGTGGAGAGATGCCGGGCCATCGGAGATTGAGACTCTGGCGGGGGAGATGGGATCGAAGGAATCGAACCCTGCGGAGAAGATGCACTTGATACAGAAGCGCTGTGATCGCGGTTCCGTTCTTCATGTTTGAAGGTCTCATCGTTGCGTTTAAATCCCATGATATCCTCAGTTCTCGCGTCCAGGACGAAATATAGGCACCGGCGCACGCCCGCGGATGATATCTCGTGCTTTGCCTTTGTCATGGGATAGCGGTGAACCAACAAGGCCAAGGGCCTCGCTCGTCATCATGCGCTGCAGGCTTGCAAGTTTGCGTGACAAGGCTTCCGCTTCCTCTGCCGCACGGTCAGCTTCTTCTTCCTTGGCGGCCTGCTCATCTTCGGAATCGCTCTCGTCGGATGAGAACGGAGAGGGCAGGCGCACTGGTCTCTTGATTTGAGCTCCTTGAAGAGTAGATGTCGACGAGGACGATGCTTTCTTGCACTTTGAAGGTGATTGGACGGAGTTGTGTTGGGTGATAGAGTTGAGCCGCGCACGGACGCCAAGAGGCGTTGCCAGCTTGGAAGAGGAAAGCCTACCGGCGCTATTGAGCGAGTTGAATCGTGCAGCAGGGATATTAATGGAGAGGGGGCTGTCTGGGAGGACGGGTGTTACCTCTGTGGACTTGATAGCGGGTTGGTTTTGTTGATTGCCAGCGTGAAAGCCTTGTAATCCCCGGAGGTCATCTTCGTATCGGGCCTGTGCACGATAAAGCAGATATGGAAGTGGCACTTCTAGGTGTGCTGCGAGGCCTTTCCCTGTTGATTCAGTGTGAGCTCGTCGTGAGGTTGTCTATATCGACTGCCAGTAGACGACTCACAATCCGTGCCACCGTTATCGCTCGTCCGAGAGAGTGCGATGACCTCCCATAAGATATTAGCCTTCTCTGCGTTCCATTCAATCTGCACGGACCAAGCTCGTTCAGCCAAGAGCTTGTAGAACTAGTTTTGCGAATACGCACATGAGGAGGATCGGGAAGTGGGTGGTCAGGACGGTTGTGAGGGAGCTGCACAACGACACGAATGCGTGGCTGCTGGGGCATAGCGTAGCTATGAAGTTATCGATTAGTCCTACTAATAGGAGATCGTCGCTGAGAATAGTGCCCTCTTATACGCGCTCGTTGATGTCGGACAATCCGGTGAAACCTCCTTTCATATTCCCATTCGTCCAAACTCCGAAAAATCGAAACACAGAGCATCAAACCCTTCTATCTCAGGCTATTTACATACAATGTCGCATTCTGGATCTAAGCTCGAAGTCGAGGACGAGGAGAACAGGCAGCAGAGGATAGGTGAGCAAATTTCAAGTCGTTCGATACACGACCTGCTGGCTCAAGTCAATATCTAGGTACCCTCCTGGAGCAATTGAACAGCTCTTCAAGTTCACCATCCAGGAATACATCCAATGCTGCTCCGCCGACTTTCGACTTTGGTGAGAGAAAAACTTATGCAGTAGATGCCCCGAGCGAACGTGAGTCGTCCTTTCTTCTACCATCTTTCTCATTTCCCATGGGTGTGAATTCTAAATATTTCGATGGACAGTGCTCGCACGCATACAGGACTTCCTTCCTCGCCTTAAGGAAGAGAATGACTCGCTTGCTCAGCGTATCCGGGAAAACCCATCGAGCGTAGATATCGAAAATATCGAAGAGGATGTAGGGCAGTACATCGAAATGGCAAGCCCCATTCCCATCCATTCCCAACGCAGAAATCATGATTATTTCATAGAACCTTGGACTAGGAGTGTTGGAAACGCGGCCCAAAGATTCAGAGCCTCATTCAGATGAAGATTCCGAGAGCGAAGATTCGTTGTGGTCGTCTTCCTCAGACTCGTCCTCAGAATCGGAATCAGAATCAGACGGGTCGGACTCGGACAGCAGTTCAGAGTCGGACTCTTCATCGATTGACATAAAAGCTGTTTCTTCCCGCCCACTCAAGCCCCTGCCTCGGCGTACCGCACAACTTGATATCGACATGCTTCCTGATTCACCTTCTGCCGGCTAGACACGGCGATAATCACTTTCGATCGATCCTCGATACCAACTTTATTGACTCATGAAAGCTCATTTGGACCTTCATCTACATAGTCTATCTTTCATGTCGGGAACTCAAATTAAAGCCTCGCCAAATACCTTGTAAAAATATACCAATTACAAGTAGATCGAGAGGAGCTGCGGTAATACATTCTATCCCGGAGGAAGGTATAGTAAGCCAATATATGACATGTAGAAGAGCTAACTTGCTACATGTTACCTGGTATATGTAAAAAGTACCTGCGTCGTAACATAGTCAAAATAGTAACACAAACAATGACTAAATTAAATACACCATCCCTCCAATTCTATCTACCCTTTCCATCGCTCAAGTTGGACATAAACGACGACCAAAAATCATTATCAAGGATAATGTCCGAATTTATAAAGTAATTCGGGTCGTTGATTGGGAACGACGGGAATGACTGCTGCTCTGTGGGGTACCCAGAGTGCTCAGCAGGTGCTGATACGCGCTCTCGGAAGTTGCGCGCAGCCGCGTCGAAATGCTCAAGTAACGGCTGGCTGAACTCCCGGGGATCTGTCTCCGACTTCTCCGATGAGCGCCTTCGGAAACTCAGCACGCCAGCTTCGATGACTCGAGCGCACTTCGCGGGAACATGGTCCGGAGCTGCGCTCACCTGTTGCATGCGATCGATCGTCCGCGCAAGAATACTGTCACTTGACCCTGGCAACTGCTCGCCGGCATTTTCCATCACGGACCATTTACTGAGGATGACGAAAAATGTCGCAAGGGTGAGCATCGCGAAGAAATTATCAGGCGCGGCGCTAAGGAGCACCAGCTCAGGTCGTGATAGCGCAGTGATGAGGATGCCTTCAGACAGCACAAGCGCTTGGTGGCCCCAACTTCGTCCGAGGTTGATTCCATTATGCTCTGCAACGAGAAACCACGGGTTTTGCAGGTCGCACTTGGAAATCACAGTCTTCGTTTCTATCAAGGCATGTACCAAGACCAGCAGCCTGCAGGATTGATAGTAAACCTGCAACATCGTGAAGAAGAAGACCTCGTGCTCTGCTAGGACTGGCGTCAGGGTTCAGAGTTAAGCTCGCAAAGCTGATGGATGGGGCCGCATACCTGGGAGGGGATAAATGAGACGTTCGATCACATCCATGCGCATCAGGAAGTCGAGCACGTCTTTGTAGAAGACCCCAATTTCCCCCGCGGAACGGAGGCGTATGGAGAGCCCGTATTGCGTGGCGGCGAACATCTGGGAGATCAAAGTGAGTCGCATGTCACGACCGGCCCCAATCGTTGCCATCGATGTCGTATCGATGGCGTCATGTATGAGACTGTCACAGTCCGATATTGGGCTGCGCCCGGTACCTACACAAAGCCTGCAACAAGATTTATTAGCTGGAGGCACCAAGTAAATCATACTACTGTACTGACATCGACTCAACATTGTTCAATGCGAACCACTACAAGCCACGAGTTCAGGTTAATTAATTGAGAGCCGGACAAAGACGTACGAGGCGTGCTTTGTCAATAGCTTCCATTAGCTCTGCGCTAGGAAGGTCATTTGGTTTTTTCTGCCTCCGGAGAGTTTTAGAATATACCATGGCCTCGCTTAGACGAAGGTTCATGGCCATGCTGACGGCGGTCGAAGCAATTAGCCGGCCATCGCGCGACTCTTTTGTTGTTGGATCCCCTATGGGTTCCCATAATGAAAGCACGAGCATTGCATGTATTGCATCTGTAGATGGCAAGGGGTGATAGGCCTGTTTGAAAATAGACTCGTCTGCCAAGCGGTATAGCTGAGGAGATACTACTGAGCGTGTTGATGAGCCGAGATGTCGTGATGCAACACAGCATTGTGCAAGTTTTAAAAGCGGTCCTTCTGGTTGCTGAGAAGGCTGCAAATTAAGCCAGGGAGCATAACGTTCCTCGAAACTGCCAAAATGAGAGTCTCGCAGGGGAAAAAAATGACAAGGCTCACATGTCGGTCAAATAGTCCATCTGCTCCCTCCCAAGAATATGGAGCAATGACTGGTCTACCTTATTCCGTGAGGAGTCATCAACCGAACCTGCACGGGTAAGCGCCTGCATAGCTAGCATAGGCACCATGGTGCCGTCAAACCCTCCAGGAAGCTTTAGAAATCCCCATGGCTTGTGGCGCTCAGGCAGCAACCTTTTAGGGTCTAGAAGGTCGACCTCTTCCTCTTGTGGGTGAGATCTGGCAAATGGTGGTAGTGTATTTGAACTAGTTTCCCAATTCCTTGAATAACTGGGACCTGTATGAGAGCGAGAGTCGTCCATTGGTATATCATGGGATTTTTGGGAAAGACCAAGGGAAGGACGTCGGTCCTCACGTTCCCGCATGGAACGGATGTCTGGTGTGTGCACAGAGCGGGAGGAGGGCCCGGCACGATCATTTGACGGAGCACCATTTTCTTCGAATGAGCAAGGGAGGGAAAGGACTTTACAGCGATGGCATTGGGAGCCGGAGTTGTCTCCATCAAGCATTTCGCAACGTGTTTTGTGTTTCCTGCATGATAAACAGGCCTGGACTGCCTTGGCGCGCTTTGCAGGCGCAGTCCTGGGACTATGAGCCCTTTTGCTACCTGCAGAGACCGCCGTCGGTTCTCCTGGATCGGAAGCGGACATTTTTATGGAGGAATTTGTCGTGTGGGCTTTGTTAGCAGTTTGTCACGGGTTAGTGCACCTGGTAGCTATGTACTGATGAAGGATCAAGTCAAGTTTATGTGTTTCGTATGATGCAGCGTGTGCATGTTATGTCATTGCCGCTGACTTGCAACGCGGCGCGGCACAAGCCGCTTGGCATGCCGAAAGCATTAATAAGTTAAGCGCTGCAGTACGTGGTACCAGGCTATGTAGGTATACGTACTGTTGCCCTCGGCCCCCGTTCCAGAGGATCAAATCATGGCCCAACTGACACGTCGACATCGCTTCAAAGAATAAAAAGTTACATGGTACAATGTAAATCATTTTGGTCGGGCTGAGACCAGCTGGCGCTTTGGAATTACTATAGGTGAGCCCATCATGAAGGCGATTATTTTTATCTATCGTATTCTTACCTATGAGAAGCCGCAGCCAGGCATCGCCGCGTTTTTCGTGGATATTGATACTCGACCATTCACATGGATTTCCCAATTCCGAATCGGAGAAGTAAGTCTTCTTCCGATCCCAGGTTTAGCTCACGCTTTCAACTTGCCAAGCTGGCAAAACAGCCCCCGTGATGCTTAACTCGTAAACCTCAAGGTCACTGTGCAATCCTCGTCGGCCCCGCGGCTTGTTTACAAAGTCACGGTAAGTGAGTGTTTTGCAGACTACAAAAGCTGACCAGCGACTCATAAATGTTGCAGTCAACTCCCAATTGGATGACCCGAGCAAGGTGAGTCACAATTACAACTCAGCACAGACTGACTTCTCACATCTATACGGTCGGCGTCGGGCGCAATCATTCTATGATATACGAGGAACAGGGTCATTCTCTCATGGGAGAACTAGATGTGAACTAGATAAGCATCCATCCATTGGCTACAACGTCTACGCGGTGCACAGAGGGTCAACGTTTTGCTTTTGTCGCTTATTTTTTTCCCTCACCCTTTGAGGCCCCTAACATAATTATTTGTAGCCATTCGAACTCATTGGGCGTGCACCAGCTTCAAGTTCCGAAGTGCTCATCTCAACTTTCCTCAACACACCCAGACCTGCTGGACATACGTTGCGACTCATACGGTCCATCTACCTTGCCTGTTATTGTCAATAGAACGAACGCTTTATCCACCCACCCAATTAAAGACGCATCGTGCCTCCACTAGCTCCTTTCATTGCGGAATTCCTTGTCTCCCTACGAACAGAGCACAAGAGCACTAGGGTGGAACTTTCAAATCTAATGATTCGAACATCGTATTTGACAGCGTAGGACTCAGCCACTGTGATGTACTAGCAACCCTATTATGCATATGACGATGGGTAGTTGTTCTAAATGTACTTTTCGAGGCCGCCGTGCAGAAACCGAATAACATGTGCCGCGGACTTCAAATTTGTGACCTGGCCTCCGCACACATATTTCCCTCACAACTTGAATCGCAAGACTTTGCAAATCGCGTGCAAGTCATCTTAAAGCCTCGACGCTATGGACACCGATGTCTCTGATCAGTCAACTGATTTGAACCCTGCGATGGAACTCAGGGACTTCATTGCGAAGTTGATGCAAAGTTCTGACCTCGAATCCGTCGCTTCTGAGATCGACGGTAAGATCTGATTATTCAAAGAGAACAAATTGATCTTGATCATTACAGTTCTTCAGTCCATATACGGAGACCAAGCTATTCACCTATACCATTCATCGCCCGGAAGTCCTAGAAGCGGCATTCCCAATCACTCGTCTAGCAGTGCTTTAGGCGCTATCCGTTACGAAATTTCGCTCAAGTGAGTGTATCATCGCACTGCTCGAGTTTCGTTCCGACGCCTACTCCGGAAGTCTACCATCTCACGAAGATATCTCCATACGCATATTGATTTCGATTCCCCCAACATACCCTGCCTCGAACCCCCCTCAACTGCAACTTCTCTCCCGTTATATCGGCGCTTTTGGTGTCGACTCCTCGCTTTTTGGATCTATACTGCGCACGTTTATATCTATCTCAGGAGTGGAATGGACCCCGGAAAGTGTCTGCGTTTTCGACGGACTACAAAATGTGCTGGAGCGGTGCGAAGCGTGGTATGAAGACAAACTAAACAGGGAGACGGCTGGAGAATTGCTCAGAGAGGATGCACATACCCGCAACCACGTCTTGGTCGAACCCGACGAGCCTTTTGCATCGTCATCGACTGCTGACGAAAAGGATCGAGTACCTCTCAACACTGCTTTACCGGAAGGTATCAAAATCGTCGAAGCTGAACCTATTGTGGACAGAAAGAGTGTTTTCATTGGTCGTGCATGTCGAATATCTGATCCCTCACAGGTATCGTATTGTATATAACACAATGTTTTACTGACCAACTATGCACAAGGTACCACTCATTTTGAATAATCTCATGTCGGAACGCCATATTTCCCGTGCTGCTCATCCAATTATCAACGCCTGGCGTTGCCAGGTGGGTAGTGTGCTTCACCAGGGTATGTAGTACAATCCCTTGTTTCGACGACGTGAGATTGATATCCCTCAGACAATGATGACGATGGGGAAACTGCAGCAGGTAGTCGATTGGCCCACTTGCTTTCCATCTTGGTGCGTACGCTGATGCCAACTCCGAGGTTATAACCCCTAATTTATGAAACAGGAAATCAATAACGTCCTCGTTGTTGTGACGCGGTGGTTTGGTGGAATCCATCTAGGTCCTGATCGTTTCAAACATATCAATCATGCTGCCCGGAACGCACTAGAGCTTGGAGGTTTCTTAGACCAAGCGGACGAGCCAAGGGGTGGCGGGCGAAACGCGGGGAAGGGGCGGAAACGATAACACAACTGTACTTATTCAGTATACTATTATGCTGTCCATCTTTATCAAATCAAGTACAGGGAAAGATGATGGCTCGATACATCCATTTATCGGGCTCCCAGATAAATGCCTACTAGGGTGAGGAATTGATTTGACGGGTTATATCCAAGCCGTCAGATAGCCGTCTTTCAATCACACACGAATAGTATCATCTTGATTAGTAATATGCAGCTAGCTAGTAGAGATTATGTTCTCGGCGCTTGCAAAGGCAGCGGTATGTGGTGGTACTGTACAGAGGGAGCGGCGTCTAGAGATCACACCGCAGGTCAGTTGCAGTGGTACGACTTCGGTTTTCCTTTTGGTTAATCTTCACGAGGGAGTCGCACTTCTGGTAGTTCGTGGACTCAGCCCCCGACCGAGGATATTGCTGTAGTTTCAGAGGGACGCCCAGGCACACTTGTTCTGAGGACCGTGGCTTTTCGCGTGCTTACGGATATCCTAGAGTTAAGTTCCAATTAGGATGCGAGAGTTTGCATGAGGGTGGGGCAGTTGCTGATGCTCACCTGACGTTCGGCAAGATCACTCCTTCGATGATAAGTAGTTTCTGAAGTCTTTCCAGCTCCTTTTCTTTTTCCATCAATACGATTCGCCATTTCTCCTGCTCTTTGATAATCTTTCCCTTAGCTTCTTCCAACCTGTCGGCCTCGTCTTTCTCCATGGCACTGGTGAACTCCGGCACACCACCCTTTAGACTCGCCTCCAATGAGGCGGGGTTAGACGAGTGAAAAGGAACGGGCTTCTTGTTTAGACTCGTTTTCGGCAGCGGCATTGGTGGATGTGAAGTTAGAAGATTGAGGAAATTTTGGAATGGGTCTGTAAAGACGATCTCGTCATATTGCCAGCTATGAACAGGCCCGAGCTTTGCAGCGTTCTCAGGAGACGGAATTTCGGGTTCTACAGGAACTGCGGGTGCATTCGGTAGAGGGAAGGTAATCGACCAAGGATGCAACTTCAGGTGGTGGTATAGCGTGGTAGCTTTCTCGCCAGACTCTGCTACATATGTGATGCGGATTTGAATCTCAAACTCTCCCCAACTGAGATGATCTCATCAACCTTGACGTCTGATGCGCTCAAAAAATACGCACCCAGTTTCTGACACCTCAAATGGAGGTTTATCGATATCTATGAATGCGTTGAGCTACTGCAGAGGACATCAAGACGAGACCTCACTTCTGGTCGGGTTCGGGTATGTATCGTGCAATTTAAACGTGACCCGTTTTATGAAGTACCCCAAGTCATCTGCGCCACCGACAATATCAGAGTCTGGGGCGCTCGGGGCGCTACGAACTGCAACTGTCCATCGATGAGTGTGGTCTCTAGAAAGCTCGCGTTCAGCAGGAGAGAGGACCGTCGCAGTATTTCCATATATTATCGGTCTGTGTATTGTGACACCCTAGACATCACACAGAACGATGAGCAGGCCGAAATCTATGAGACGAGAGCATGGTAAACATACCCGGACGCGCACGCGATCAGCCATGATCAAAGGATAGGTTCGGGAGAGTTCGGCAAATACCGTTTGGACTCCGCCACATTTCCTCCCGCATCGAAACAACTGCAGACCAGTGACAAAATACAATTCTCCCAACTAAACACCATGATTGACTGCTGTGGTTCACCGTGAGTACCTTGGTTATATATTTTCTATTCTCTTTCTCATTCTTGTCCAAAAATTTCTAGGCCCAAATCACGTTCCTGAGAGGCAGCGGGCCTACCAGGTAATAGTCAACTACCCAACATTGCGTATGTGATTGACCATCATTTCCAGGCTTCACACTCGCCCGTATACTATCGCCCACCTCGTTCAAGACTGTATCTTGGTAGGTGATATGGCAGCGCAGTTCGGTGTACGAGTCACTCATCGGGGCGCCGTTAGGTGCCTACTTCACTCTCTTTGGTGCGGGTATGGTTGGAACCGTGTACGGTATGTACCAGCTTACCATGGTAAGAGTTCAGATGTCATTAGCAATTATTGTGATTAATACTCTTTCCAGGGCAAGCCTGTCAGGCAATAATTTCGTGGACACAACATGCTTGTTACCTAGATTTGCTATATGAGTATCTACTCTGCAGGAAATATTGCCATTGTGGTCGCAACACTCGAGTCAATGTAAAGAGTCGTACTACATGCATGGCGAAATACAATACAGGGCATATCATTCAACAACATGATACGGGCTCCTTGTCAAGAGTGAATCCCTAGTGCCATGCGGCCCATCCAGGATACATCTTACCCTGAAACCGAGTCAATACTCAATGAGCTAACAGAGTAAGAAATCGTCTGACCAGGTTCGCGGGGTCGACTGCCTCTTGTATGAGCATCTGGACGAGATTACTTGTCGAGATTTCCCGTTCGTCTTCTCCTCCTCTTGTGATTCCTCCATAAGTTCGCTCCTTCACGTTTGTCGGGGAATATAGTCCTTTCAATTTCCGCTCTATCGGCCGCAGCGCAGACTTGGCCCATAGTCTCAAATCGGCAGTCTTGATGGCAGCAGAATTCATTTTGTCCTTGTCCTTGTCTTTCGCATTGCGACGTTGCTTTAAACATAAAAGTTTGAGTCGTCAGCAAAAAGACATAGGAAGGCATTGACATACTCTCTTTCTCGTCTCATCCTCCCATTCGACTAGCGGATCGTGAATAAATGCATCGAGAACACTCATGAGGGGGTCCTTGTTATCACGGAGGAGTTGCATTGTAATTTCGCAGGCGATACGAAAGACTCCTTCTATGCCAGTAACCCCAAGGCCGTCAACAAGGTTTTGAGTGAGTCTGAAAGGGACCCTTTCGGGTGTCTCAAGTGTCTTGCCCTAAGGGCACGTGAGTGAAGAAAAAAATTAAGAGGAGGTTTGGAGTACCTTCTCGAAGAGACAGCTAAAATCAACATGGACGATGTCTCCGTTGTTGGTGTCCAGAAGGATATTTTCACAGTGCCTATCTCCCAACCTTCCAAAAAGCGATTAGATGATGATTACTCTTAAGGTGTGGCCATTGGCTCACCCTAAGATGAATCCGACCATTGACATAACTGCCATAGTACGCCCATAATTTAGGCGACTAGCTAGCCATACTGATGGCTCCGGGAATGTTTCCACAAACCATTCGTGAAAGACCGGAGGAAACCTGCGCTGCTTGAATCACAAAGTGACATACACAACAACCACTTACTCAGGAAGAATTTTGTTCACAAAAAGGTCAGCGGCTTCTTTATCGGTACCGTCTTTGATGTGCCTTGTGACATCATTTAATTCCTTTGACTGCTTCTGTCAATAGGAATGTCCTTGAAATACTGGGAAAACGTACCCAAGCTGGAATATTCCTCGTCTCGTAGTATTTCAACAGTACGGGTCTCACAGGTACAGTGTTCGGCACCCATTGAATAACACCACATTCCTCGTTCAATGCCACCACGCCGTACGTCCGAATGTCTTGAAAAAATAAGTCAGCCTAATGCCACTTTTAGTTCGTTCAAGCGTACGAAGCTGCCTTCTCCGAGATTCTGAATTAGTCTTGAGGAGTTTGTTAATGATCCCATTGAAATCCATAAGGCGTGCATCCTTCCGCAGATCGTCCTTCGGTTTGGCGAGGAACATATATTTAATACCGTCGGAACCGTTAACTGTGAATTTTCGTGGCTTGGCCAACGAGTGCATGATTTCAATGTCGTCGTAGAAGACTACATGGAGTTAGTCAAGGTCGCTACTTTCAGTTGTGGGTGTAGTTTACCAGCAAATGTGGGCGACAAAGGGTCAAAAAGATTATGTCGTTTATCGCGGTGGTTCGTAGATGAGACAGGCGGGAGGTTGACCGTCAACGATGATTGCAAAGGGATGAGGATATTACTATCTTTCATCCCAAGTAGCTTGGGAAAATCTCGGCGCATGCTGAGCGTCTTGCGTTCGCCAATGGAGTAATTACAAAGTCGAAGGAGCTCGTCAATCATGGCGTGAAGACTTGTTATAAGGTTCGGAAAGTTGGAGTCCGTGTTCGCTGGGCTGCTCTATGGCATCGCCTTTGATCGAATACTTCAATAGTGGTGAGTATGTATGACTTACTTTCAGCTGATCCAATATTGTTCTTCCGCGCTGCTGGCGAAGGGCTTTCGTCGAGTTCACGACTGATGCGAAGAACCAAAGCGCCTGATTGGGGTATTCTCGGATGACTGATGAAATAAGTTTCGACAAGACTAAGTACACAACACGATTGGGATGCCCAATTCGGGATACGATTTGAGGGAATGCGGTAAACCACTGAACGCAAGAATTAGCAAAGCATTTCGTTGGGTCGTAGAAACTTCACACACCTTGTATACTGGGATGCTATCAATGGAGCTGGCGACGACAGTGTTGATCTTGTCAAACAACGGATTTTCTGCAGAGACCTTACGCTCGCCCATGTCTAGCCATAAGGTGAGCAAACGAGGAATAGTCTGGTATACAAATTTATTTCCATAAGCAGCGGCTTCTGTGAAACACTTGATGGTTTGGAAGTTCATCTTGATTCCCCTGTGACCATTTATCAGCAAGATGTTGAGGCATCCGCGAATAACACTGAAGACTTGCCGGTTTGACTTGTCGTCTGCTGATAGATTCCTATAACACTGGTCCTGGAAGTGGCCAAGGTGGTAAAAGGCACTCTCCCATCCCGGAGCTGAATCGGCGGCGTTCTGAAACTGCTTGAGCACGTAGGAAGCTTCGTATCTATCAGACTCGTTCATCCAACGTGCAAGAAGAATTTGTGCCTGATTGTGGGATCGTGAGCTACATTCATCCGATAAATACGTCCGTACCTTTGCCTTCATCCGTGTGGACTGTTCATCTTCTCTTGTCAAGTCAACAGTATCATTGTCCACGAAACCTAAGATGCGCATGGAGTTTTCAAGTTCTTGGAGCGCGCGTAACGGCTCTCCCCGTGCTCTGACTAGCTTCCCACTTTCCATGAAGCTAAATCGAGCGTTGGTGTATTGCGCTTGGAGCATTGCACTGTATGCGGTCTGCCACTGTCCGGCTTTTCGAGCGATTTTGGCACTCGCCAACCATGATTGACCAATTTGACTTGTGATTGATGGTCGAGAGGTTGTGCTGTCAACAGGCGGCGTAAGTGGAATGTCAAATCGAGCAGTAGTGCGAAGTGATTTACCTGAGTGAAAATGCTGTTCGCCGCATGCTAAGCAGGGATTCATGCACGCGGAAGGTAGGCAATGTACGGTCCAAACGTGCACTAAGAATTTGGCTAAGAGTCACAATAGCAGATTTACGGCCTTGCGAACTTGGCGGCAAATTAGACACAGTCTCGTGGATCAATTCGAGTTCGTGAATCATGTGGAGATCGACTAGGGCGTCATAAGCACGACGATGCCCACTTGGCCCAGAAGCAGCAATTGGAGCACCAAGAACAAGACGTGCTCTCCTAAGGCTTTCTTTGATCTGCAAAGGTTCACTAGACCGCATAGCAAGAAGAACTCGAGCTTTAACCACGGAAGGTCCTTCATGTTCTGTATCCGCTGTGGTCTTGTAAACGTCGTCCCATGCTCCTATCATCCACGCGCTTTCGACCTGAAAGTCTGCCAAAGCCGACTGCCACCCTGGGTTTCTAACAAGAACGCCGTGGACATGTGTGCGGAGAGTATCTACAAAGGATTAGCTCTGCAGCCACAAAAAAACAAGCAAAACATTACCATAATGTCCAAGATTGCGCAAACATCGAAGGAGTCCAAGATGGAAGTCTAAATTGTCAGGCTGTTGCTGAAGACGGACTTCCCAACAACTTTGAGCAGCAGTCCAACGCCCAGTACTTTCATGTTGACGGATTTGATGTTCCAATGAAGGGGACAAGATCAACGTCGATATGCCCTCCATTCCATCCGGTTGGTCGAGCTGTGCGTAAATCTCGTGAAGGCGTTCATAATAGGGTGTGAAATCCGTTGGAGGAGGAGGGGGATGCCGCTCTCTCATCGAGACTATCCGCTTCTCAAAGTTCATAAGTGAGCGAGCGTGAGCTCGACACTGTAGTGCAGCTTTAGCCATGAGTTCATGATCGATGCTAGAAAGGACTGAGTCGACCCGCATAAGCTGCTGCTGACGTATCACAAATTCAGAATTCGCTCGTGATCTTCTGCCTTCAGCTTTTTTCGGTAGGTCCTGTCGCTGGACTCGTACATATGCACTAAGATGGTCCAACAACGTGAAGACAGCCTGGGAGGGATGTTCAGCAATGATGATGAAAATGATCAGGTTTGAAGCCACCTGTGCACTGAGGAACTTCTTGTCTGGAGTGGACGGACTATCAGGAGCTACTTGATCTTTCAAAACAGCTGTTAATTCCTGGATAATGCAGTTGGTATCTTCATCGTTCTCAGAGGCAAGAATGTTCAATACGAGGTGAGGCAGTATGTGGTGAGCGACACCAACATCCTTGTTACGCACTGCTGAGCGAAAGACCCCAAATATCTTCCGCGCCATATCATTAGACGCTTTGGTTATTAGATGAGCTGTCCATAGCTGTACCCATTCTCGATAGGTCTTTTGATGAGGGTAAATGGGCGAAGGAAGATGGGGCAATTCCTTATGTGAAGCTTTGAATTTGCCTGCCAAAAGTGGAGTAACTGTTTCAAGCACATGTTTTGGAAGCCCGTTCCACATGTTACGGACCCGCGCCGGGACAGATGTCGTGTTTTCTGATGACACCAGGGTAGTCGAGAATTCGCAAAAGTGCATGAGTTCTTGTATCGTGTAGGCGAGATGTCCTTGATACTTGATGTCGCTGGTGGACCGAAAAGCGTCTACGAGAACGTCCTGGATGACGTGCAGAGCAAACAATCTTGCTTCTGCGGCATCCTCAAAGTTATTCCGCACGATCATTTTGGTGTCTGTCGAATTAAGGTCGCAACGGTCTGGATCAACCGCCCCAAGAATTCCCATGCAGTCAAACGCCAATTGTCGCAGAGTGTCAGAGCCCTCTCCATCACGAGTGACAACCTGAAATAAGGTCAATTGTATATTTCCAATTAAGGGATCAAATGCGTCGCCCGCTGCAAGGTTCTGTATAAGCGAGGCTTGATTGTTCTTCATGAAGTTTTGAAGTTCAGCGAGAGCCACCTGAGCTACTGTGACGTTGTTACTGGAACACCGATCTAGAATCTTCTGAAGTTGCGCGCGCGGATCCCAGATACGAACACTCTGAAGTTGGGCGTGCATCTCAGAAAGTTCTAGGATATGACTGAGGTCCACCACTGCGTCTAGATGTGCCTTCGCGTTATTTCGGACGCTTCCAACATCAAAGACGATATATTGCAGACATTTCTTGGCGGATTCCCGTGTGGAAGGAGACAAAGCGGACCAGGCAGAGACAATGGCTGCACTAGTAGTGCCGATATGCGGAATAACGTCCTCAACATTCAACATGGACAGAAATGTGTACCACGTGGATAGGGTGACTTCAGCAAGTTCAGGGACCAGAAACATCGTTTGCAAGGTAGCCATAATCTGGGAAAGTTATATATCGTCACGAAAACATTATAAAAGCACGTGCCTGAGGCGAAACTTCATTTACAAGAGGTCCAATTTGGACGATCAGTGCTTCTAGACCGCGTAGAATCTGCTTCTTTGCTGGAAATGATTTCTTGCCGTGAACATCTTGCAGCATCTCATTCAAGTTGGATACAATGCCAAGCATGTATGTCTTGAGGAACAGAGATAATTCGAGTTCGGTGTTGCTTGTGACTGACCGCTGGACTTTTCGCAAAGCGTCCACTGCCTAACAACATGTTCAGGTGACATGAACGACCGATCAACGAGTAAAGTCAGACCAAGGCAGCTCGTTCTTCATTCTCATGTCCTAGGACCACGACTAGATCTGCAAGCAGCGCCACCACACAGCTCTGGACCATGCCTTGGACGGTGAGATCAGCAGACTTGGACTTGGCACCCCTAGAAATTATGTTCATAATGAACGTCAAAGACCCCGTTGTTTGTGCTGGCCCATGTTGTTGATACACATGAGCAAGGATCTGGTGAGAATGATTCATGAATAGCGACAAAATCGTTTCACCCAAATCCTCTGAAATCTCCTCTATTACCTTCGCTTCGGAGTTAGCAAAGAGGTACGGAAGAGTTTTGGGTAACGTGACAGAGACAAAATCGGTTGGATGCACAGATAGAAATCGACACGTCTCGAATATCAACATTGGGTTCGTACACTTCCGGGAGACGACGAATGTTGCGACCTGGGAGAGATACGGCGAGACAAGATTGTAAGGGGACTTCATTTGTGCTTTCGCTATCTCCAAAAGCTGTCGGGGTGCATCAGAGTCTGATATGTATTTCATGAATCGACATACTTGTGTGTAAGCTAAGCCTTTCAATACAGGATTATCTTGGCCTAGTTGGGATATTAAACAGTGGACAATTAATCCAAGAAGCTCAAACTGAGCACTGCTGCTACAGAGAAAGTTGCATTGGTTGACGACCTCAGGGAAGCATGGACAAGCTTACCGCCCAATAGAACCGATAGTAACCAGCAACGTTTCTTTTACCGCATCCTTCACACCTGATTCAAGTAATCCGTTGATCTTCATGAAAATCGTTTCATTGAATTTGCATCCCCTGTCAGTTGCACAAGAGTGGATGTGGATCAAATCCGAAAGTGCGCGACTATACATGGTTGTCCAATGAGTAATTCGACCTCCAGGTAAAATATTTCCTACCCAGCATCAACTCGGACGGAACGGTCCTTGTCATTGAACCCGCGTTGCAAGAAATCAAATACAGGTGGCGGTTCGTCAGATTGAATATCTGCTGAATGTTCTTTGACGACGGTTCTGAAAACATTAAATGCTTGTCGCCGTACACGAACGTCAACTTCAGTTGATGGGCCTTCAATAATTTTGTTCAAAGGTAACAGAAGAGCAGTGGCAATGCGGAACTGAGATGATTGTTGCCGAGAGAACGGCTTGAGGTGCGAGGCAAGGGAGGCAACATTTTCAGCTAGTGTTGCACGCGTAGAAGACGAAGAATGATGCAGTCCCCTACGGTAGACTTCAGAGAAGGCTTACCATCAACGAGTTATGCAGACTCACCGAGCCCACCTGGACCTGATCTGATCTAATACTCGTTGCATGTAAGATGCACTATCTTTGCGCCCAATGCTCTTCCACTGCAGCTCATCAGGCGAGATGACCGCACTAACGAGCCTCTGCAGTTCTGCGCGCCAATGCGAAGAGTCGACGTTGTCTGCAGTCTGGCTCATTGGACTATCAACGTGATTGTCGGTAGCGCTAACCAGTGGCTCCAAATCAGGGTAGGAAGGATTTCCTTGAAGGAATGATTGCACTGCCTTCAAATTTGCTGCATCTAAGTGACTTACACAACCACGTATATACAAGACCGCAAGAGCCTACACCATTTCAGCTTGCGAGGTTTGAAAATTATAGCCACTCACACGAAGCTCACTCCCAGCTAACTCCCATGTTTCAGAACGTAAGAGTTCCAGAATATCATTCACGTAATCGACTGAGAGATGTGTGTTGGAGGTAAGAATTTCTCGTAACTTGCGGTCGACTGATCGTTGCGCAGGGTTTGGACCATACTGGAGTCGTTGAAGTAAAAGACGGCAAGGCAGTCTTGAAAGTCCTCCGATAAGAGATGGGTCTGTACTCATAAGGGTGTCAGCAGCTGCTGCTACTCGAAGCAGGCAGCGGGATCTTGTTGCAGGAGATGTAGGACATTCAGAGCAAAAATCGTATACGCGACGGGTCAGTTCAGAGACGTGACGGAGCATAGCAGCCGTGATGAAATAAGAAAGCTTCGCAGTTGAAAACAGTTTGCCGAATAATTCGACAATGATGCTGGTCAAGACGGAAAAGTGAGAGGGAGATGGGAGCCTGATCACGTTTAGGATGTCTATAGGACACTGAGAAATGCCTAAGCATGAAAATCATTTGACATGTAAGGATAATACCGGAATGGAACAGTCCTCAGTCGTGGTCTTTAAACATGGTGAGGTAGAGAACCAGTGAACGTCAAAAGGACACGATTCGTGTCGATCAGAGATTATTGCTACATATTATCAGTGAGTAGTAGTGTCACAACGAATAAATTAAACTCGCCAGTGCACACGTTTGTCGCTTCATACAAGATGTCCTGCAAGACTCCCCTTTGCAAATCACTAGAATCTCCTCCTGTGACACTTGAAAACGACAAAAGTTGTAAGAATTCGACGAGTGTTCCACAAGCCTTGGAATATAGCGTGTTAGATGCGCCGTCTGAATCGCCCTCATCGGCGGTTTCCAACCATGATTCTGTCGAAGTGCAAAGACCCAAAAGGTGCACAAATACTTTTTTGGATAGATGTTCCTCATCAGCATAAAGCCAGTCAAGCGAATCAGCCCTTTTGCCGACACGTGAAAAAACATCGAGCGTGACGTCTGTAAGCTCGATGCGCTCGTTGGTGGTGCCTAGCATTGATGGCTTGAAATAAGGAAAACAACCAAAGACTTGCTCTAGCAGGCTAGCAAGCAGGCGCAGCCAAAGTGGTTTATCCAATACTAATGGTGGATTGTCGTCATTTAAAGATTTGAGAAAGTCCCGAAGATCTTTGGGTGATGCACTGTTCGTTCCATTTGGAGTTTGGAAGGTTGTGGGAGGGATAGGAGGAGCGCTTGAAGGTGGCACGCTCATAGTTGATATGCGGGTCAAATGATATAGTAGTTCAAGGGGAATAGTAGCATCTACTGGTAAGACGAACTAGTAAAGGTGCACTGCAGATCTGACGCGTTTGCGGACGAGGAGTACCATCAGAATTTCATAACATCACGTGATCCCGGCCCTCATTTCCACCACACTTTGAACCGTGAAGGCAAGTTCCATGATGGTTGCCGCATCTGACTTTAAGGACAAGAAACACTCGGAATCGGACTTCCTGGACCAGCCACAGCAGCATGAACAATATTGGTGCCTCAGCCGACCAACTACTAATATCCATCATCCTCGACTCATCAGACTAATGTCACCCTTCATTTGCCTTGTCGCTAGATTGGTGTAGCGTGCACAAATTGCTGTGGTACGTACTACGATGTAGATCGTTGAAAATTAAATCCCCTAACCTTAAAACCAATCTATGCATTCAATTCAGATTATCTTAAGTACGTAGCAGGCACGAAAGTACGGATGCCCACAACGTCATCCTCGAACGTCTCAGCCTCAATGCCAACCCCTCCGATGTAGCCTGGGTCATTTGTATGACCCGTAAACTTGACCCTGCCACGGTCGGAGAATCCTGCCCATGAATTGGGGCTCGATCTACAGCAAGTACTGAAGACTGTGGGTTGGAGATGGGCATTGGGAATGAGCCGGAGAACGAGAGGCTTGGTTTGATAACGAATGGCTAATAAAGAATATGCCGCGCTGTATACAGGAAAAACTTGTTATAAGAGGCGTGAGATGTGCCAATACATCCCATCATCATCAGACGATTGCAGCCAGCCTCTTGGTAATATGTTCCCCCATCCGAACCTCCGGTGCAGAGAAACTGACGATTGGTTTTAGAAGGAAAACATTTGAACAATATGCATATCTTCAAAATGCCTATTGATGTCAGGTCTGCGGAACACCAGGAGATCTCACCGGCGGTCCTTCAGAATCCGGACTCGACCTCGTCGGTGACGACATCAGCCATGGCCTCCAACTCGATGCGGCCCGTCAGGGCGAAGAAAAATTTTACCCTGAAACCGGTGATGACCTTGAAGGGGCACCGCAGACGGGTTTCATTCATTTCCTACCTTCCAGACGGCAAGGAAATGGTCAGCGCATCATATGGCATGACCACTCGACAATGGGACCTGCAGGCTGGCAAGGAAATTGAGGAGGCGCGGGATATTTGTGAGCAAGACACGCGGACGGTGGCATTGTCTGTGGATGGTCAATGGGTTGTCACTTCGAGTATGAATCCAATCCCTGAACCGCGACAATATCGGACCTGTTATGAAGCTCGAAGCCCGTGATGTTGAGTCAAGGATCGTGAAAACATTTGAAGGTCACATATTTGATCCGCTGCATGGATATCTCTGCGGACGGGACACTGCTGGTGGGTGGGTCATGGAATGGTGTACGGATATGGAGTATGGAAACTGGCAAAGTCGTGGTTGGTCCCTTTCGAGTCGAACTCAGACATAGGATCGGGGTGGTTTGATTTTCGCAAGACTCGAAAAAGCTCGCGATCTTGTCAGAGACATGGAGGTGCCTTGAGGTGTGGGATGTCCAAACACTGAAATTGGATGTCAGAGTAAAGAGAAGCCGCAACGGGACCCGGACTAGTACTCGGACAACAAGTGGCACCCCCATTTTCTGGACAGCCAAAGATAAATCCGTCGTAGCGGTATTTAGATTCGAGCATAAGGTCGACCTCAACACGATCTATGAATTCGACCCATTGACCCTGGAAATCGTTGGAGCTCCATTCAAAGGGCACACTCACACTATATCTGGCCTAGCACTTTCATTCGATTGTGCTCTTCTTGTTAGCGGTTCTTACCCCACCACCAAGCTTTGGGCCTTCGAGTCCCGCCAGCTCCTCGCTTCATTTGAGGACCGACATGTTAACCTCTTACTCTTTTCACCCAACTCATACCAACTGGCTTACACCACATTGGGTGATACTAACATATACATTTACGACCTTCCGCCCGACATCCTTTCTAGTATCCGACCTGCACAAGATAAGGTATGCATTTCCTTGTGTGTATCTATCTGTTGACGTGCTGACTCGTTTTCACTTGCAGACCACTAAATATCTTGATCTACTCGAATGTACGTTCATTAACCCATCCACACAACCCCGTTCATATATACGATTATTGTAGTCCGATGCAACACCTCGTGCCGCGGATAGTTCCCGTCCCCCGCACACTCAGGCCTCCGTCTACAAAATACACCAAGCAAAGCCGCCGCAAAATGCTTCCCCCTCGCAAACATGCAGGCCATCCTGTTCAAAATGATGAGCCTCGTGATCCTTCAGATGTGTGTCCCTTTTACCTCGTACCTTCCCACCTGGCTTGACGGTCCTATTCAGTTCCTTGTTACATCACCCCTACCTCGCTCTCTTTCCGCGCAGGCCATAACTCAGAGGCGTTCAGATACAGATTCCCGCGAGAACGTGAGTTGTTATTCACTATCGACTGCCTGAACCACACGTTTCACTCACATTTTTTTCAGTATCGATCCACACCACCACTGCCCACTACCCAACTCTCTACTACCACAGCCTTCAAACTTTCTCGACTACATAACCTATCAACCTGGTGGCCTGTTGTCAATATTCATCTCGTGCAGGATAAAGAGGTGTGCTGGATTCATTTTTTCACTGTACTACATGATTTATGGATCCATTTGTAGCTCAATATTGCAACGAATGCTCCTGAAAAGAATAAGGACTACAAAGCTGACGAAGAATATGTTTCTTTGTCGTTTTTCCTGACCTAGCCCCAATTCACGGCAACCACCCGCAGCAGCACCAATTGCCACCGACGAGCATGGAAGCGGTAGATTGTGTGGGTGTTTCTAAACCTCATGTGTGCAGCGGAATTGTAGCGGCACACTATTGATATATATCTACAAAAGAGGTGGATCCACATAGGACTTGATTAATGATTGTTGGTGTAACTGATACTCTTATGCTATGTTCCTAATTGATTTTGCTTGAACGCAATGCCTGCGCATGACACCATCAAGAGAGCTGCGACTACGTGCGTCGCCCGAGTTAGCGTTTGGCGGTCTACAGGAAATAGGGATGTGCTGTGTACATATTGTGATAAAATTTTTAATATTGTAATACAGTGTCGCGTGGACTCGTTAACTTTTCCATCATCCAAGTCGTTGAGAAACTTTTTAATAACATTATTGGTGCTGAGGTCTCCATGAAGGACACATCGGCCAACCATTGCCTTGTGTGCTATATTTCATGGTGGTTACAGAAGACTTCGTGTTTGCGAAATAAACTCAGTGCAAGCACACGTATCTAATATACATGAAGCGCAATCATTGGGACGAGACAAAAACAAGCAAATTGAATAGGTCCTCCATCGTACGAGTTGGGCTTGAAAATCCCTGAACGTCAGGCCTCGGTATACGAGTCTCTGGCAAATCCACCGTAGGATTTCCAGCGATAGCAGCAGTGAACAGATCGATTCCGACTTCGGCAGTGACATTAAAGGAACATAAACCGATCACCCTTGACATTCCGAATGTCGGGAAATATTATAAGCACTCTGTTGCATCCATTTCCTCCTTTCCAGACGGTGGTTGGTCCACCATGGGGAGACGGGAATCGTGAGAATACTTCAAGGCCACTCACAGTCCGCATCAATATCTCCGCGGGCAGCATGCTGGCAAGCACGGTTATGCTTAAAATCATGGTTGGTCCATTGAAATGCATTCCAAATTGGTAAATGGCCAGGCGTGATTCGAGACTCGAAAATGCTCGCAGTCAGGGCAATTGAGGCGGGATGTCCAAGCACATCGGACATTAGATGACATGGTAGTCTCGACGGTTTTAATCTGCGCTGCTGCGGATCATATTCATCACGGTTGTGGTGAATTGGGACATACTTGTGTTAACAGTAGCGGCACTGAAGACCTGTAAATTCACATGAGACTAATGTCCTGAACAATCCAAGTTGCTATGCCAGTCGAAATCGCCATGGGCAGTGGATTATGTTGCGCGTGTTGCTAAACACCAACTGCCCAACCTCAGTGCCACTATCAACTGCGCTTGCGCATCCAATCATGATACACGGCTTGTGAGAGCTGCCAACTCAAGAGAAAGAGCGTGGCCAAGTTCAGGTTCCCCATGCCATCGATAGTGCGGTTACAGTATGGCGCAATTGAAAAACGTGTCAATGCGGCACACATCGGGTAGGGTGGTAATGGGCTGAGGTCTGCAGTATGTCGACTATTTTTCTTCCTACTGCAAATCAACGATGTCTAATCGTTACACAAGAGCGGACGGTCCTAGACGTCCGCCGCTACGAGAGTCTCTGTGTTCGACGAACGGAGATGAAATCCGTGTTGGTGGCGTGGTAAATGGTGAGAAGTCTGTGCACACCTGGACCTGGAGTCTGGCAGCACTTCCCGTGCCCGTCGTATTCAACGATGACCACAATCCTTTCTTCATCATGTTGTTCGGTCTCAAAGGCTTTTATCTTTCTGTCATTTTCCGCGTCTCTCCTTTCGACATTCGCGCAGCCCGCAACACTTCCCTTCTATGACTGTTTCTCAGGAAGTGAATCGCAAAAGCTTTCAGTCGACACAGTGTACTCGCAAATAATCAATGGTCAGACGCTAAATATCACAATTTTGGGGAATGCCTCCCAGCAGATCGTCGCATCTTCTGCTAACAGCACCAGCCTTTGTACGCATACTTGCTCGTGTGCTTTAGCTGTCATGACTCACATCCTTCCCTCTCCAAGCTACCCTCTTCACGGAAGCTACGACACTCACCATGAATACCTTCAGTAATAATTCCGCTCTGTGCGATACATTACGACCACCTTCTCCTCTGCCACCTCTCGGCGGAAATTCCACATATTGCCCTATCCCTGCAGGGCCATTTGCACTCTCTGCATCCATACCATTCAATACCAAGAATTCCTTGACAACCATGGACACAGAACTCCGAGCTGTTGACCCATCTGGAAACGAGATATTATGCCTTACCGTCACAACCACACCACTTCATCCTGGACCACTTGATTCGCCGTATGGCAATGCCCACATCATATTTTGGGCAACAGTCGGTCTTGCAGCAACTTATTGGCTCATCGTTGGTTTAGCCCGGATCGTATCTGCTTGGAGTCGGGGCTTCAGTAGACCTGGTCCGGGAATTTGGCACCGGTTGGAGAGTACTGGGTTCATTCTTGCTAGTGCCATCAGCGGTGAGCGTTTTTCAACATCACCTGCACTGATGAGGTTTTGTAAGTAGTTTTACGTGTTCTGTTCGTGTTTTTGCAGAGCTTATGGTACATCAGGCTCTCCATCATTGCGTGATATCATCTTTCACACGCAGTGGTGTGCAGCACTAGCTATGGTCGCTGTCCAGTGGCCGCCTTTCATTTGTGAGTACGATCCGAAATTTGATGTATACCGTATGTACTTATGAATTACAGATCCCCTACTGTCGCAAACTGCCTGGGCGTCACTGACGTATAGTAGGTTTAAATTTGAATACTGTCATACGATTTCTAATGGTCTGTAGACATCACACTGAACGCACATTCCACGCACTGGAACCCACTGAATGTCCAACCGTATAATCCCCCATCAAACTTCGCCGATCAGTTGGCTGATCCGTCTTCCGTTATCTACATTGACCAGTCAATTCCGAACACGATTTTCCTATTGCCACCGAACACTACAACTGGGATGCAATCATTTGCATGGAGTGTTGGAGTGCAACCCCAAGATCTCTTTGCAATCTGCTTAACCCTGTTCTTGGCCATTATAGCTGGCACAATCTTGCTCAGTCTGTTCCTATGGATTGTAGATTGGGTATTTTCACAGCGACCGTCAGGCAGTTTATCAAGTTCTGCTGTGCTCACAAACACGACAAACAAGAGTCACATGCGACGGCTTTCGGCAGGCAGTAAGGACATCCTTGACACGAGTGGAGACGAGAGCAGATCGTCAACCGGATTTGGCCACAACTATACCTTGCTCAGGAGACGCTTCTTTCGACCGGAAGTCAGCTCTTTTCACTCTAGCGTACTGATAGGAAACCTTGTGCGCGTTCTCGTCCTTTTTCATTTACCCGTCACCATATTCTCGTGCTACGAATTTTCAACAGGAAGCTCAGCGTCTTCATTAGCCCTTGGCGCCCTCTCATTCGCCCTCTTCTCTGTGATCGCTCCTTCTCTTCTACTCTTACGGTTAAGCCGGACATCAACAACCAAATTATACGACGAAACACGTACTCTTCTTGCGTTAGGTCCACTCTACAATCACTACCGCCAGCACTCGCAACTGTTCTCAGGCTTGCTTTTCCTGTCCAACCTCGTCCTCGGGGTGACTATAGGGTGCGGGCAGCACAGCGGAACAGCCCAAGCGATTGTAATTTTGGTGGCGGAAGTTGTTAGCGCGTTGGTCACGAGCGTATGGTTACCATGGGGTGCAGGAGCAGGCATGGGCCTCATCAGCTTCTTATTTTGCGTTGCACGTATCGTGGTTGCTGTACTGCTAGTCATTTTGACGCCAACGGTGAGCCCACATGTCTCCGTAAAGTCCAATGCTAAGAACTCGTTCAGATTTCAATTGGCGCAGGCGCAGGCGGTTGGGTAGCCTATGGCATACTGATCGTCGTTTGCCTTGTTTATCTTGCCTTGTTTCTGATTCTTGTCATCAAGGTCATTGAAGCTGTTGTGCGCATTCTAGGTCGGGTTGGCTTTGATCACTCTAGACGGCCAGTCGATAGCGGATTGATTGGTGTGCTTTCTCTTCTCGGATGTTGCGGGCCACGGAGAGGTGGTCGCGAACGAAGACACTACAAAGCCACGGAAGTACGACATTCACCCGTCGCTCGAGACTCTTTTGCTGCACGTGATTCATCTCCCTATGCGCCACCCAATGCATCTTTCGCACAGAGAGACAAAGGTTCCAACTCCTCTCATCATTCTGGTGGGCCTCCGCCATCAGTATTGCGACCCGAGCATGCTCTGCAGCCTTACAGAGAAGACAGTGATGACGATGCAGAAAGTGGACATATCATGGGCGCGTGGCAACCATTCCCAGGTCCCCGCAGTTCATACGACCGCACATCCGTCAGTACACCTCCCCAACACTCCAATTCAGGTTTCTCCCGCATCGGTGGTGGTCGTGCCCACTATGACTCACCGTACGCAATTGCTGGCGAGACTGGGGGGAGTTCAACTTTCACATTCCCGAGCATGGAACGCAAGCGCAGTGGGCCGGTGTCTGTCAGGAAGACAGTTCATGACGATGAAGAACTACCTACTCCAACTGCTTCCATAGCGAATGTTGCGCGCCTTCCTGCACTTATGAGCTCTGGACTACCTACTGGAGCAATGCTGCCACACATGCGCACGAAGAGTCAAACAGCAGTCATTATTGGAGATGTGGCTGCATTGAGTGCAGCACCTGTAAATGCTCCCCCGCAGGAGGAGCATCCTTCGATGGCGACCAAAACAAATAGTGGGGAATCAAACACCAGTGATCCTGACCAGCCAAAGAAGAGACATTGGTACAACATTCGAAGGAATCGTAGGCACAGTGAGGGTGATCGACTGGACGGTGGGGCGAGTGAAGTGGAGCCTGAAGGTAGTTCATCTCCCAAGGATTCTGGAAAGTCGTTCGTCGTTATTCGGGCACGGAAGCCTCAATCATCACAACCCGATACTCATCCACAAGTTCACAAGGTTAGATACTCGATGGACGAAACTGGTGGAGGACCTTCTTCACAAACACAATCTCGGCAGTGATATTAATGATGTGCAGATACCTTTTATGCTTTCCTCATACTTTGTTCTGCTTTGCATCTGTGATTAGTACCACCCCGTGATTCTTATGGTACACAATGTCTCTTGCATGTGTAATATTTACTGCACTCATGTATCTGAGCTACACTCTGTTTTGTGTTACTGGTACGTACGGTTACAGTACTGGACTTGATACATGCCCTGACATGAGATAAATTAATGTGTTGTGATTAAACCGAATTAAAATCTCCACGGAAGTTCCAACATAGCGAATCATCAGTATCATCATTCAGTCATCCACAGAACTGCCATTGTTAGTGTCACCTCCCAACCAAAAGATTCGCCAGTCCTGCCACTCCTTCCGCCACCACCCATAGACACCTTCCTCAGCCTTCGCGCGCGATAAGAGTTCTTCCGTCTCAAACGAGCTGGTGGACATGGTGGAATTCATTCTTTCCAACTGAGATGCGCCGATGTAATGACGCCAACGTCCTCCGATCGTGAGGAATCCAGCCTCGCCAAGTGGATTCTGCGCGAAGGGAGGCTCAGGAAGTGCCTTGCCTTTACCCTTACAACTCCCAGAAAGATATGATAGAGGCACTTCGTGCGCCTCAACGCCTTCATCGCCCATCCCAATCAGTTGTAAGGAAGGCTCAGGACTCTCTTGTGAACTGCACGGCACTGGCAAATGCATTCGTGCAGTCACACTTGAAGGCGGGAAATCCCAGGTTATGATGCACAAAGGAGGCGTGGAGTGAATAGATGCGGGAAGGGGGGCAGCAACGATGTGTGTGATTTTGCCGCGCGTGAGGACAAAAATGCTGCTGTAGGAGGTACCAAGATGAGGAATATGTACAGTTGGAATGTCGACTTTTGAGGGCAGAACCCAAGCGCCTTTGTGTTCTTTGCCAGCCGCGAAATCGACCGAACCTCGAGACCGACGACTTGGGAGAGATCCTCCAGCGTTCAATGTCAGGCTGGATCCACTTCCGCCCACAAAGGAAGAATTGCTAACACTCCCTCCACTCTCGAACATATCCACTTCCGTGACTGCTGAATCAGCTACTCGTATGATTCCAGCCCTTTTGTCGAACACAACAAAAATTGCTGTTTGGGCTTCATATGCGATGTTTACAGGGTTGCACAAGGCGTCTGCGGAAGCTCCACGGTTATGACCGTGCCCAACAGTCGTTCGAGGAGTTCCAACATCAGAAAGTGATCGAAAAGTGTCTTGTACGCATTGCTGAACGAAAGTAAGAGAGCGTGGCTGGGATGGCGTGTAAAATTCCTGCGAAGTGTCCTGTAGTCAAATTAAATATCAGAAGATCGATACACACCTTCACAAAATGGAAAGCCCTCTCCCCTCTCGGAGTCTCATACAAAATTATGTTGGTCTTAGTCGCCACGGCAAGCAGTGCACGGCGAGTGGATCCCGTACCACCTTCGTGCCAGAGAGCATAGGAAACCACACTCGTATTAGATATTCTGGACCCAGTTGACGAAAGTGATGTAAAATCAGTAGCCCAGCGCAGTGGTAAATCGTCGACAACGTCCCAAGATTGATCTCTCTTTGCTGGTGGGCGCTTTGTATTTGGTGTTGGAAGGAAACTAGTTCGTCGCTTACGAGCGGGAGGGTCCGTGATGAGATTTCGTAAACCCTTTGTAATACTATTTGTTGATCTGTGCTTCTTCACTGGTGTCTCTTGGGAATGCCAGTCTGATAACCTGTGCAAATCAACTGGCTGTGCGTCCTGGCCCAGCGAAGTGAATACTTTAGATAACGTAAGGGAAGACTAAATAACTGTCTCACTTGATGCGCGATGGCCCACCTTGCTAGGCTGGTCAAACTTGCGAGTTTATACATTCTGAGAAAGCGCGGGGACTCTTGATGCGCGCCAGGAGATTGAGAATCTTCGAGCTCAGGACCAACCAAAGCAAGTACGACCCCCTGCGGAGTACTTTCACCGGCGTCTTCGTACTCCAAAAGCGACAACTGGTAGACACTGCAATATACCAGTTGTTAATAGCCAGACAAGGGGAATAAGAATGATCGTTTGCTTACGCCTCTCCTGTCCACATAACTCTGGCCTGTGCATCAGCGGGTCCCTTTTGAATGAGGCCAGTTACTCCATCAGGACTTGTCTCATCAGCCCACTTTGCAGGGAACATGTTAAGGACTGACAACCCAGTATCGGTACCCATGAGTAGGAGACGATCGTGCTGGAGAGGAAGAATGCATCTGATAGGCGCAGTCGAGTGCGGTAAAAAACGGGAGCCGAAATGATGGATTGAGAGGTGAGTTGGGGGCATATGTTCCTCTGGTATATGCAGAGAAGGCTCCAGCGATGGATCGGGAGTTGTATATTCATCGGGAATTGTCTGCGGAGGAGGAGGGAGAGGGGGAAGATCTGCATTTATTGTCAAGTGCAGGAGCTCAGGTGTTGAACTGTAACACTCCGGGACAGAGTTGTCTTGATATTCCTCCTGTGCGATACCAGATGAGTAAACCATAGCATGAGGAATACACACATACGGTAGCCTGCGAAGACCCATCTTCACTCCACCCTCTAGCTCGCCTGCGCTGAAATTCCTCGGCAGTGACGTCTGCATAACGCTCTGCGGCTCTGCATTCCGATCAAAAGAAAGTAAAGAAATCAGGGCTAGCGTGCTCACCTCTTTTCTATCCAGCCTCTCCAGCGACCAAAGCTACCGTATCAATGAATATGTGAGATTGTGTTCATCAACCGGTTCTCCTGTCTGCGCACCGTGAATTTGGACCGCTTTGGGCTGCAATATCATGATAAGTTGGAAGGTCCCCGGTCCCCTGTTCATCTCGCTCAGCTCCCTGAGTATAAGTCTCAAAACTCTCAACAGTGTCTCCTGGCGATGTAGACATTTCCGTTATCAGAGTCAGCGCCCAGCAGGTAACTTACAAAGGTGCTGTGTTTGTTTGTAATGTGGCTAACCCTATGCAGTAAGGGACAAAGTACCGACAAGCCCAAACTAACAAAACATACTGTTAATATGCAGATTTGCGTAAAAGTACTTTATTGAGTGACTTAAATGTGGTGTATTGGACAAGGAAAGTCAAGAGAACGCTAGTCCTGTGAATGTTGCTACAGCGCCCACTAGTGCTCCGCCAGCGGCAACACCAAAATTCCCTTTTGTTTTCCGCCCTTTCTCTTCTTCCTCGGTTAGACGTTGTTGAAGGAATTCCGCTGCATCCCCTTCCTTTGCCAAAATAACCCATCGGTGCTCTCGTGAGCTTTCGTTCGGCAACACTCGGACGTTGAAACCTAGTTTCTCTGCGTCGTGCTGCACGGACTTGAGATCGATCAATGGGACGGAGAATAACATGGCAGGTGCAATCCCTGATGATTGCGTGAGATTATCGAGGAATAATGATCTCTCATCTGCGCTCATCGTTCGCGCCAGAGGATTTGGTTTCCTTTCGCAATCTGCATCAAGGAAGACAGTTTCGTTCATATCGATGAAGTCACTTGTGGGGTGGCTAGAAAGCGGTTCTGTGGACACTAGGCTCACAGTCGGGGTCTCCAGCGTGCACGGCATACGACGTGACAGACCGGTACCCGAACTAGCATGACCAGTTGCACATGGCTTATTTGCTGCCCCGGAGCTGAGGTCTGGAGTTTCTTCCAGAGGTAATTCAGGACTAGTTAAAGTCCGTCTCCATTGCATTATTGCTCTCTGACCATCGCCATCACCATCACCATCGTCGTCATCATCATCGGACTCATTGCTCATCATTCCTGGTTGGAGAAGTCTCTCTACAATTTCCGAAGATGTAGTGGAGAGTGACACGAGACTTCCAGCTGGAAGAAGGGCAAAACGGACAGAGAGTCGACGTTTCAGGTTCTTGGATTGGGTGGGTGTTTCAGTGGAAAGGGAAGAACGCTCGTCATTGGGATTCACGATGCGCAAGGATGACAATTCGTCCACAATATCTTCTGTGGCACCATTAGTCTGACCTGATATCGCGGATTCAATATAAGGACAGCCGGAGCGGGGATGCCCCTGCCTGGGTCGGTGGCATGTTTTGCAGTGGGGAGTACGGCGCGGAGACGTGCCTGTAGTTGAAATGTCTGTTGTCATTCCAACACTAGAGCGAGTTTTGGCTTTGGATGGCGTCGATAGTGAATTTGAGTTGGCAGAGCGTGTGACAGGCATCATTCTGCCGGCCAGATGAATTTGTATAAGAGACTCAATAAATGTGAACGACCTGAAAGTTTCTGTTGCGAGTCAGGAGCAAGGTATTTAACCCTCTTTGACTTAATTCTCTCTGCAAAAGGCACCTTCGGAGTTGAATGATACAATCAATAAAAGTGGCTGTAAAGACAATAGGCTTTGTTTAGTCCAAGTTAGTTCCAATAGTAAAACTTTGGATGTTCTTACTGGTGTCCAAGACGACTGTATATCAGACGTTGATCTGCTCACATTGGGCTCACAAAAAGGCGTCGCTGAACAGTCGAAGTCACGTGTGCAATCTTGAAACCTTGATTTGGCCCAGACCACCGTCGTGACCTCGGGCTCGTGATACACTTCAAACCGGAACATTGAAAATGGCATGTGTCCACCACCGCGAAGTGTACCACATCGCAATCGATATTTTGGATGCTGCTCAGACTCATCAGGTTTACTCGATTTGAATAGACGTGTGTATCTCAATTCCGGGTTTCTATAATGCTCCCCGCAACTGGTTCAGAGGGGCATTCACCTAACTTAGTCTGTTTCTCTTCATCCAGCCATGAGTTTCGTGTTAGTCATGTCGCTAGCATGGAACTATGATAGCAGTAGCTATTTTTCTGTCATCGTCTGCTCTATATTTCCGGCTGACGCTGCAGCATATAGCTCTGCGGATTTATCGATCTCGAGCACTCCTACCAGGTCAGCATCAAGGCTGTACAGCTTAATGATTAGAGGTAACGGCCAAGCCGGTCACGCTCTGCCTCAGCCGCATACATAACTCCGCCGGTCTGTAATAAATACTTCCAACTGTCATCCACGGAGGGTTAAGGAGCCCACCAATACAGAAAGTCTACACATATTTTTGCTTCAAAATCTCACAAGGAACGTTCCCGAACTCTCTTGATCCCGAATTGACATTCCTTGCTTCAGGTGCTAGTGGATTTAGCGAGAACTGGATTTACCTCTCACGTTTTGTGTATGCCTCAATGACAGGATGCTGACCGGGAGAAATTGCATAAATTAGGGTACAGGCTCTTGCCCTTGAAATTTGCAAACGGCTGACACCTGTCTTGCTGTCAGGGGAAGACACTGACCCCGTAACAAAGCAAGAAGAATCTAAAGAACCACGACTCACCGCATGCTGTGTTAGTCTTTATGCACAGGATCGCTTGAATATTTTTGGTAGCAGAAGAATAATTAAAAAATACTCACAAAGAAACAGGAGCCTCGGATCATTGAACCATCTTGAAATATCTTGTGAAGTGAATGTTAATAAATGCTGGCATTCATGCATGAAGTATCAACTGGGAACGAACTCGAGCATAACTCAACCTAGGTTCGGTTCTTGCCGTGACTGTCTTGATACTGCCCAAAGGGACACCTTCCATGTTCTAGAGATCCGAAGTTTCGCATGAGCGGCATGTCATACATTATATGCAGAGTCCAGCGGTGTTAAGATACAGTCATTAACAAAAGAAGCATACTTCTTATTACTCATTCCTGTCATCTCCTGTCATCGTCACTGCGTCGCTTCTTGGATGTCTTAGATTTCTTCGATTTTTTGGATTTTTTAGATTTCTTGAGGGCTTTTTCTTCTTTTCTCTGTGCCAAGATATAGTCCCGCATAGGATCTTCAGGATCAATGGAAATAACCGAAGAAGCATCTGAATCCGATGCTTGACCTCCATCTGGAACGGCAATGCGCATTGAAGTCTGCCTGCAATTCAGAAGGGAGCCACGCACCCACGATCATCTCTGGCCTGGCATTCAAACTCTGTTCTTCAGGTTCCTCCCATTCTCCGTCCTCGCCTTTCAACTTTGGCTGTTTATAGTTCTTTACGTGGTCCACACGCAGCGTCTTACCCAGTACGTTGGCACCATTGAGGTTATCAACGGCTAACACAGTGGACCTTTGATCTTCATACATAAGGAAGCCAAATCCCTTTGTTTTACCAGTCGTTTTGTCTCGAGGGAGATTGACGTCCATGACTTCCCCATATCTTTCTGAACGGTTCAATGACATTCAAATAGCCAGAGTAATTGACGCACTGGGAAAATATGGTGATCACGTCACCTTCAGTCAGGTCAAAGTGCAGACCACCAATGAATACATACGCAGAATCTAGTATAATGAGACATGTGCGCGTCAGAGCACCAGAACACTGCAATGAACCGCGACTCACCCTTGTATTCATCATGCCATGATCCTGAAATCCCGAGTTCGAGTTCACGTTCATTAATCTTATTTATTTCCCGAACGACGCTGCCAGAATTCAAAAATTAGATGGAATTGACTTTAGGAGGAACGATCATAGATTCATACCCACTTCATGACTGTAGAGGATGAAGGCAATATTCCCACGCCTTACTGAACTCAAAATTTCGGTAGCTCATCTTGTTTGCCATCAACGCAGACCACAATGGCTTCCTTCACTTTACCGCCAATTCATGACAATCCTGACGGAGGATGGGGTCCGTCGTCTTCTAACATTCCTGAACAGTTCAAGTTCAAGGATATCCCATATGCGCCATATTCAAAATCTGATAAGCTCGGCCGCTTCGCTGATTGGAATGATACCACAGGCGATACTCGCCAAACCGCAGTAGGACTTCCTTCAACAAGGGATGCCCGCGGTCCAGGTCGTTCAAGAAGAGATGGTGCTCAGGCATTCGGCAGTGGGACTGCCAGTGCTTTTGCTTACTTCCACGTGGAAGACGAATCCAGCTTCTCTCTGGTGGATAATAAAGCTGCTCCTCCACGCAGGGGTGGTGGCTTCATACGCGGAAGGGCTACTGGTCGTGGTGGTGTGTCCTTTGCTAATAGGGGGGTTGCTCAACGAGGTGGCCGTGGTGGTTTCAATAACCGAGGGGGCGCACAGCGTGGGGGTCGGAAAGGATGGAGAGATTGGGAAAAGGTTCACTGCGTGTCCTATTTACTCCTTGCTCGGCTAACATTCTCATGGATCAGACAAACCGCACTCGTGAATCGTCTGTTGCGATCAGCCCGCAGTGGACCATGTTGGAGGAGATCGAGTTCCATCGGCTTGCCAAGCTCAAGCTTGAAGTCGATGAGCCGGAAGATATGTGAGTGTTCGTGGTTCTTCTTCCGTCGTACCATATCGAAGACAGTCACTAGTGATACTTACGGCCGCGTTTTTGCGTATGATAAATCATACGATCGAATTACTACGAAGACCGAACGCCCGTTGCAACTTGTGGACCGCATCAAGTACAACACTACAACTTCTGATGACCCCGTTATCCAGCAGGTATGTTTAGTTGCCTCTGCACTTTATGATGCCTAATGTCGCACACAGTTGGTCACCAAAAATGTTGCCAATGTGTATACGACGGATGCTATTTTGTCGGTCCTCATGTGCGCACCTCGATCAGTCAACCCTTGGGACATTGTCATTCTTCGCGAGGGTAATAATTTATATTTCGATAAACGTGACGGTGGTCCATTCGATACTGTTACGGTGAACGAAAACGCTTCGGACCCTCCACAGGATCCTGCACCCCCAAATCCAAATAACCCGACCGAGAAGGCAGCGGTTCCAGAGCCGCCATCCATTAATTCGGCTACGTCACTGTCTTTGGAGGCGACTTATATCAATCAGAATTTTGGATTCCAATCTGTTCAGGAAAACATCGCGGCAGACTTTGCCCACCCTAACCCATTCTATGGTCCAGAAGAGACAGAGCCTTTGGCATCTTGCGGATACCGCTACCGTGTTTTCGACCTTGGTATCACGGAGGACGAAGATGTAAAGATCTGTATCCGCACTGAAGTGGATGCTTATGTACCCGGACCAGGAAATCCACAAGAGGGCCATGGATTGGTCACCATTCGTGCATTGAACGAATTTGACCCCCGTGCCCAAGGAGCAGGCGGTGCTCCTGACTGGCGGTCCAAGCTGGATTCACAGCGTGGTGCTGTAGTTGCTACAGAAATGAAAAACAACAGTTGCAAACTTGCCAAGTGGACTGTACAGAGTGTGCTGGCAGGAGCTGAACTAATGAAAATAGGGTAAGCGTTGTTTCTTATCTGAACTTTCAATTTCTTTGTTCTCTTTATGTTTAACAACTCCGTTCACAGTTATATCTCGCGTGGAAACCCTAAAGACAACACGCGACATGTCATCCTGAGCACAGCTTCCATGCGTCCAACCGACTTTGCTGCTCAGCTGAATGTCTCTCTTGCCAATGGCTGGGGTATCGTCAGAACGATCACTGATTTATGTATGAAAATGCCCGAGGGCAAGTACGTACTTATTAAGGACCCCAATAAGGTAAAGTCACGTCATTCTCTTTGGGCCCATTCTCATCCACATATTTCAGTCGGTGATCCGTCTTTATGCTGTACCTATGACCGCTTTCACTACCGAGGACGAGGACGGTGAGGTGTATGAAGGTGATGAACCTGAGTCCGCGGCCTGAAATGCTCTTTTACACCGAGCTACGTATCTTAGTGTGCCAAAAGATATACGCATTCCAAGAATGCATATGCATCAGACACTGTACAAAGAGATGTATGTGAAGATGAATCATCAGGAAGCCAAGAGCAATTCAACTGCACTCTCGATGTTTGGACTACAAGTCGCATGTCAGAGCCTAACACTATTTTTAGACTAATAGGAAAGCTGACCTCCTCTGTAATGCCCCGACGATAACGGCTCGTTGCATATTTGGGAACATTGTTGTCACCTGAGTGATCTCAGCGTCAGTCGGAACACGAACTCCTGTGGTGCCTTGCTCGTTCCTCCCCGTGAGTTCATTGACCCATTCGCGCATAACGGAACCTCCAGTGTCTTCTGTGCCTGCCGAAGGACGTGCGGTGGTGATTATCTCTTCATTCCCGACGTCAGGGCTTAGCGCTTGATTGGTTGTTTCGGGACGAGCGCGGGTAGACCGTCGTGGTGCGCGAGTCGAGCCCACTAATGGAAGCAAGAAACGCGTACTAAAGCGGATTATAGACGGCGACAGTCGCCAACTTTTAATGTTGACAAGTTCTGAGCGATATATGAAACCGGTAAGCAGTCCAACAACCGCAGGGGCAAATGAACCCGGAAGATGCCCTAGAGCAAGCTGATGACGGTTATATTAACGATAGAACGTGGACCAAATCCAGGTATTACCTGAGAAGCAAGTATGTACATGAACGCTTTATTGCTTCCAGCAATTCCAAATATTCGAAAATGGTACGCTGGGGGGATCAGCCTATACCACTGATACAGGATGCTGAAGAGTAGCGCTGATGGACCGGATGGGATGTGGTTGATTCCCATATTGTGGAATAGTATGAGAGTTAGAAACTCTAGTATCGTTGCGAGCAGAACGGAGACCGCGGCAAATGACTTTGCTACAGGTCAGCGCATGCATCAACATCAGAAAGGATATGTTGTTACGCACCGCGAATTTGACACTTCCAAATTGACGTTCCACATGTACACCGACGCCATACAGCACAATCTCAGCAATGAGGAGATCGCTCGAATTTGAAAACGCAGCGTGGTGAAGCAATAGACGCCAGTACTGTAAAGAAGTAGTTTTGGTTCAGATTCAGCTTTATGGAGCTTCACTCGGATACCTGATGGTTGCGTGACACGTGAGGCACGAGCTAGAAGAATGAAAGAGCTGAAAAAGTCTTTCTGTGTTACTGATAAAGACTCGAACCTGAAGGTGTAAGTAGTGCTTGACATCGAAAATACCAGCGAAAATGGATGTCAACGCGCTACCCATCATGAGACCTGCAACACAGTAGGAAACGGTAAGCGAATTGGTTGATAGAGTGAAGCAGCCTCGTTAAACCTTTTGTGATGGGGGCATACTCGAACGACATGATAGGACTCGAAAGCAAGATGCTGGCGCTGACTGAGGTCACTGGGCGCCGGTGGGCATTTGGGCTCAGGCTGTGGCTGTGCTCTTGTCACCCTCAACGCTGACGCGGACGCACGGTTCAGTCAAGAATTAATATTAGTGAGCACTGCTAGCTTGACATGACTCCTACTCTCTAATTTTTGTTTGTTCACAATCACTGTCTTGGCCCGAAGAGACATAATAAGCGTATTGCTCGCGAATCGTGTGTGCAATGCTACATGCATAGCCCGTATACTGGCTCGGGTGCACATGAAAGCATGAGAGAATGCGTATGGACTTGAATGCCTCTGCTCGTCCCATCGACTCTCACTATCTCAACATAGAACCTCATTCTTATCGATCTCTGGTCATGATTTTCCCTAGTCGCTTCCGGACAGGCTTGCTAAAATTCCTGGCTTCCAAGCTCCACAGTTCCATTCAAAGGAACGTCTTTCTATCTATCGAATAACCCAACCTGAGGTACCCGATTAGGGCGTTTACTTGTAATCTCGAACTGACGCTTTATAGAAAACGTCCTTGTTGTGCCATATAACACTTGTGGACGAACAACAGCACTTCTATTGACGACACTCATGACTTCCCCTAGGGGTAAGAGTTTCGATAAGCGCATCGATGTTTTAGGCACCGAGGCTCACGCGTCTCATTCCTGTATGCGTGTGACTTTGGCCGTCGTAACGGCGCACGGGTACACATTTTGCAGCACTAGACGATTCAGTACTTATCGTTGATCAGCAGAATACGGAAGTTGCAAGGATCTAGATTCCAAGGACTCCGCGGAACTGACAGTGCCAATAATGGATGAATTGTCGCGGGCTTGTTATGAGGGTGTTCATGTTCAAGTCGGCCTTCTTTGCAACCCTGCAAGTTTGCCAAGGAATCTTTTTGACGCTGTCACTCGAAGTCGCCGCGGACAGTCATGCAATAGTAATTTCTAGTCTCTGGCCCCTGGGTATCTCGAGCTTAATGATGCTTAAATGAAGTTTTTTAGGTGTCTGTAGCTTGCTCGCTTGTTGCCCTGCAATCGTAGGCGACTCGCACGCTGAAAGTGAGGCTAGTGGCACGCCAGCTGTCTTTAAGCATGCGTTTGTCGCAGTCGGTGACGTAGAGGGGCTCATGAATGAAGAGAAACTCGGCGGCGGGGGTTGACGTTGCCTGTACGCAGGTACCCGTGTCAGATAGACGCACGAACGCTTGCCGTCATCGCCAACTAACTTAACTGAAAAAGGGTGTCCGTTTTTCGCATGGAGAGGTACGCGTGTCCAAAGAGTCTCTCATACACACGGCGGTTTTCGTCCGAAGAAAGTTACGTCCGCGTGAAGCCCCTTTATTTCGGGATTGAGGTGAAAGAACGTTGAGGGGTACTGTTTGAGCCACGCAATCGATCTAATTTTCTAATACTTTAGTACGTACTGCAGCTTGGACACGGTGTCTCCGCGACATTCACGCGGTGGCTAATCTAGGTAGCCCCCCCTCATCTTCGCTCCCGTCCGGTTCCTTGCCATCTCCTAGTAGCAACCCTCCACACGCAGCCGATTACGACGAGGCCTCGCTATTCAGGGCACCGACTCATCGCACAGCCGCTTTTCCCCGAGGGCGCGAAGCGTCTCCCGCGTAAGGTCATGCCCATCAGCCCTGTGAAAAATCCCCGGATATGCTAAGGAGTATGGCACTCCTCTTGAGTCGACGCTATAATATGTTCTTTGTCAAGCTGTCCATCGACAGGCTTAGTTGTAGATATTTGTCATACATGCCACTTGGACTTAAGCAGGGCATTAGCTCTAGGAGCTTTTTCACAGCATGTGCGTGGGTGGTCTCTGGATCTAGATGCGTGACCAATTGAGCTGCGCGTGCGGCGTGGTTAAGTGCGGATGGAGTCTTTTGATATCAGTGGAGGTGTAAACTCCGCCTTACTTAGAGTTTCTGTCTGTTGCTGTCCTCGTCTCGAACACGAAACCGAAGACTACACACCGTTGATATTCCGTGTATTACACAAGCCGACGGGTCACCAGTCTAGCCCCCCCCTCCGTTGGGACTATTAGTAGGACGGAGAGCTGATGGGCAATACAAAACTTCCTACAGGGCCATCATATTCAACAAAGCGTGACAATTAATAGTAAGCGTTGGAAGACGAAAGTGGATGAGGGGAAAACCAGCTTAGACATCCCCCGACTCGGACGACATAGTTCAATAGAAATGATCCATCTAGTAAGAATTGACCACGGTGGCATCGCTGTAGACTGCTGGATGACCTAAGTGCGGAGGGACAGAACTTTCTTGACCATGAAACACAGCATTACCGCAGTTTCCTCGCAACGTACTGCATTGAATCATCGCTGTAACTTCACTACGGATAGCTAGAGATAACCAAGATTGTAAATAGAAATTTTCTCAACATGTGCTCCAAGGCGCATCATTACAACCATCCCATCTGCTGATATGTTTACAACGCTCATCGGGATCTCTCTATGCTTCGCAGACTGTTCGGGAATTTGAATGCATGTTATTTTTATTGGATAGTTACTTGCGGTATTCGCCATGGTGGCGTCGGAGTCCAACAGCGGAGTATTCGTCCGTGGCCGAATGTCGTATTTCAGATATATGCACAGCCGAACCTTACATGCTGTAGCGAAAGCGGATGCGATTGCGCCTAATGGAGCATCTGTAAGACAGATGAGGTCAGTGGCGACTAGCGCCTTGAGAGAGCGTTAAGATGACATCGGCTCACCTTCGACGCGGCACATCTAGTATACTATTCTTGTGATTTTCATAGCCAATGTCGTCACACGGTCGTTAAAATGGCATATCGGGGGTGCTGGTCATCCTAAATGTTTCATCATGTGAAAGCGTTTGGATCCACGGAGAGCTTTGGCATCGTGTCATGAACCTCGCCAAAATTAGAGCATGTCATCATAGATTCGCAATTGCTGTAGTTCTGTGAGAAACCGATACTTTCATGAGAGCGTAGAAGTCCGCACGATCTTCGTGTATTCGACCGGTACCGAGAGCTGTGACAGACTGATTGACGCATAGACAACAGAGAGAACTTGCACAACGTGCGAATGTTCTCATTGAACGAGCCAGGTGTGCAAAGTGGTACGTGATTCCTTTATTAGGAACCACTGTCGGCCTGGATAGGGGAGATATAATTGATTTGATCCTATCAATGGCAGTACTAGTAGGCACAGGATGCTGGGCATAAATCAACATTTGAATTACTGCAGTCTGGTATAGTCAGTGCTATGCTTACCATTATTCCATGACCTTATTACTGACATAGCCTGCAAACAGCTGCGCACGAACGCTTTACGTCGAGCTGTTTGAATATGTCGACAGTTCCAGCTTGAGCCTTCGAGGTCAACATTGCCTTCAACTTGAAGTTACTTTCATTACGTAACCCCGTGATTCGCGGAGTTCGAATTCCACGTTGTGGTTTGTCAACTCTAGCCAGCATCCTGAGCTCAAACCCCCAACGACTGACAATTGACAATATTAAACGTGGAGACCATGAGCACTGCGAGCGTCCAAAACTTGGAGGAAGCTGTCACGATAGCGTCAGAATTCATAATGAGTGAGCCAACTCCAGTTCATAGTATCTGCCACGCTAAAGAGGCTCTCGATAATCAGCCCTAGATAACTTACCTAGCGAAGTCCAATTTCTTCTGCAAGAGCTTCGCTCGAAAGAGACCGAATCTCAAGGTATGCAGCTATCATGTCACAGACTCTTACACAGCATTTATTTATATTTCAAGACATACAAAATGATCTAGCCAAAGAGGCTCATAAATATATGCGATATGCCCTACGATCAGACGGTACGGACCCCGTTTCGAAAGAGAAGGATAGAACGATAGCGCCACCAACTGAGAAACTGAAGGATGCGCAAGAGAAACTTTCAGCGCTTTCAGACGAGAAAATTGCACTGGCCTCTCGTATCGTCGACTTGCTGTCCAGGAAGCGGGCCCGGTTAGAGTATGACCTGGGCCGTGTCCTCGTTCTACAAGGAGAAACGGACCCAGCGTCTGTTTTCGCTAGTGCCGCGGCTTCGACTCCGGTCTCTGCATCAGGACTTAGTAGTGGCGCTGCCGGCTATGTGCTCGGGGGACGCAATCCAGCTGCTCAAATCAATGAAAGCCTCCGAAATGCTTTCGCTGGTGGTACCGCCACCCCTCTGGTAAGTGGCTCAGGAACCATAGCTTCTGTCGGAGGCCGTGCTTCGGTCACTGGGGAAGACAGTGCTTTTAAAAGTGAGTTCGCGTTCATGTCATTAGCTTTGATGCTAAACGTCAAATCCAAGAACGGAGGTTGATGGCGACGCAGGGTTCTATCAAGCTGCCATCGCCTGCACCGTCTGCCTATGTTCCATCTACCCGAGGTCGCCGGAGAAGACGGGGAGCTTCATCCGAAGCTGAGGATTTCGATTTTGATTATGGAGATGAAACTCAAGGTGCAGAAGAAGGTGAAGCAGAAGAAGGTGATGGCGAAGAGGGAGAAGATGGCGAAGACAAGGAATTGTATTGCTTCTGTCAGAAGCTGAGTTACGGAGAAATGATCGCGTGTGACAACCCAGATTGCCCGTATCAATGGGTAAGCCTATAATTCATGTTTTGGTAACCATAATCTGACACATTTACAGTTTCACCTTCCTTGCGTCAGCCTCAAGCAGCCACTCCCGGAGAGTTGGTTCTGTCATGACTGCCTTAGAAAGATGGGTCCTCCTGCATCTGGTCCTGGTCGTAAGGGCCGAAAGAAATAGATCTTTTCCCCACACATTCTTCTTCGCATCACCCTGGCTGTGGCCTTGGACGAAGAAGTTTCAGAAGGTCATCATGATGGAAGTGTCGGACAATGCGACCAGATGCTTCGGGGTAGCTAATAACAGGCTATTGGTCGATGCAACAGGGTTTTAAACGTGGTTCGTTGCTACCTCGACCTCGCAGGACTGCGAAAGATTCACAATTGGCTCTTCTTTGGCGACAAGATCAAGGATTCCTATGATCCACACTATGACCACACCTACCCCACCATTTCTGGCTTTTCCCTTACTATGTCCGTCCTTGGCAACGCTCGTGGCAGTGGAGTACAGGATGGCGAGTAGACCAAGAGTAGGCTCACGACACAGGATGTCCACAAAATAGAATGAAGTGAATCAAATCACGGGTTCTCGAGCAGGGCGTCTACTGTGTGAGCATTCGGCTATAATCTCCTCGCCGTGATCATGATGGGCCCAATCCATACGTTCGCTTGTTTTCTTACTTGGGATATTCCTCGGTCTTCTGCTTTTGTGGCATACCGAGTCCTCTCAGTGGCCTGCGGCAGTGACATTTGAGCTGTCTAGGTTACGTTGGAAGCATGTACACTGTTCGCGTGTATATGTGCCCCAAGCGCTCGACTCTACATGGGAATCATCCCTCCTGCATCAAGAAGCGATGTCAACTCATTTGAATCTCTCGCATTCACTCTGGCTCAGTCTCGCCAAGCCGAATCGTAAGGCCAAGCCTCTCACAGTACAACCCTACGATGCCGGCGGCGTACCCGTTATGCGAGGTCCTTTTCTACACGTTCAGGTTTTCCTGAACGCGACGTATAGAACCTTATCGTTTGACGTGCCCGTTGATCAAATCATATGGTGTGGCGCACCTCTCAAAACGGATATGCAGTGCAAGCGACTCGCAACGGGCTTTGTACCCGACTTGTATGATTATTGTTTCGATCAGGAGGTTATAACTTGGTGCTTAGATGGCTTGAGTTTGTCAATATTTTCCCCGTTCTACCAGCCACGTGTTGTGGCGTTTTGCAGGTACCGACATACTTATTGTGGTGGCAGCCCTCCATGGACTCCGCAATGACCGTGAATTGAAGCAAGTGATCCTTTTGGGCCTATGAACTGTTTGCTGTAGTCATCCGTCTTTTTGTCCTTTGACCATACTGGATAGGAGAAGCACTTACATACTTGCAAGGAATGGAAGCGGCTGCTAATTGTCAGCCTGGCTCATGCCGCAATAATTATACATGCCATAACGGGTGCATAACTTTATTTTTACTTCAAGAGCACCCTGGTTGCGATGTTTCGATGTTGCAAAGCTTGTCCCGCGGTTGACATCATGCCGTGATCCCAAGTCTTTTCCATGTCTATCTGTCGCGTCGAACCAACGAAACGACCGTAGCTCGGTGAGTGTGAATGAAACGAACATCGCTGGCATCGGCTTTCCGCGTCTGAGTAAAAAGTAAAATCCGAAGCTGTGGTAGCCGATTTCGGGTAGGAATATGGGCGCAAATGTTTTGTAATGAAGACCTCGCTAGGGTCACCCTCCGTGGCTAGTGAGGACTACACGCTTGCCAGAATCGTATAGTTGGCCTGATTACGGCATTATATGGACCACGGCGCATTCAGACCGTCTGACTGACGTAAGTATCCTGCTGCCGTCCCCGGCGGTGATCTCTTGTACGTAGCACGTCGCTCTGCAAGCCTTTGTGGCGTTTATGTCCAGGGTCCGGACTCAAATGGGCCGAGCAGTCCTCGCAGTTGGAAGGAAACTCCATCCGAGCAGACAGAGCCAGAAAAGTACCATGGTGCACAAGTGCCCTACAATCCCTGCGCCCTGTTTCGAATACGTACATAGTACTAGTGCACAGGGCGTGCCTTCCGGATAATTTCAAAGTCACCGTAGGACTTCGTTTTTGACGGGAAATAGAGGCGAACCTGGCCAGAACGACTTTCATGTGAAGCGTTACGGAGTTTCCCGATGTGAGGTGTGGAGAAGCGTGCATCGCGGGCTGCCGAAGACACCGACATGTGCTTCTGACTAGTAGTAATTTACTTTACTATCCTTGAGCGGACCCGCGCAATCGAGAAGAACTGATAAGACATTTGAATGCCGGACTCAACTGCACCCGCTGACTCAATATCCCTCTCTCTCTCAAGGTTATGAATAGAAAGGGGTGGTGAGTCATTACTAGTTAATTGAGAGCTGCGGCGGCCTCATGATGCCCTGGCGCCTCTCCCCCCCTCCTTCTTCCAATCGCTGGCGATAGGAGGTCGGGCTGTGGAGTGTGCTCAGTCATCCGCTGACATCGCACTCGAAGCGAAGGAGCTACCATTGGCCTGGTCTCACATGATACACTGTCCTGCCATAACAAGTCTGCCCCCCAGACAGGCACATTGAGCATCCGACGCCCATTCCTGCGGGAGAAACCGAATAACCTTCGGGGCACGTGCGGTGGAAATCGGTGCGTAGATGGAAGTGGGCGGCTCAAATTTGCAAACAAACAGCTTGTTGAGGGTTTGTGCTGGCGAGGGAACGTTCGTCTTCAGGGGTTCGGGGGAGACTAGCGACTTGGCCGTTCATTTAATGGACGATAATTGTGGCCGCTAGTACTGTGCTAGTGTAGGATGGATGCTTTAACTTAAGTTGCCCGAACGATAAGGTCCCGTCCCGTCCAGTACGTTGACTGGTCCAACTCCATACATAGCTTTTTTGACAGCGGCATCAATGAAATGTGCAACGTGACGAGTTTAACAAAAGCGCTCGACCAAGACCTGTGGACAAGAATACGTCACTATCGATGGTGGTGAACAATGTCAATCCTTGTACTTTTTCATCCCCGTCTTCTTGGCGCAGAGTTTAATGTGATTATAACACATGTCGTTATCCCCAGCCTGTGCAACATCAAGCAAGCTAAGCATAGAAGATTCGCTCTTCTGCAACTTGAATACTTGCCGTGCTTGATGGGAAGGGATCCACCTGTGTCCATGTCTGTGTCTGTGACATAGATATGATGGCACAATCGCTCCACAGGGTTACAGGATGAACCAGACAACCGAAAACTCTGTTTTGACGACGGAGCTTCTGGTGCTTCTCCGAGTTCGGATTGCCAAAGGCTAGAGATACGAGTAAGATGAATAGAGCCTGTGTTTCATTGGCAAGTTGAAATACAAGCGCTATTACGTGGGATACTCGACTTTGGGTCAAAGGTACCGAATGTGAAGGGCATTGGACTCCTGGAAAGAAACCGACAAAGTTACACCGAGCCAAAATAACAATGCCGCATCGCAAGCATAGCCTATGGAAAGATGATCACATGGACCAGCTTTGGGGTTATGCCGTGACAGTGCTGTAATTCCGTCGAATCATAAGGTTCATAGACTGAGGACACAGCATGGATGGCATGTGGGAGGATGTTCGATTGTCCTTTCGGGTGTAACGCTAGCACAGGAATAATAGAGGGCGTTAGAATGATGCTGCATTGAGGCAGGGCTATGACGAGTGACGGAACTGGTTCATTGAATTAGTTCAAATCCAATCGAACTTCGAACCTTGATCTTCCTTTTGAGTGAGTTTCGGTGTTGGAGGAGGAGACTGGTCGGAATTTGGGTTAGATGCCGGAGTTTCAAGTTTCAACTGAAGTACCCGCGGAGGATAGGGATGAGCAGTAGTGAAGTAAGATTTGCTGTAGATAAGCGTCGGGCGTCGAAGAGGGACCAGCAAAGCAAGTTCCATATTTAGACACGAGTGGGAACTAATAATAAGAATGGAGCTGCGCAAGGCGGCCACTCGCAAATAGGCACAAGTGAAGACCTTTGTGGCAGTGAAGGAGGAATAAAGGTGAGATGTATTGCGGAGGAACACTTCCTTATTTGGATCTATGAGGGGAAGCGTGAGATAAATAGGCTTAAATAAGTAAAAATGGTACAATACACAGGGTCATAAAACGGCACAATGTCGGCACGGAGGGCATTGACCAATAAGAATAGGCCAACAAAGTGAGACCAAGGCTCAATTCCGACGGGGCGCTACTCACAAGTTAAAATTTGTTAAAATTGTACAAATTTATTGTGAAGAGAGCGTCCGTATGCTGTGCGTGGGAATTCAATGGACGTAATATGGAGGAAGCGATTTATTTGTTTTTGTTTACATACTATTTGATTATATTTGGGGCGCGATAAGAGATCTACCGGAAGAATCTGAATCTTGTTTTGAACGGGATGTTCCGCAAATACCGAGATAGTGGAACGGGCTAGAAAGAAAGAGTAACCAAAATCTGGGAGAGGAGGTTTTTTGCTCTAGTCCAAATTTGAACACTGCATGGACCCTTCTTCTTATAATTTACCCGCACACTCTCCTTGACCGATTCTTGTCTTCAACATTTCTAAACTTTTTTTTCTTCTGTCAATCCTCTGTCATGGATTTTGCAACCTACGCATCTCCATATTCCGACTCATCACCCCCTTACTCCGAGTCATCGTCAACTCCTCGCACTCCATCTCCTCAATCCGTTGACCTCATCCCCACTCATAACTTTAAACACTCGATCCCAACAGCTCCAACAATCTTCCAGGAAGAGCCATATCTTCTATCCGACGTAGGATCAATGATCCAAAACGATTCTTGGGTTTCTCCGGCCACCTACAACAATTATCCACCGCCACAGGGTTCACTCCTTCGCGAGTTGTACGAGCCAGAATCATACCAAAGTGATGCGTACATTGATGATCACGCGCACTACAATGATTGGCAGCAGCACCAGCAGCAGCAACAACAACAGCAGCAACAACAGCACCAGCACCAGCAGCACCAACAAATGCACCTGCGCCAGTCCGATCATCATACATTTCGTCGCGCCACTTTCCCTTACGTCAGACATGACCTTCCCCAGCACCATATATCTCAACACTCCCAATTTTATGACCAATACCCGTCCATGTACAATGACCCACTTCCACTATCCCCCGATCCATCTGAATCACGTCACCCGCACGATCCTCAGTCAATTAAGCTAGAGGATACACCCCTCATTGTCCCTTCCCAATTGGGCTTCGCAGCTCATGCTCTTCATGGTCATCACCATCCTGGTTTCCTCCCCCCCGGAGCTGGTGCTTCAGTTCCAATTCAACACACAGATGATGCTGCTAGCAAAGAGACCCAGTACCTCAGGAGACGTTGTTTTAATTGTCATACCACAGAGCCGCCTTCATGGCGCCGCTCCACTCTCAATCCTGGAAAGATTGTTTGCAATAAATGTGGTCTTTACGAGCGCACCCACTTGCGTCCACGTCCCCTCCGCTTTGACGAGCTGAGGGCAGGTGGAAAGACGCGTAAACCTGGCGAGAAAAAGGTCCAAAAACCTGCTCCTATGGCTGGTTCACCCCAGATCAAGAAGGAGCCGCGAGAGTTCGGTATGGCAAGGCGTAGCTCCGTTTCGAGCACCGCATCGAGTGGTGGCGCAGTCAGCGACTGGGACGATAGTGGTAAGTTTCATTATTTCTTACTCGTTGTTAAGCACATGCTAACAATCTCACAGTGTCGGTGTATTCGTCACAGCCTCCTACCCCTGGTTCTATTTCCGGCCCCCCTTCTAGCTATTCATCGCCTTCAATCGCAACGTTCCCCATTCCTCGCAGTTCGCAGAGCCCGCCTATCGATGCCGGCCTGCAGGGTCCAATTCGTCTCCCTAACGCCCCGTTGACAGACATTGCGTCTCTTCAACAACAAGCGCCTAGGAAGTCGGCAACTGCCCCGGGTTACTTCTCACAACCTCCGGTCTCGTACCAGGGACAGGAGATGTTGCGTCGGGGCTCAATGCCGAGGCTCTGTGAGCAGCCACGCCAACTGCAGTTCGCTTCGCCACCGCAATCATTAGCTCCCCTGCAGGGTCCTACATCTGAAGCGCCCGCTGAAAAGTCGCCGGAGATCTCGCACATGCAGGTTTCGTCACCTCAAATGATCACCTCATCGCCTGTACCCACAACAGGGGAGTCACCGTCATCCTGAGGGAGACGGCACGAGACACGTGTATTCATGCCTTACCTGATTATCACGCTCGTTTGGATCTTGGTATTTATTCCGTTTGACAACTCAATCCGCACATCGTCATCTTGAGCTCGATTTCGCGGCTTATTTAATTATTCACCCCGTCGCAAAACGGCGACCGACAAAGACGCGGGCAAAACGGTATCTATATCCCGACATATATCCTGTATCCTACATTTTCCGCCTCGCATTCAACCCTGTCGACTATGTCTATATTGCGCATATACATATCGCCTCATAAACCATACCCTGCCAGCCATACCGCGTTTTGTATGTCGTCTCGATGATAGATACCCGTCTCACCAATACGAATGACTGCCGAATGTGCGTGGAAGAAGAAAGGGAATGTAACTGTATAACTTAGTATACCTACTTAGAAGCTTTTTTCGAATTTGAGACGCATGATCATGAATTTCTTCGCTTTGGAAGTGGCACCATTCAAATATTCATGTCCGCCAATAAGTTTAAGGTTGACTCAACCGCGTTAGCAACGACAAGCACTAAGTTAGCCTGGAGAAGTAAATTGCTGTAAATTGATAACGTTCTTGAGGACCACGCTGGACTACGCCCCTTCATTAACCTGCTGCTTCGGGAGGCACACGCTCGCTAGGAAACCCACTCATCCCCTTTGTGCCAAGCTGTTCAAATACCGTTCCTATTCTCGTTGGCCGCCCAGGTGCGGTGAACACGAGGCGCGCGAGAAGCATCAAGAACGCACGCTTAGCCCAAACGTTCCTTGAAAAGTACTCTAGCCGTCATGAAAAGCAACGTTATTCTATTCAATTGAGTTCTCGTCATCTCCAAGGCCAGCCCCCCACTATCATATAGCGCCAATAACGGCCGCTGTCTGACTCATGCCAGGCGCAATATGTACGTATACTACTACTAACTACGTGGCAACATGGAACCCGAGTATGCTCCATTATCCTCGGCTGTACAAGCGCTGGGACAGCAAGTTGAAGACATTCGTTCGAGTTGTCACCCATCAAGTAACTTCGAAACATTCGTGTGACCGGCCGCCATACCATCGCTCTGAGTAAGTGACACGCCGGAACCGCCCTAAAAGCATCCTCCCCCCCCAAATTGAAATTTTCTGCCAGCGAAGCACTTTGTTCTTCTTCGGACTTTTATGCACCTTCTCAGTCGGGAATGTAGATTCGGTCTCAGACGACGCTTCGAGGACTCACGTGTCTTGTCAATGTCACCCTTGTCAGGGTCGTGGATCTTGGTATTCGTGTATACTTCCACCAGAACCTCGTGTGTGTATCCCAGTGCTCATAGTAGGTTCGTCTTTCCCCACACAACGCAGAGACTGTATTCTCCCGCTCGGACCAAACGGACTCAAGCGAGGTCGGTGACCGCCAAGAGCCCACGGTCCACCCCCGGCCCGCTCGAATGAAATCGAAAGTCAGTTCCTCGTCAAGATCTGCCAAACGAAGTGCCACCGTTAATTAAGAATTCAACAAACTGAAACAATATTCAACGTCCATGGGCTCCGGTAGTTATGCAGGGCCGAGGCCAATGTTTTCCCAATTCCCAGTCTTGCTTTGACAGCGTGTGCAAGTTAGTGGTCTCCGCCGTAGAACTTCTGGGATGAAGGGGCCTGGCGAGACGAATTTTTGTCGGCTTTGATTGTCTTCAGATGACCTGAATTTCAATCTTCACGGATGCGGATTTAACGAGGAGAAGTACCATAAATTCGATAGGACTAACTGTTGAGGCTAGGATCTTCCAGATAATCGGACACGCGCCCGAGGATGATGAGAGATGACGATCACATATATGAATCGTCAACCATAATTTCACTGTAACATATTATCTTACCAACGTCGAGACACAAGCTATAAGATTTTGATTTTCTTTTGACGTGCGGGTGAATATGATTGTTTTGCTTTCATGCCACGTCCCATCGAAATGGAGTGAACATCAACCCTCTAATTGAAACTGGTCTGTGCCTGTAGCGACGCTCGGGTCGTCATGTCGGACCGCTGCTCGCGTTTTAACTGCTCGCTGGAAATGACCCACGCTACGACCAAAAGAACTATCCAAAGGTCCGAAGAAGAAGTAGTTCTAGAAGACGAGGTAAGCAGCGAAGGAGATCTTGAACTCATTAAATTTTAAAATCTGATAAAACAAAAACACCTTCTGCCACCGTGGACCGACTTCGCAGTGGGCGAGTCAGGTCACCTGGTAACGCGAACCTCCCCTATTTTTACCCGTGACCAGGAAGAGCCAGGAGGTTCCGGGCTTACGGTCGTTCACGGTAATTAATGTGGGCAACATAACTTTTAGGTGCATGCAGGCACAGCTGGCCAATGGTACTGTTTTTCGCTGCTACATGTGTCTAAAATTTCATCCCTGGACGTGTCTCCGTAGGTAAGTTTCTTTTGAAATTCTCGGGCCATCCGCACGAAGCTGAGTTAGTTCTGCTATTGGGCAGTCCAAAGTAAAACAGATTACTTGCAAGTTTATGCGGCTTGTTCGCCTTCAAGTTCCCCGCACTCTGCTGCGATGAAATGTCAAGCCGCATTAACTTATTATTATTATTGTCATCGGAAACTCATACAGTCACCGTGACATGCGCACGTCATTCCAGCAATGAAGGAAATATTGCGGGTGACAAGACGAGAACGACAAATTTCAAAAAAATCCAAGAAACTCGAACATTTCGGTTTAACTGTCAAAATCGCGGGGTCATTATCGCTACCCCTGAAGTTTGGCTCTGCATGCTCGACTTGCCATCCTAGCATTTCCCCCGACTGCCGCACCGCATCGGAATGACGTACCGACCCGCCATCTGCGGGTGGGCTATGCTGACGAGATTACTTCAGGAATAACCAACAGTTCAGAAACAGGGGAAACGCTGGGAAACGCTCGCCGAGTTGGCCGTTGAGTTGTTTTTAAGTTTCATTCCTTGTTGTGCGCTAGAAGAACTGTAGGTTGCGCCGCATTTCGGGACGGGTGAGCTTAGCGCTGATTATTGCTGAAGGCCGCTTCGTTTACAGGTTAGTTGCAGCAAAGCGAATAAGCTAGAGTGAAAGCCCCTTCCTTGGAAATTTCAAACTTGCTTAGACTCGCGAGAATGAAGTGCGAAGGTTTTACCCCTTTTTACTATGGAATTGTGAATGACTGAGAAAATGAATTGGAGCCTTAGGATGACCGGCGCGATCTCTGGCGTATCCCGAATTCACGGGTCTACAGTTTACTCTATAGCTTGGCTTGCGAACTCCATGGCGTAGCTGCGAGCTTTGTGCAGAGCAGTGCTAAATTGCCAATCGTCTTCCACCGGGCCAGACTGTCATGTGTGTAAGCATACGGTGTCTGTCCTCATTTGAAATCAATTTCAATTTTTCACCACATGGTTCCAAGGTCGCTCGTTGGTCATCGCCATTGTCGATGGTGACCGTATGGTGTCGGATCGTGCGTTCATGTTTGCTTATATCGGGTTCATAGCTGGATTTAATTCTGGCAAGCATACTGATATGGTATCTTGATCCATGTAACGACTGGTCGCGATGAAAAGAAGATGAAACAAGCCTTCCGAAGGTCTGGAGATCCAGGGGATTCTCTACAACTTCACTGTTAGAAACTTCCGATCCCGGTGCGCTGAAGCGCACACGCGTTGCTTTAACGGTGAATGCGCTGTGTTTGCTGCATTAATAGTGACTCCACGGTGAATCTCTTGGTCTCGCTGCACTGCACATGTATGTCTGCTGACGATAATATGTCATGCTCCGGCCGAATGTCAAACCACAAGTCATCGTGATCTGGTAGACCATGCGGCTACCTTTGGTTCAAGGCTAGTACTACTTGCCGTCAATTATTATCCCGCGACTTCAGTGACGCGGGGCACTAAAAGATATCATACTGAATAGTCAGTTCACCACAGGAGGTACTTATTTCATTGAGGTCCGATTCATGATTTGTATAACTGGCGCCTCCACCGTTTGTGGATTTCTGTCCGGACCTTCGGCTCACAACGCAACCGAGGCAGTCGAGACCCCGATGTCTTCACTACACGCACTCCGAGATCTTACGAGGACAATGAAACCGGTCACAGGGATTTGCGGTGCTGTCATGGATAATTGATCGATGGATTGTGCAGTGCACAGCTGATCAGGCTACAATCCCATGGCTCCCTCCCTCCCAGAAGAGCGGTCACGAAGGCATCGCAATCGTGATTCATCATGATTGTGAGACATTTACAGAGGACCAGGATATCCATGCTATCTCTACGATATCAACCCACTGCCACCAGAGGAATCGTGGTCAGGTCATTGGGTTCACACATCCATCCCTTAACCCTTGTGTCAGTGTTCGTGGATCTAAAGCTTATTCAGAGCCCCGTTGATTTGGAATATTTCCATGATGACTGTAACGGTCTATACCACACATGTGATCCACGTATATAGATGCCTTCATTTATTTTTCATAGATCAATGTCTCCATTTGCTGCAACGTTGTAAGTCCGTATCGCGAGTGTACAGCAGTGGGATTTCGTAGCAATGTCATATTTAGGCCCCGGTGATTGTTTTCCCACCCACGAAAACTTGGTCATTTGAAACGTTTTCATGCCACTCCAACAGTTCCATTCAGTGCATGGACATAAAACTCAGCGGACTGTTCCACACTCAGGCTACTTCAAGTTTTTGGGAAGGAACTAACTCTGAGACCACAGCTCAAACATGGTCAAGTATTCGATTTTACAGCCGCAGGATGCTATGATTTCATCCAAGCCATTTCTAGCACAACAGTTTGATCCGGAAGCTGAACGTCTAGAACACGAGTCGTGCGCTCCATGCGGTGCTTACTGCGTATTGACACTCACGCTCGACGCATGAGAAGCCTTGTTACCACAAGTTACAACACTGTTTCATGTGAACACCATCATGCACATTTCCATCTCCTCAGTGCGCAAGGCCTTCCGACCGAGCGGCAAACAGCTGTCATGCTCTTCTTTCGAGATGATTCAAGCTGTGATCTCATTTGAGACACTACCAGAAGATATCCTCTTTCATATTTTCAGCTACCTATCAGTAACGGATATCGTTAGGTTGCAAAGGGTATGGTTTTGTTTCGCATTCTGTTGCCTGTGATTTCGATTGATAGAAATATACAAGGTGTCCAAGACACTCAGGTCAGCTGTGCTTCGCGACGCAACTTGGTTTAATATCTACCGTGCTTCCTCACGTCCACGTATTCCCGCATTGTTGTCCACCAATTCCGCAAGTTATCTTCAGTCGTGGTTAACTTCAAGTGAGAAATTCGATCGCTGGTGCTCAAATGGCCCACGAGATGGGAAGATGGCCTTGGACAATAAGAGATATAACACCCGAACACTAAATTTTGGCAACAAAGAGCTTCCGCTCCCTGGAGTTGCTCGCAGAAGAACGGTCGAACTCTATCCAGATGCTACCGG